TGTGTGGAAAGGCGGGCCGACTGATAATATCTGTGGGAGTGATTTGTTTTTTTTGGGGGGGGCGTTGATGGGGGGAGGGAGATACCATCGACCCCCCGGCCCGGCCGGGTTGGATGATATGCCTATGTCTATGCCTGCACTGGCAGTAAAAGCTTTTCTTTCCCCCTCCTACATTCTTCTGGCTTGATTCTTTCATCCTTTTCGTCTTCCATTAGCTCATTGTCTCGTGATGCCGCCGGCCCGACCTCACTGGGACTCCTCAGTTCTCGATGTCGATGTGTGTGTCAAAGCTACCCAGTTCGGGAAGACGGCATTAGTCTAGTCGCGAGAGCGTAGCATGATATCGATATTATTGTCTGCACTGCACCTCACATTTCTCGCCAATACCAACTTGCGGAGCGGGATCCGTTTTCACAGTCACTAGGTACCTACCCTGGCTGCCGTCAACCAGGGAGTGGTTAAATATACCGTGCTGTAAGCATACGCATACATGACATGCATGAAGCGTACCATAAGTGATATGGTAGGAGTGGGAAAGGCATTTTCGGCATGGGAAGGCAGTTGGAAACCACGACCAAGCTGGGAAAAGATGCTGGGCGGAGCCAGACCGGTGTGCATGTAAGGCAGAGTGTCAATATGGCAATCTGCGCGCCAAGCCATTTCTCACACAATGTGTACATGAAGGAGGGAAGGGTTGGGTGTTGTGATGGATGGGTGGGTGGGTGAGCGGATACTACGCTGCAGCAACGTCTGCGCTGCTTGCCTGCAGGGAAACGTTAAGGCGAGATTGTGTGTAGCTTTGTGAGTGGGTGAGGTATTTGAATGTACTTTGTATCGTGGGAGTGGTCGAAGTATCGACATGTAGATGTTTGTGTGTTTGGAGCTTGGCTGCCCGCTGTGAGTGTGGTGGTGAGATAGGGACGGCCGGGCATGGCAACCACACCTGTTTTTTGTTGTTTGATAGGTGAGGTCATTCGAACCGTCGGAGATTATTTGGTATCATTATCAGTCAAAGGACTGGAACGTGATGTACATACATGCTTCTGCTTGCAAAGATGCAGAGTACTACACTAAAACGGTGCATCGTACCCACATCCAATACCGTAACACGTAGCATGTCTAGCATGGATAGCCCAGGTAAGCATCTAGAATATTACCGAGGGTGTTGTTTGAGGTAAGACGGATCTTGAACTCACATTTCCCCGGCGTTGAGTGACCAACCTTGGATCGGTCCCAACAAGCTGGGAGCCAGGGAATTGCTGGTGCTCCCCACAACGCCATAGGAGTCACAACAGGAGGAAAATCGAGAGAGAAGTTACCTGTGTCGTAGAAATCGATCACGTCGCATCGGGTCTGAGGTACATACCTAGTGAGCAGTATACCTAGATGCCGAAGGACCTCGGATTTCGGCCCGGTGAAGGGCTCGCTCTCGGACGGACAGACAGTGTGGGAGAGAAGCAAGGTGTATGACAAGGGTGGGCATCCGTAATGGAGTCTCGCTAGTGCTGACGGTCTGTTCAGCTGCCAATGTCGCCCGAGTCGTCCCCGCCCGTTGGCTGCGGTCCAAATAAGGTTTGGGAAAAGGAGGTGAAAAGTGACAGAAGATCACACCATGTTGAGCTCCGGGCGATGAGACCGGGCCGAGCATTCTGGAACCAGTGACATGTCGTTGACGTTCGTTGGACAGACGGGCGGTACTCGATGCCGGAAAGGATGTCGCACACAGATGGCCGGTCTGCACACCAGATGCATTGCATCGAGCACTGGAATGTGAGGACGGGGATCCATCCTGCTATGCAAACAATGCGCATCTGCGCCAGTCATCGTTGTCAATGTCAACTTCTTATCGAATCCAGTGCGGCTGTGAACTGGAGCGAGCCAAGCCGGCGAGGAAGGATGGAGTAGCTATCCGAGGTATCATCTTGCTCTTTTTTTTTCTTCCTTTTTTTTTTTTTTTTTTCTTTCTTTTCTTACCGCCGGTGAGAGGATTTCGATGCCGGTCATCGTCAAGGTTGATGCTGGAATGTTGTCTTCTCTCTCTCAGCACACAACTGGGATTGGAAGTGAAAGGCACGTCGCCGTATGAACCGAACCTGAAGATGAAGACGGAAAATGACGACCACGACGGCGTCCCCGACCCAACTGCCCAACTGATCAACAACCAGGATCCCAACCCCTGGAGAAAAAAAAGAGACGGCAGCTAGACCTTATACGGGATGGCCTTAGCAGGCTGTTCCCACTGGGACTGACCCGGACCTGCACAAGTTTGAGACAAAGTCGGTCTCCACTTTCACAATTTCCACTTAACCACTCACAACCGCCAGCAGCCGAAATGAACAACATCATCATCACTCCAAATCCTCACCCGCTCATCCAACACCAGCCGCAACGGTTGAGCATCTTATCCACGACCGATAGTCCGATATTCTACAGTCACTGGACTTAACTTTCCGCCCACATTAGGCAGAACGAGGTCCCACGTCATGTCTCGAACTCGTCTCTGTGACTCGTACCTCCATGTGAAGATCGTGAAGGAGCCTTAGGAGATCATCATAGACCTCAACACCATCCATCCAGCTCGCCGATAGGCCCTTTGTCAACCATACCTCCCCCAATAACCGCCACGCATCTCCCTGGCTCGTTCTCATAGCCTACAGTCTGACGACATTCCCAACCTATCGCGCGACTCCATCACCTTCTCTCTATTATGACACTCATGGTTGGATGCCACCACGACGCCGCTCTCGGTCTGGACCTCATCTCCTTCACTCAACATGAAACCGAACTAGTTTAAATTTTCCAGGTTTTGGTCCCGATCCCGATCTAACCGCGGAGAATGCCGACCAACCAACCGTGAAAGCACTGAGTAAAGAAAAACAAGAAGCCTTGTAAGCCGCCTACGCCGCTTTTATCCTGCAGCCATGTTCCACAAAAGAAAAAAACAATTCCTGCTACACAAAGTGTGTGTGCCTCTCAGCCTTACGGGTGATGCAGTGTAATGTGTTTGCGAGTCATGCTCGCACAGTTAGCTTTGTTGTCCAGGACCGTATCCGAAAACAAGAGTAAAAACACACATGAAAAAACAAGAAAAAAAAAGGGGGGGGGGGGGGGGGAAGAAGAAGAATGACGTTGATGCCCACAAGTAAACGGCGTGTCATATCTGCCGCCTTGGGATTTCCGAGAGAGATACAACGAAGTAAAAGGTTCGAAAAGAAAATGAAAAAAAAAAAAAAAAAAAAAAAAATATTGAGACTCGGATACCGGGAGTCGAACCCGGGGCTGTTGAGAGAGCAGTCACTCCTGAGAAGTGAGAGTCAACGATGTTACCGCTACACCATACCCGATTGAACTGATATGGTCCGATTTTGATGCAAGGGTAGTTTTGCAGTACCCATTATAAGTGGGATCATCCAATACTGGAAGGGTCGATCAGTTTTACCTGCTTTTAAATATATTCCCGTGATGGCAACTCGAATTCCGACAAGAAATGTCTGCAAAACAACTTGACCATCTAAGAGGCCCGTAGAAGCCGAATAATTTGGCTTTACCAACTCAAATCGATGCATTTCCTTAATATTCAGCTCGGATTATCATTAACAACTGACCTGTCTGGTCGTTGTAACGAGGGAAGGTTGGTCTGCCACTGCGGAAAAGGTATCCAAAAAACTCCATCTCGGTACTGTATCACGATCTCCACACAAACAAGTCTGCGATTGCTCTTGGGTAATTTGAAAACATTTAGACTTTGCATTACCCTAAGCGCAATGTCTGCTAGATACAATCGATGGAAACTGGTTAACACACACACAATGTAGGTAGCTGCGGCGTTGACCTGTTGGTTGTGGATTTCCTGATCTCGTCGTCGTACAAGAACATTGGTACACAGAAGTTTGACTTCAAAATCGCAGTTTGTGAGGAAGACAAGCTGCAGCCTGCAGGAACCCGCTCACCAGAATGCGTGCAGTGCAGTGAGTGCAGCTCCCAACTCCAGCTACACTACAAGGAAGCTTCGTCACCCCGCCTTCAGAACCATGCTATCTCGGTTTGCCTCTTTGTTCAACGTCGACATCTGCGAAAAAAAATACCACGAGGCGCGCACAATCCAAGCCTTCTTCTACCTGAGGCACGTACACGTGCTAAAAGGCGCAACGGCCACCGCAGAGAATGACTTCAAGGCTGGTATTGTCGGGCGTTGGTTTCGGAGTATTTCGCGTGGCAGCGAGGCCAATTAGGTAGGTAGGTGTCGGTGACAGTAATTTTTGACTATGAGTTTATTCATCACATCTGCCCCTCTACATCCATGTTTCGTCACGAAAGCTAACGAGGCTTGATCAGATATCGATCACGGCCACCACCTTCCACCTGATCGTTCCCTTTCCTCCGTCCCTTGGGAACTCGGCGCGCTCGAATTTGGAAAATGATCGTTGCACCTCGCATTGTTGAGGCTCCAATCCAAGGATGTTTCCTGGTGTATATGGCCCGATGGATCTGGGATACACGACTCGCTTCCCCCGCGCTATACCCACCGTGCTTTTCCGAATTAGAAGTCGTCCCAGAAAGTAGATGGCGAGAAGTGTCATTTACGTCTGGCTGAACTTGGACGTCGACATGCTTGAACCTTGACATGCACAACACTGCGGATTTTCTGCCGGTTGCCAAATTGGTTACGAGGATCAGGAAGACATTTGGCTTCTCGACATTAAGATCCACCGGTGGTACACTGCTCGCGAGATTGACGAGATCTGGGATTGGGACATTCAGAAGGCCCAAGAGGGGATGGACAGAGGCGTAGGTAACGGGACTCGGGATGACGATCCTGATACTTTCCACCTCCGTACCCGAACGCTTGATACCCTGCCGTCTAGCCTGCGGTATAGGAGGCAGTCATCTCATTCAGACCTGGGAGAGCAATGTGACGATCTCTAATCATGGGTCAGGACTGGTAAAAGAAGTAGGTGTGTTTTTCCTATGGGGGTGAAAAAAGGAAGAAAGATCTTTGTCTGGGCCAAATCTCAAGAAGTACGCTGGCCGAGGGACTCCCTTGCGTTTGTTTCATTGGTTCTGTGTTGTGGTTTTGTTCTTCCAATGTGAAGGTGCTCTCTTCATCGAGGACCCTTTTGCGAGGAAAGAGCAGGTTGAGGGGAAACGCGGGCAGGCTTGATCAGCCCCATGGCTGCCGAGTACCCTACAAAACAGGCAAGACCATCCCATGATCGATCACATATCAAGACTAGGCAAGCGGAAAGAACCAGGCCTGCACAGATTTGGGGACCAACTGAACAGCCCCAGTTCCAGTTTTCGTTTGTTTTGCTTTCTTTCTTCTCGTCGCCTTTTCTAGACCCAGATGGGTGCCTTATTCTTTCGCTTCCAACACTCCTCAAGTACTATCCTGTTCCGTTTTGCATACAGAGAATTTCTATAACTCTCAAGATGCCCGCCCCTCACTTCGCTTCGCCCGACAGGGTGATGCGCGCCGCTCACAGGATGGAAACACTGGTCGAGATAATGAGGGAGCACCGCCTTGAATTTGTTGCTATCCTACACGCTGCCCATCTTTATGTCAGGTGGGTCAAGGCCTATGACCGACAAGATCTTGATCCAGAAGACGATGATGAAGATTGGGCCGTGGACTGGGAGCATCCGAATGCAGAAAAAGATGTCGGCATACTTTTGGCACTGGCTCTGGGCGAGATGGGCGTAGGTGAGAGACTTTGACACCACATTCCTACAGAGCAGCCAGACACTGACGTCTCACTAGCACGCAGATTGCTCGACGCAAGAGGGACGGTACGTATCGAACTTCCATGTTACCTACCTCTGCCACAAGACAATACTGGGCGATACCCAAGCAGATCACCTAACATTTCCGTGTTCAACAGTCATTAGAACCGCCTGGATTGGATAGAATACTGGAAGATTGCTTGAGAAGGCTGTACGTGTTGCTCTACGACATTATCTACTGGGACTTTGGAGGTGTTGTCGGACTGCTCGCCCCTGCCACTCCCGGAGCGCTTCTCAAGAAACCAAAGGACGATGAATGGGTTTTGCGGGAACTCCCGGATGCCGCCGACACCGGAGACTCTACCGATAAGCCCCCTGATCAGTCTAATGACAAGCCCTCTGACGAGGCCACCAATAAATCGACCAAAGAGTCTACCGACAAGCCGGCCAAAGACTCCAGTAACAAATCCACCGATGAGTCCTCCGACGAGTCCTCCAATGAGTCCAGCAAAGCCGACCCGAAGGAGAACAACGCACCGGAAGTTCTAGACCCAAAGTTCTACGCAGCAGCCAAATCACTGCAACACCTCTGCGAGCAAGAATTCTACGATTTGAGCAAAGAATATTACGTACACCCAACCGTCAAGAAGCTGTTAGAATTTCATTGGAACATGCGCTCTCGCAAAGGGAAGAAGAAGGCCGACCCTCGATTTCCGTATGCAGCAGAACAGCGTTTTATGACGGTAGATGGCGTATCGGAATTCATAGACCCTGAATTTCTCCCAGCACCACCACCTCCTGAACCTCTGAGCAAATTGGAATTTCTGGACTTGGTCAACGAAAGAACGACGAAGCGTGAGCCTGGGGAAAGACCGTTCAAAAGGCCGATAAATCTCAGGACCGCTGAGCTGTTGGGAATTCCGCGTAAAACTTACGATAGCGAGCAGCCTGCCGTAATGTTGAGGCGGCGCCAGGTCGCAGAGGTCAAATAGAAAATGAACCAGAGCGTTTCCGCCAAGGCCCTGTCTAATCGGCCTGATCTCTTGAGGCTATCCGGAATTGCAAATATCCCTGGACTCTTTCAGCGCCCCGAACAATCTCTTCCAGCCCAAACTACAACGACCGTCGGTCCCTCAAAGACTGCCGAGTCCGCAAAACCAGCCGGAGTCGCAAATGCCCCTGGACCCGTACAACGCCCCAGAACACCTCTGCCTACCGGAACCCCAACGACCGCCGGCCCCTCGAAGACTGCCGAATCACCGAAAAAGCCCGCTGAATCCGCAAGTCTTAGTAAAGTTTTTCGGTTCACAGGAGTTTCGCCGGGCTCTAAACCCTCTCAGAACACCGGATTCTTAGGGCCCACCAGATTTTTGGCGACCCCCAAATCCCATACGATCGCTGAATCCTCCAAGACCGCTGAATCGAGAAAGCCCGCTAATGCGTGGCAGACACCCGAGTATTTGAGATCTTTGGATGATTTATGGAGACCCGCCAGAGTCGCAACTGTTCCCAGAACCTCTCAGCCTGCTGGAACTTCTCAGAACACGCCCGCTGAGTCGCCCAAGTCAACCGGACTCTTGGAACCTGCCGAGATTATTCCATCGTCCAATAATCAGCAGCCTGGAGAATCCCCAAAGACTGCCGCTGAATCCTCTGAGCCCACTGGAGTCTCTCGTGCAATCGGAATCCCAAGCCCGCCCGAAGTTGAGAAGCCCGCCGAGTCCCCAAGGTCAGCCCAACTTTTGGAACCTGCTGAAATCTTTTCGCCCCTCGACATCTCTCCAACCCCCAGGGCGAAGAGCCGCTCCCCATCATTGACGCAGACGCCCACGAGGCTCGGGAGGCGGGAAGAAGTCGGTGGGACTCCTGAGTCTCCGGAATCCAAGATGCTAATTGACGAGGAGGAAGCCGAGGGTCAGTTGGCTGAGACACCTTCCTCTTCTTCTGCGAATGCATCAATACAAGCTAAAAAGCGTTCCCCACCATCGGTGGAGCGTCCCACGCAAGTCAAGAGGCGCCGAGAGGTTAGTGCGCCTTCGGAGTCTCCGGCATTCGAGAAACGAGAGAGTGAGGAGGAGGGCGAAGTGTCGAATGATGATGATGAGAAAGACGACTAGAAGCCGTTGGCTGAGCCGTCGTCTTCTTCTTCTGCAACGACTTATGGGAAGAAGAGTGAATAGAAGGGCAAAGGAAAGGAGTAAGGGGATTTTCGCTGAGGAGGAGCTTTGTCTTTTCCAGAGTTGAGGTAGTGGTTAAAGATGGTTGAACTTCATGGTAGTTCTCCCCCGGGACTCCCTCTGGAAACTGCGGAAGAGAAGTAACGAGAGCATATCTGGGAGAATACATCTTCATCTTCGCCGTCAGCAAAGGCAGGATATAAGAAGCGTTGCTGAGGCTGCGAATGGCAGGGAACTTGGATAGCTATTACCTAGTTTTTGTAGGAGTAGGACTAGCGGAATAGGTGTAATGATCAGCGTCTTGACACATCTGGCACAGTTTGACAGGCGTGAAATCATGTTCAACGTGTACATGTGAAGTCATTGAGATGGCTCTGCTTGCTGTTCAGGCACTTGGATACTGGGCGGTTGTAAGAATACTGAATACCTCAGTCCACTACATTCAACCTTTGGGATACTACACGCATCCTTGTATTTTGGTTATACCTGTAAACCGATGTTCCAGATGATCCAGGTTTGAATGATGCTCAGTCGACACTTCCACACATACATCCAACTTGCTACGGGACATATCACTGTTACACCAATTTTTCTTACCCAAAGCGAGCGGTGTCGAAATGTCCAAAATAAGTTCGATTCTTCTCTTAACCACTCCCCCTCAATTTACCTACCTACCTGCCTGCCTACCTACCTACCTCAAAGCTACCTACCTAGAGATAGGTACCTCCAGATCCACCGTGATTATTTCATCTACCTCTACTGTTACTACATCATGCCCCCGCACCACCACTCGCTTCCCGCTGTCCATCTACTTGTACCACATCCGACACCACCAACAAAGGAACAATCTCCGCTTCCCAATCATCCACGATAAGAGAAATAGAGCTACAAATCGCCTCGACGGCCTCTTCAAAGCTCGATGCGGGCAACAGGGGGCCTTCTCTCTTGTCTTGGGATTCGGCCCACCATTTGGCAAAGGGGAGCATGACGGGGGATTTAAAGCGCGAGAAGAGGATTGCAGTGGTGGTAGTGGTGGTGGTGGTGGTGGTGGTGGTGGTGTTATGTTTACTAACGTTGGTTGCACATGGTGATGGCGGTGGTGGTGGTGGTGCAGTTGGGTTTTGCAGAGGCGATGCATGCTGGATACCGGAGGACGAGGTCTTAGTCGTGGAAGCATGTGCAGGAGGTCGGTTTCTGGAGGTACATGTAGCGGTTGCTTGATCTTTTAGGATTTCTTGGACTACATAATTTCTCAGTCAGCTACCTTACCCAACCCCATTCCCTCTAATGTTCCTGATTTCATATCTCAATACCATATCGAGACAGAGACTTATTCATGTGGGTAGAGATAGGTAGGTACCTACATACCCAAACAAACATTAGGCCACATCCCCCGAAACCGCCAAAACAGCATCTGATACCCCTTATAGTTTTTCGGCTTGTGCACCTCGCTGTTCTCGAGATCGTCAGCTATGGATACTAGGTGGTTGTGGTTGTCTAGTCCCCATTTTCGGAACTTGTGAAAGGCGGTTTTGAGCTTGGTGTGTATTGCGGGGTCTAAGGTACTATTCTTCAGTGTATCTAGAAAGAAACGCTCGGTATCAAAAAGGAAGACGAAGAGGGGGTGGATTGGGGTGGTGGGGGTTGGTTGGGACATGGTTGCATGTGTGGAATATGTTAGACGAGGTGGGTAGGTAGGGAGGTAGGCAGGTGGGCAGGTATTGTGGGCACGGACGAAAGGTAAGATACGGTACCTACTAGAGTATGCGACCAGATTTTGTTGTCAAAAGCTGATCCAGAGCCTTTTATCCTCTTTTTACTCTGGTAGATATGGATCGGGCATAAAGAAGATGACTGACGCGGTGTCTGTCAGGTCTTGAAGGAAACCAGCACTGCGCAGTTTGGCTTGCGGCCTTATGACACAGAGACACTTGACGAAATCAATCCAAAGAGATGTAAAACAGCCGATGATGATATGGAAGGACGATAACTCGGACACAGAGATAGTTTACTCACCTATGACTGTCTGTCCAGTGGTTTGCCTTTTAGCTAAAAGTCATCCGGCACATGTACAGTCGGAGTGTCTCCTCCCAGGTCTCTTATTTTTTCGACCCATGCCTGCTTGGACATTAGGAGCAAACCCACGAGCATCATGAAGAAAAAAAGATAGTTTGGAGGTAACGACCGTCAATTGATGCCTTGTCAGTTTAAGCTAATGCAAAAAAGAATCTTGTGCTAACTTTCTTTATGTTTGTAGACTTGTCGTAAGTCTCTTCCACTGATTCGACCATCCAAGAAGCGGAAGAGTGGCCAGAAGTAAAGGTCGCTATCATTGACCCCAAGACTTACTTCTGACTTGTTCTCTCAGGGATAGTTGGCCATGGGAATGTGAGCAATTGCAAGTGTAAGGATTATAAGAGCCAAAAAAAAAAAAAAAAAAAAAAAAAAAAGACAAAAGATGGAAGTGGACAGCCGACTTCAGTGTGGCGTGGTGGAGACGGGTTACCCGAAAGCAGCGATTCAAGCTTGCATAGTGCTCCCTACCAACCCCAACATTAACGCCATTTACAGGAGCGATACTAACACCAAACTTGACGTTCGTCAAAGAGAGTACGAACTGTACCGCAAACTTCATGCGATTGACAGACACTATTCAGACGCGCGAGTGTCGCCATCGAGCCTGACCGCACTGAGTCAGAAACGAACGGTGGACACTTGTCCGCGAACAAGTCAAATCAAACGACAGACACCCAGCAGCGATGCAAAAAATATTACAATTAGTTACTAGGTAGGAACCAAGTATCGAGTAGAGGTAAAAAGACGACCAGCTACATAACTCGCCTAATCCCCTTCCCTCTACCCCTTTCAACCCGACATTTTAACACGAACGACCCCTCTTAAACCCCAGTGCAAACATAGTACCCCAACCACAAGTTACTGCAATCCGCATTAACCTGGGTATTGTACTGTCTGAACTGATTAAACGTGATTCCAGCGCTTGAGGCGATGCTCGAGCAGCTGTCACCGCTCTTGACCTGGTGGTACCTCTTGCAGTTGCCTGCAATGCCGGGCATCAGGGGAGAGGGAGTCGCGTGGACGCAGACGTAGTAATCGACCCATAAGTTGGAGCATTCTACCACCAATAGGGGTGTGGTTAGTTGGGACAACAAAAAGGGAAAAGCAAAGGGGTGAGAAAAACGTACGAGCATTGATATAGCTGTTATAGCTCAAAAACTGATCAGTGGTAATTCCGTACTTGGCAGCGATGGTGCTGCACTGGTCGCCCGAGGCAACCTTGTAGTAACCGTCGCAGTTGGAGACAATACCGGGCATCTGGGGAGAGTTGGTCGCGGCGGGAGCGGTGGAGGTAGCCTTGGTGGTGGTTGTCGGCTTCTGGGTGACGGCTCCGGGGACGTGAACGCAGACGTAGTAGCCGAGCCAAAGGTTGGAGCACTCTTTGATATGGGATGTCAGTGATGGGCACTGTAGGGTTTGGGTCACAGGACAAATACGTACCAGCGTCGATCTCGGTGTTCCAACTCTTGAACTGAGTTGTGGTGATGCTGTTCTTGGAGGCAATGGTGTCGCAAGAGTCTCCGGATGCTACCTTGTAGAAGCCATCGCAGTTGGCAGCCAAACCGGGCATCTGAGGAGAGTTGGTCGGAGCCGGGGCAGCGGTGGTGCTGGTGACCTTGGTGGTGGTCGTCGGGGCAGCCGCGCCGGGCACGTGGACGCAGACGTAATAGTCAAGCCACAGGTTGCTGCACTCTGTATGATAGATCTGTCAGTAACATGTCACTGTACACACTGTAAAGAGATTGAGACATACCAGCGTTGATTTCGGTGTTCCAGGTCTTGAACTGCGTGGTGGTAATTCCATTCTTGGAGGCAATTGTATCGCACGAGTCGCCAGAAGCTACCTTGTAGAAGCCATCGCAGTTCGCTGCCAACCCGGGCATAGCAGGGGAGTTGCTAGGGGCAGGGGCGGCGGTCGTCGAGGACGATGTGGAGGTTGAGGAAGAAGTGGTGGAGACCTTGGTGGTAGTGGTCGTCTTGAGCGTGGTGCTGGTGCTCGAGGACGAGGACGAGGACGAGGACGAAGACGGGGTAGGATCAGCAGTGACAGTGCCGATGACGCAGTAGGTCTTGCTGGTGTCAAGGTTGGGGCAGGTGATGCCAGGGTTCAACTTCTTGAGCTCGTCGACAGACTGCCCCCAGCTGGCAGCGAAGCTCTCGCAAGTCGCGCCGGCATCAGCAGTCGTGGCAAAGGCACAGTCAACGGCACGGGGGGAGAGGGCCCGAGCAGAGACCATGGCGGGGACGAGCCCGGCGGCAAGAACTTGAAGGCGTGTCAGCTGCATCCTGGAGGTGTTGGGACTGGTGAAAAGAGAGTCAAAGGCCGGTGTCCTGAAGCAAAAGAGAGACTCACCAAGATGAAGTCCAAACTGCCATCTTATACATTATTCACTGGATATCATGCTTGATGCCTAGATGGGATGTGTCGACCAACATGGCCTGTTCTCAAAGTCCCCAAGTTCACAAAGGTCATGGGAAGACCTGGCTGCCGGAGAGATGACAGTGATCCACCGTCGGTGATATCACGGCTGCCTGCATGCGAGGAAGATGTTGGAGAGCAGCCATCGATAGTCTGACTGCATTGCAACGTTGACTTGGAACGAAGCGTTGTAGGTCGTAGTGTAGAGATTGTCGGTGATGTTCGCCAGATATTGATTGCTATGGAGAAAGGATCTCGCGGCTGCCAGCCGATGGCCTCTTTGGGAAGTCAGCCCCGTCAGGCAGGCAAGAGGGGGAAGGCTGACAGTCAGCCGGAACCTCGAGTGTCGTGGTACGGGAAATGGATACTGGCATCATCTTTTGGCAAATGTGGTGGTGCGAGTCCTGAAATGGTTCGGCAGCGGACGATGTGACTTGATAATTACGGTAGAGGATGACGGTGTGGTCATGGTGGTGTTTGTTACATTCTGCGTATCTGCAAGGTCCTTCGGATCGCGGCTGACCAATCAGCAAGGTCCATCCCGGCCAGGATGCGAATCCTCCACGCCAAGCCTATAGCGCAGCCTTGGCAGGCACAGTGAATCGTCCCCTCCGACCCGACCCACCTCGGCTCTTGCCCGTCGACAAACATGGCCAGTGCTCAGTCTCCACTTTTAAACCCTCTTTCCCTGCAAGGCTGTAGCTGTGCCACTCCACCGATTTCATCCTCGCTCCGACTAGGTTTCTTCTTCGCCTCTCCCGCCAAGCCGGCTATGCGGCCCCCTGGGCTTGCGGGCGACATGATTGAATGTTTGTGTCGTCAGGGTCGTCTACTAGTGTAGTGTAGCGTGTCTTGGAGTGTTCACCTGATTCGCCTTTGCCAAGATAGCATGATGGCCACCCTTTCTTTCTTTGTTTGGACCCTTTGCTAGTCACCAAACCGTTTCCTCCCTTCTCATCCATCGTCGTGCTTCTTTTCAATCTGACACGCTTTCAGTGTTGCCGACGACCACTACATCTCTGAGAATCACCCAACATCACCGCTCGACACACCACTTATCAGGAAAACATGCACTTCAAACCGTGGACAGCTTGGTCCCTCCTGGCCTCTTTGGTCAGTCTTTGGGCCGTTGTCGACGCGGCCGATTCCGGCATCCTCGAGGTCGACCTTCTCTTCCCGCGCAACGAGACATATGCGCCCACCGAATGGATCCCCTACGTCTTTTCCATCCAAAATGCCAAGCTTGCGAAATATCTCGTTCCCGAAATCAGGTACGATGTATGGAACCTGACTGAAGGCGGAAATAGCTTTGGTTACACCCATCAAAACCTACAATGGGCGAACTGGTCCAGCCACGACCCCTACTTTGTCCACCACTTTCACAGCGGCCTCCACGAGGGAAGGTGGCGTCTCAACTGGGAATTCTGGTACATCAGCTGCAACGAGGACTTGTCCAACTTGCACAGCAGTAGCGAACTCGTGAATCGAAACCGAACCGTTGGAAGCATCGAGTTCAGCATCCAAGAGGGCGGCCCGGCGGTAGATGTCGTTGCTGCCACGGCCAACGACAAGACATGTTCCGAGGGGAACGGAGCTGCCATCAACATCACCGGCAATACCAAGGAGGTTGCCCCCTTCGGAATAGAATTGACAGACGATACCTGTGTAGTGGTGGGATCCCCTCAACCGACTCCCACCCCTTGCCAGGTCAAGGTGGACTCGGCCGTTGCCGCCAGCATGACGGCGTCGTTGAGGGCCAAATTGTGTGATCCCCTGACCAGCACAAACCGCCCGGCCGATTGTCCTGAGGATAATGCCGCCCAGAAGCTAGCCGTTGCGGGTGTGGCGTGCTTAGCAGTCGCAGTGGGCGTGTTTGGGTTTTTGGCTTGAACATGATGGGATCTTTGTCAGCATGACTTGATGCAGGTACTTTTACCCTTTATGCAGGAACATGTAGCGTTATGCAGTATGCATGTAATGTAGCCATGACAAACGAGAGCTGTCTTTCTTTTCCTTGATTCCTTCCCGGCATAAGTCTTTTTTTCGTTCCACCCTGTATAATCTTCCTACAAAATAATCTAATGCCACTCTCACCCAACGCAAAAGCATTTCCCATGGCGCCATAACTTAGGGCTTACGCCGAGAACCCCAACCAAGTCTCACCTAATGCAAAGTCAATCCTGAACCGCTCTCACCGCTGTGCCGGGGAAAACCAGAAAATCGGAAATTGCCATGTGGGTTCTCCATGTTTTGCCAAGAACCCATGGCGCTTAAGCAAGAGCCTTTAGACGTCGAGCGAGTCGAAGCATTCTCACGATGCTACCTGCCCGCCACGGATTAGCTGAGGAAAACTCTTTCCTTGGCTCATGACCCCTATGCAATGGAAATGTGATTGCCCGGGGCCGAGCAACCAAAGACTCGGGACTATCGGTGGCCATAACAATAACAGCAATCCTACGCAGTGTGGTGTACACTACATGGCTCAGGGTCCAAACTAGGCTGCAGCCAGCGAGCCTGCAAGGCAGCTACTTGCATCCATCTATCTCATCTGCCTCTTGACTAGGCCCCTCATCGAAAAGGCAACATTGAAATTGGTGAGTTGTGACCGGCGAGACTACCTACCTAGCTTTCTCCGCGGAAAGGATTGTAGAAATGACGAAGGAGGCACCTAAGAATGACCCAAGAAGGGACTTGAGTTTGCCGATTTTCCGGGGTGAAGAGTCAGCCCTTGCGAAATGGAAGACATTGCATGTTACTGTCAGCACTAAAGCAGCAAGGCTACGACCTTCCCGTTAGGTGCAGAACTCCACACAGCAGGTTTTTAGGCTGCATGCGGCTGCGAGGCGTAGCGGCGGGCCGTGATGGATACAAAACGGGAAGTGGAGAGGCCGAACGGATGAAAAGACCTAATTGGGCAGACACAGTATGCGAGGCTGCTCCGTGCACAAGGCTAAGTACTTAGTAGCCTGGATCCACGTGAATGGTGTGGGTACAGTGTCGGGCTCCTCCACTTTTTCATTTCTCCACATCTCGGTCAGACTCGACATCAACGACACTTTCCTCTCTTTCTCACCACCACCATCACACTCTCCCATCACCTAGGTCACCTCCGACAACGTGGTATTCAATGTCCTGTCATTCTCACCAGGCTGTGACACTGGGCTGATGGGTTGCCACACCGTCATCAGAGCCTCGTGCTCGCTCCGTTGGACGTAATAGGAGAAGGATTCTCAGCCATGGCCTCCTTTGGGGCTCAATATACCAAACCTGGGTTACAGTATTGGACAATTCACAGTCCATCATCACCAACAGCCCGCCATTGCGAACTTCAGGCAATCTCGACTGATCGCTTGATGGTCCATCCATGTCATCATCAGATGTCCACCTGCAGGCAGAAGTGCTGTTCCCCTGACCAACTTTGATCACAACAACGCGAGATTGAGGTGCGGATCCCAAACGGACCATCTTTTAGACCCTCGCATGGCTTGGTTACATCTCTGACGGGCACCGTTGCATTCTGTGATTCCGCCACTACGTCCAGATACCCAGCCCTACAGGGTTAACATGTTCCGTCCACCTTCGGATGCTCTAACCCAGCACGAACTCCTTGTTGTTGTTTTTTTCACACCCTTCGGGCTCTAGCTACGAAGTTTCCGTGAAGAATTGTCCGTCAATCTCCGCTCATGGTGCCCTCCGGAATCCTTGAGGTCGTTAGTGAAGCAATAGATTGCTACGGATCAGCAAGAGAATAATCATACCCTTCGCATCTTTCGGCAAACACTCGCCGCCAATATTCGCCTCTTGCACGTCAGCCTCGGGATGACCGTACGATGAGGGTGATAACCCTTGCCAATGCTACATCCCAGTGGATGGAGGTCTGGTGCCTTGGGGGTTTTGGTTCCTTGGACGCTGGAGAGAGTGAGAGTGAGTGGGTGAGTAGGGGTCTGACATGTTTAATGACTTGGAGGCAATAACTCGCCAATATGGAGAGCAAAGAAGGTATAAAGACCACTTTCTTCGCTGTTGCCGTTGGTTCAGAATGATCGAGGTCCATCAGTTCCACCTGCTCTTCTGGCCATCAAGGCCTGTGTTGGACTGAACCATCGTTTACATGTAAGTGGCCCCCGGAACTCAAAAGCCACGACTCAGTCTAACCTGTTTACCAGTCTCTGTCAGATTCCTTGTGCAACCATGGTGGCTTTATCATGGTTCACGGCGGGTATGGGGGCTCTTGGCCTCTTGCTCTCTGCTGATGGAGTCCTGGCTGCCAAACAACCAGCTTTCCGATTTCCTTCGAGCCCAGCCTACCGCGACGTATGCCCTGAGCGATGTATCGTTTCCGGACCAAACTCAGGCAACTGGTCTGTCTATCCCAACTTCAAGCAGATCAAAAAGTGCACCCAGACCATGTTCTACGACTTCAACCTCTATGACCAAGTCGACAATCCCGACTCCAACTCCCGCATCGCTGCTTGCACTTCGTTTGGTCCTGACTTCTCCTTGTTACCCCCCAACAACTCGGCCGCACGAATTCCTTCCCTTGACCCTGTCAACGTTGATTTCGAAGTCGGCTGGAAAGAGGAGGGTTTCGGCCTGGCTGCTGCCGGGCTCCGGTCTCTGATCAAGCAAATCCGCAAGTATGTCGAAAATGGACATGGGGCCACTGAGGAACCCCTCATCGTTTATGCTCAGTCTGGTCAAGCCACTGTCGGTCTCTACATCGGCCAAGGTCTGCAGAACCAAGGCCTTAGCGAGTCGGCCCTGAGTATCTTGCAGGACAACCTCGACACTCTCAATGTCTCGACACCTAGCCTGGCCATGCAGCTTTGCGGCCCTGGCTACGACAGCGCCCATACTTTTGGCGTTATGCTTACCAGCAATGCTACCTTTGCTCCCATCCAAGACGCCATCAAGACCTGGGCCAATGCCACTTGCTTGTCCTTTGCGGGCTCCAAGAGTTTCGCCGGCGAGGCTGTGTTCACCACGCCGCTTCTGCCAACAAACGGCACTGTTGGGTCGAACTCCACCATTGGCTCCAACTCCACCATCCAGGCCAGGGGACTCGGTCGCAGGTATCACAGGGCTCTTCATGCCCGTGCCGAGTGCAAGAGTGTGCAGGTCGAATCTGGTGATAGCTGTGCGTCGCTGGCCACAAAGTGTGGTATCTCGGGCGCTGACTTCACAAAGCTCCATCCCGACTCCGACTTTTGCGCCAAGCTGAAGCCAAAGCAACACGTCTGCTGCACCACCGGAGATCTTCCTGATTTCCGTCCCGTCCCCAACTCTGATGGCTCTTGCTTCTCGTACCAGGTCAAGGCCAATGACAACTGCGCCAACCTTGGTGCCGAGTATGGCCTGACCAACGAGGACATTGAAGGCTTCAACAAGAACACCTGGGGCTGGAATGGCTGTGAGCTTCTGTTCAAGGACACCATCATGTGCTTGAGCAAGGGATCCCCGCCTTTCCCCGCCCCGATCGCCAACGCTGTGTGCGGTCCGCAAAAGCCGGGCTCCAAGCCGCCGACGGATGGCTCCAAGATTGCCGACATGAACCCTTGCGCTCTCAACGCCTGCTGCAACGTCTGGGGCCAGTGCGGTATCACCAAGGACTTTTGCGTTGACACCAACACCGGCGCTCCAGGGACTGCCAAGAACGGCACCTACGGCTGCATCTCCAACTGCGGCACCGACATTGTCAAGGGTGATGGGTCCGGCGCCATCAAGGTTGCCTATTTCGAAGCCTACAATCTGGGCCGAGACTGCCTCTTCCAGGACGCCTCTCAGATCGACACTTCCCAGCACACCCACATCCACTTTGCTTTTGGTACTTTGACCCCTGATTATGAGGTCGAGGTCGGCGATGTTCTGTCCTCTTATCAGTTCCAGGAGTTTAAGCGTGTCAGGGGCGCCAAGCGTGTCGTGTCGTTTGGCGGCTGGGACTTTTCCACTATGCCTGCCACCTACTCCATCTTCCGCAATGGTGTCACCTCCGCCAATCGTCTCAAGATGGCCACCAACATTGCCAACTTTATCAAGGAGCACGATCTCGACGGTGTTGACATTGACTGGGAATACCCCGGAGCACCTGACATTCCTGGCATCCCGGCCGCCAGCCTGGATGATGGCCCCAACTATCTCGCCTTTCTCGTCATTTTGAAGAACCTGCTACCTGGAAAATCGATCTCGATCGCCGCCCCCTCCTCCTACTGGTATCTAAAGCAGTACCCTCTCAAGCAGATCGGTGCTGTAGTGGATTACATCGTGTTCATGAGTTACGACCTCAGCGGCAAGTCTTATTTCTTCAGAATTTTTCAAATATTAATTTCTTTAAAAATGGTTTTTTTTTTTTTTTTTTTTTTTTTTTTTCCCCTTCCATCAATCAGTGCCATCATTCTGCTAACTCCCGAAATAGGACAATGGAATGTGGGCAACGAATACGCTCTAGATGGATGTGACGCCGGCAACTGCCTGCGTAGTCAGGTCAACCTGACGGAAACCAAGCAGTCGTTGGCCATGATCACCAAGGCCGGCGTTCCCGGAAGAAAGGTCATCGTCGGTGTGACTAGCTACGGTCGCTCTTTTGAAATGGCGCAGCCCGGCTGTTGGGGGCCCAGCTGCACTTACACTGGTACCAACACAAACTCATACGCGAAGCCGGGCGTGTGCACCGGCACTGCGGGCTACATTGCCGACGCCGAGATTGCCGAGATCATGGCCGGAACCGGCTCGAAGCGTTCAGGAAGAGTCACGGCTAGCTTCGTCGACGCAAGCAGCAACAGTGACATTCTTGTGTACGACAACACCCAATGGGTTGGCTATATGAGCGCTGCCACCAAGAAATCCCGCACAGCCCTTTACACGGCGTGGGGAATGGGAGGCACCACGGACTGGGCCAGCGATCTGCAAAAGTACAACGACGTTCCCTCGCCTGCCAAGGACTGGAACTCTTTCAAGCAAGCCATCCGTGCCGGCTTGGACCCTAAGGGTGATGATGGCGTTCGTGATGGTAACTGGACCAAGCTGACCTGCGACAATGACTACACCATAAACTGGGACGACCATACGCCCGAAGAGATCTGGAAGAAGCTCAATGCGGATGCTGCGTGGGACGATGTGGTCAGGAACTGGAAAGACAACAACCGTGGCAGACCGGGCTTCAGCTTTATGGACTCGGTTGGTCTTACCCTTGGCATGGGAGCCGGAGGCACCGCGCAGTGCGGCACGCTGGGCAAGCACGACAATTGCGACAAAACCGAGGATTGTCCCGATAGTGCGAACGGGGACAGGTCTGGTCCTGCAGCGCAACTGATCTGGAACTCGCTGGTGTGGATCCATGAGGCCTACCATGAGTACTACGACGCTTTGTACGACGTTGCGGGCATCATCAGCACGTCTCTTGATAACATGGAGGATACCTTTGCTCCTATTCCAGCGCCGCCTGACAACAAGTGGACGTACCTGCTAATCGATCTGATCACTCTCGGAACCCTCTCGGTTGCCGGCCCTTTCTTCAACACGCTGCTCAAGAACACCGCGTATTTCATCGAGAAGGAGGGTTCGGCTCTTGACAACCTCAAGGACACCACCTTGACCTTGATCGGCCAGAGCACGACCATCGCCAAGGATGTGCTACCCAGCAAAGACTCCCCCTGGACACCCGAGGCTCAAAACGAGTACTCCAACTACATGGGCCAAGCCATCGCCGGCTGGGCCAACGTCACCTCCCTCTCCCTCGAAAAGTTCTTCGAGGCCACCGACGACACGCTCGACGCCATGGGCGAGCTCATCTCGGACGGCAAGCTGATCCGCGGCTCAACAGGCAACAACGTGATCGACGGCTCCAACCAATCCAACGACCTGCGCGCCAACCTTGCCAAGTCCTTCTACGCCTACGCCATCCCCAACCTCTGGCGCTCCGCCAAGACGTACGCCTTTGTGCTCGACTCGGGCATCTCGTGCAGCACCTCCAATCCGCTCGGCGACTATCTCGAAGACGACACCATGAAAGACACGGGCGCCTGCGTCGACGGCACGTGGTACTACCTCGTGCACCCCGACGGCGACAGCAAGAAATGCCAGTGCCAAATCGTCGGCGACCACGGGCCCTGCCAGACCATCTGCCGCGACAACAAGTTCTCCGCGCCGCCCGGCATCGGCTCACTCAGCAACTTTGGCGGTATCTCCAAGGACGACCTGATCACGGGCTCCGTCCGCACTTACAAGCAAAACGGCCAAAAGAACGGGGGTTCCTCCCCCGATCCGCGCGACGGCGGCACCATCGATAACCTCCTCAAGGTCGACGTCACCACCCCCGGCTACGTCCGTCTGCCCGTCTGCTCCCCCGAGCGCGCCTTCCAGTCCTGGGACACCTCCAGCAAGGGATCATCCGACAATTACCCGTGTGATATCCCGCCCGGCAAGAACGACTGCGGCGATTCGAGCTTTGAGAACCAGACGTCGGACGCCAGCCCCAGCGTGGACGATTGTCTGGCGATCATCAAGAACATCCAGGGGGATGGCGGCACCGAGTGGACGACGCAGGTGGTGGGCAAGAACCAGCGCGAGATTGCCAAGGCGGGGTCATGCGCGTTTGGAGTGGAGGCGACCAAGGTGAATGGAAACGTCAACTTTAAGGTGGGTGGCCAGGATGTGATTGATATTATCAATGAGGCGATCAACAGGTTTGGGGGAGGGGGCAAGGTCGGCGCCAAGGGGGATATGAGTTGCAATGGTAACGTTCATGGGCAGGATGTCAAGTGGGGGATTTACTAGATGGTCTATGCTACTCAACGCAGTAGTATAGGTCTGGGTGTTGAAGGTTTATCTACGCACACTTGTGGTCTTTATCACTTCTTTTCTTTCTTCTTTTCTTTCTTTGTAGGTTGTGTTAGTACCCTGGTAACTCAATACCATTTTCCCGTCTTCATCCAAAATTTATACAATACAGTAATGGCCTTAGTCTGATTTACATCATGCATAATAAATACCCTTGATATGTCTAGTATTCCTTACTATTGGCCCTCCTTATACCGTCCGTTCGGGCGATCGACATTATCGTACCTACTTGGTAACTGTGATCGTTCTGCTTCATTGCACTGTTTGGCCGTGGAATTCCATTTAATCGAGCCAAACAACAAAGCACCATACCAATTATATATAGGTAGCCTTCCTTGTCTATTTCGAAAGCCGACCGACCCCCTCTCGCCCCTGACACTGACAAAAGTTTTGAGCCCTTTGACATTATACCTTAGGGATACACTCCCTACACATCCAAGCGTCTTCAATATACCTTTGAATCTGTCTGTCGTTTAGGCAATTCCTAGATGGGTGGGGAATATCCCAAAGGGACTCTAGCTGATGTGTTTTTGAATGATTGTAATCCCTAGTAAGAATTTGCAACGTGTGTTTCATGACTAACATAAGTAGAACAGTTTTGCCAGGGGCGAGAGGGGGTCAACTAGCGTTTGAAATAGACAAGGAAGGCTATCATTGGTGTGGTGGTTTATTGGTTCAGTTAAATGGAATGTCACAGCCAGTGCAATAAACCAGAACGATTATAGTAAGGTATCCAAGTACGATGATGTCCTTGGACCTCTACCCAAAGGGCGTTTTGTAGGATTTCATATCCCTTTTCACTTTGACATCGGTCTTTTGACACTAGATAAAATGATGGTTACGGGGGACAAGATGCCTTAGAGAGTATTCCGTGCGTATTGCGTTTGTACTGGAACGCGTTCCGTCTTCTGGGAATCGAGTAGATATCTTCGCTAATACCTTTCTGATGCACCTCAAGGTGTTTTCAAGTCAGTTTAGGGTGTTTCTGACTCATTGTAAGATGTTTCTGACTTAATTCAAGGTGTTTCTGACTTGATTAAGGTGTTTCTGACTCAAGTCAAGGCATTTCTAACTCAATTCAAGGTGTTTCGGTGTTCCTCACTGGCCGTTTCTGGACTAACAAAGCTGACTCGCCCATATTCTATGTATACGTTGTCAGATAGGCCCCATGATCACTCGCCAGGGATAATTACAAGGAACTCATGAATGACACTCAATATATTCATACTACTCGTGAAGAAATCTCCGCTTACAGATCTAGCTCCTTGAAGCCTCGAGCACGAATAATTCCCGGTGTTCTATCATGGGGTGCTAAACCTTTGTAAAAAAAAAAAAAAGAAAAAAAGAAAAAAAAGACTGGTTTCCGTCAGGTTGACCTGGCTGCGCAGGCAGTTGCCGGTGTCACATCCCTCCTGAAAGTATTCATTACCCATTAGGCTGTGCGAGCTGAAAGTTCGTTGATGTTTACGGGTGTAGAAGAATTTAAGAATTTCACTAACGATTTGTGCCAGCATGCCTTGAATAGAAAGAATGTATCCTCTTAAACGTACCTAGTCACGCTCAGGGATAGCTTATTAATGGCCAAATATCAAATGGTATACCTTCTTCTCCTTAGACTCACTTCTCTAAAAGTCTCTAATCCTTCCCTGATTACCTACATTCTCAATTCATTTACGCCGCCGATTCTAAGAAATCTTACTTCAAAGGTCCTTCACACTCTTAGATCCCCAAGCATCACCATTTCGTATCCCAACCTAGCGTGCCGCACTGCGTGGTGCCTCCGGGGGCGGGCATCCAGCCAAAACACGACCAAAAATCCAAAACGCCAACCCAACATCTGCTAAATCTGGTTGTCGAATGCACAACAGTGATTATCGCGATGGATTTTCATGTTCTGAGCGGTCTTATATGTATACCCGCATGTTGGGCAAAAAAACATTGGTGTAGCCGGGGGCGGCCGTCCCTCCGCGACGGCCACCCGTACCGTATGAATATAAGATTTTCTTCGATAAGCATTTATTTGCGCCTGGGTATTCCATCCCGGCATCTCGGGACACAATTCACACAAAAGTATTTGTGATTGAGCTGGAATAGCCGGCATGTCCGGGTGGTGCTTGCTTATGTGTTTTTTTAGATCCGGAAGGGGAAAGGCGAATAAGAAAAGAAAACGAAGAACAAAAGAAAAGAACGAAAGAACATATCCCAGTTTGCAACGCAGTCTGCTTCTCCTTTGCCCCGAAATCTCACCAGGTATCTTCATCTGGCATACAGCAGTCTTCACCCTGCAGTCTCTTTTTATCATCATAACCTCTTCCCGTACTGTAGCCCTGTCCAGGTAATCTTTGCGTCCCATTACCAGATCCTGTAGTTGCACGCAATCCACCTGAAGTACCATCTACTTAAGAGGCCCATCCATCCAGGTAAACCTTCGCTTGGTGGGTAAGTTCTCCCCTCACCTCAGATGGTATTCCTGCTGGCGCGAATGCCGCCGTCGCCGTCTTGAACCCCTCCCTCCTCTTGTGAGTCATCCAGCTGCTCTATTGCTTGCAACTGGCCGAGCAGATTTCCTTCGAATCGGTGATGCCTTCTCTGGAGAGGCTGCCTTGGATGAAGTATGTATTTGCCCCCTGTGCAAGTGCACACAGAAATGCAAAATCATGTCATGGCTCGGATGAGATCCACCCACACGGGTAAATACTGTAGCGGATCCAAGATCGGTGCTACCCCGTCCAATTCTTCACCTTGCAAATCTGCCCTTACGATATCCTCCATAATCACGTCGTCCATCGCTTCAAGATCCATCAATTCGTAATTCCATCGCTCATCCTCCTCGTCATACCTTAGCCAATCCCAGTGTTCCACCGGTATTGTATCAAGTGCGAAACCTCCGTGCTCCATCAGTACCCAACACACTTATCGATGATCTTGGGAGCCTGCTTGATTAGCCAGCTCAAAAAATCCTGTAAACGGAAGTGTTCAGTGTCCGTATACCGAAGTAGTACCTTCAGGCATTCCACTGACCCCTTGGAGATAGCGTGTTCCAGATGTATGCGACCATGAGAGTCCGTACTCTCAACGTCAGCACCTGCTTTGCAGAGTACATCGACCATGTGCTGATTATTGAAGTCCAAAGCAACCTCCAGTGGCGTCTGATCGCGTCCATTCCTTTCTTCAGTTTTAGCCCCCTTTCTCAGGAGTTTATTGACCCAGTATTCCTCTGCCCCTCTCACAGCCAGACACAGCAGAGTTTCACCGTCGTCTTCCTGATTTCTGATATCAGGACACTGTTGGACGAGCACTTGAGCAACATCCGTGTGACCCAGAGCCTCTGCCCAAGCTAAGGGCTTGAGTAATCCATGCTTGTCCTGAGGCTCGATAGTCGCACCATTGTTGAGAAGGAGCTTCACGAGAGAAGCATGCCCATGGAAAACCGCGCAGAAGAGCGCGGTCTCTCCTTGCTCATTTACCGCATTGATCTCGACACCCTTCTGGAGAAAGAGTTCGGCCAGATGAGAATCCCCCTTCCACGCTGCCATCATTAGCATAGTATCTCCATCAACATTTGTTGCGAAAGTGTCGGCCCCCTTGTCGATAAGTAGCTCAACAAGATGAAAATTCCCTCTGTCTGCTGCCGCTAGCAATGGCGTATACCCATTAGACTCCGCAGCCTCGATATTGGCACCATTTTGCAGAAGCAGCTTAACCAAATGAGTATTCCCTCGGTATGCTGCCGCCAGCAATGGTGTACACCTATTCGAATCCGCTGCCTCAATATCGGCACCCCTTCGCAGAAGTAGCTCAACCAAATGAGTATTCCCTTTGTACACTGCCATTAACAATGGCGTATACCCATCTAAACCCGCAGCCTCGATATTAGCACCACTTTGCAGAAGTATTTCAGCCACATGAGTATATCCTCTGTCTGTTGCCGCTAGCAATGGTGTATGCCCTTCTAAGCTCACAGCCTCGATATTAGCACCTTTTTCCAGGAGAAGCTTAACCATATTGCTTAGCTCCCTATCAGCTGCCACTAATAGTGGAGTCTCTCCGTAGACGTCCCGAGCCTCGATATCGGCACCTTTCTCCAGGAGAAGCTTAACCATATCGCTTTCCTCCTCATGAATCGCTAGTAGTAGTGGAGTGTCTTCGTCGTTGTCCCGATTCTCAATGTTAGCACCACAGCTTAACAACATCTCAGCAATACGGCAATTGCCAAGTTTCGCGGCCAATGCTAATGGGGTATGACCAATGCCATCCTGCAACTCAATGTCCACAGCTATCTGGGCTGAGATCGAGATGCACTCCTTAGCCAAGTCGTGGGTCTCTGCTTTGAGATCATAATCCAGGGACTCGACACGGGAAATATCAACCGAAGAATCTCCAGAGATGTTGAGATCCACACCATTCTCAGTTCCAAGAAACATTTCGACAAGTTGTTCATGTCCGATTTTGACAGCTTCATGGAGCGCGGACGACTTATCGATACCAAGCCTTCGATTTGGATCGGCTCCAGACTTCCACAAAATCATTGCTGTCCCCAGGTGCCCTTTGTGAGCTGTAGCAAAGAGGGGTGTGACTTTGCCTCTCGTCCGAGGTAAATCACCCAAACTCTCCAGCTTGGCACCCCTTTTTAATAGGAAATCGACAAGTTGCTCGTGGCCACGTTCAGCTGCTGTGACTAGCAACTGGCAATCTCCCTTAGAATTTGCGATCTCAGCTCCTTTCTTGAGCAGATCTTCAACCATCGACACATCAACCTCGAAGTTGCCGTATGTATCTTCGCAAAGGGCTTCAAGAACTGAACTTCCACCCAGTACGCGAACCTGCGCTCCCTTGCGAAGGAGAATCCGGGCCATAGTCATGTCTCCCTTTCTTAAGGCTATGTAGAGTGGTGTCTTTTGCTCATATAGGGCGTTCAGATCCTCACTTCTTTCGGGAAGTGCTTCTGCAGCTTTGTGAAGGCCATACTTCACAGCCAAGAGAAATGCTGATCGGGGTGGATATTCGTAATATCTCCCCCAGGTCTCAAACAACCAACTATACTTGTTTAACCCAACAAAATCAGCCTGAGCTGCAGCCTCCATGGCCTCTTTACACTGCAAGAATCCAAGAAGAAGCTCGGAGGCCTCAGAAGAAAGACGAGCATGCTCGACCCAGTACTTCGCAGCATACAAACAAAGCGAGTATTTTGAGATCCGCTCAAGATACTGGTCTTCGAGAGTGCAAGGCCCGCTCTTGAAGATGGAGTACATGAGGTAGGTGACACAAACTTCCGTGATCGTGTTATGCGGGTTTATGCTCCAGGACAGTTTGAAGTGGCGCTGTTCCAGATATTTTTGCGTAGTGTAATGGACCAGGCGGACTTCTTGGGTTTTATCGTCAACGATTGCCAGTCCAGCGCAAATTGACACATCCAGGCTGGCAACGAGATTGTCTTCATCCAACTCGTTGCTACCAACCTCAACAGCAAGGGCATGCCTGAGTTCGTCTGTCGAAAGAGGTCGTTTTGCGTGCGTGATCCAGAGAAGAATTTGCATTGCATGGTCCCGAAAGCCTAGTTCTTGCTTGTCGATTCGCGCCATGGTTTCGCCATAGGCTTTGTCGAGTCGTTCCTCTACCGAAAGCTTCTTTGATGCATTGTCCTGATGCTGCATTCCTTGCAATATATCACGCACTTCTTTGGGGGTAGACTTGTCTCTGAGTGAGTCCATATATAACTGCGCCAAAAGGAACCTGGGGCAAAGTGATGAGCATGATGCTAGACGTAAGGCCATAATGAAAACTTACATTCCGCGGGCGGCTTGTGATATCGTATCTTTCACCTCTTGCTGGAGAACCTCGTTGGCACGGAGCGGTGATGATACTGGCATTTTTGAAAAGCGACCGTCCACGTATCTCCCCAGGTCATCCTGGTTAGCAGATATCTCTACTTTGGCAGCATCGTCGAAGAATTGGTTAATGTCTGTGAGAAATGGTCTTGAAGTGATGAATAGCTTAAGATTTGAGGAAGACTGTCCAAGATTTCGAAGTCCGTCCACAAAAGCATTTCGATGGTCTTCATCATCGAGCAATTCGTCAAATGCGTCGACAACAACATAGACTCGAGTAAAGTTCTTGATGACGTCCTTCAATGCCTGAGTTACTTCCTGAAGAGATGGTCTGGTGGACTTGGATGTGTGTTTCGCATGCAGTGCTCCAACACCAGGCGACAAAGATTCCTTTGAGAGGCACAACTGCTTTGTGAGACTGGAAAGAAGTTTGAGGGCTGTCTGTTCGCCCTGGCGTCTGTAATCACAGTATATATAAGCAGCCTCGGTTTCGCCGGCCAGAGAATGGGAAATATTCGTTAAATCTTCAATGACGATGGAAGACAGTATTGTTTTCCCAGCCCCTGGGATGCCTTCACAGAACAGTACCTTCCGGTCCTCATCTCTCCATGTTTGGTACTCGGCCGAATTGAGGAATCACGTACCGGTGCCTCTTTGTTGCTTATCCCGATAAAGGCTGTGTTGTGACCCAAGGTTTATCGGTGTGAGCCAGTCCAGTACATCCAGATCTTCTCGCCGCTGCAGTCCGCGTTTAAGGTAGTTTACATTCTCCGCCGTCTCCACAACCTTCTGCTTGACTAGGAAAGATGTTAGATGTGAAAGTAAAGTGTAAATCATAGATGTAAAGCAATCGTGTCTCTGCACGAAGATGTAAACCAGTGATATTATGAGAGAAGGAAGGAGCAATTCAGGAGAGATGGTGCCATTAATTATGCAAATCCCAGGTTTCTCGATTGATGATGGAGATATCAGTGGAGGATTGGAGTACGAATACAGCAGCGAGGGTTACTTGTCAGTATTCAAAGTATATCCGCTTGAATGGGGAAAGAAGGCGTCTTGAGTCTTGACGAGTATTGTAGCCAAAAAAACGTTCAACACGAACGGTAGAACCGACCTTCTTTGATGATATCACATGCTGCTCGCTCTCCATTCACTTCCACCGGTTGCACCACGTGTAGAAGCTCCTTAGCATAGGCAGCCGCAACAGCGGCGGCATGTCTCTGCCATCTCTTGTTTTTATGCGAGTCCGCATAATCACAAATTCCCCGTATGACTAGACATGGGAAGTTGTTCATCAACCCAGTGTAACGAACCGTTACAAGCACAGGAGTATATCGCTGGGATGAATAATAAGCAACGGTAGTAGTAGCTAAAAGGTACTGATCGATTGTAGAAGCTATTGCTTGCTGAAGAACCCAGTATGCCAGGAAGCCCGGGAGGGCTTCCTTATATATCAGGTCTTTAGCCGGACCCGTGGACCCGAGTTTCCCCCTCGGGTCCCGGTTTGGACCCGGCCTTTAAGACCGGTCCTTCGGGTCCTGTCTTCGGGTCCTACCTTATTGGTTAGTTTTATTTAAATATATAATTGGATTGTAATACAATGCCCCCTCTCCTATAGCTTTATTCTAAACGCTACAATATAACCCTATAATATATAATAAGGGAATTGCGGAGGTTGGGTGCCAACCGGTTGTTAGTTGTAACCTTATTGTTTATCGTTCCCAACGCTTCCTCCCTTTCCTACTTCCTTTAATTTTAATAATCCTATATTACCCAATTTCTTTTTATCCTAATAAATTTTCTTTTCTATTAATTCTTATACTTATTATTATAATTCGATTCTATATTTCTCGTTCCTAACGTTCTATTTAGAAAGGGGCGGTGGTTAAAGCGTTAGTAATTTTAATCGAAAGTTCCGGAGAGCCCGCTAAAATGCTTTCTAGTAATTATTATTGTTATAGCCGAATTTATATTGTAGATTTATTAAAATCGAGTGTGTATAGCGAATATATCTATTGTAAAGTTGTTTATAATAGTTAGAACGTTACTAAGCGTTGTAAGTATTATATTATTTAGATAGTAGAATTGTTATTAATATTTATAATTTATAATTTTATAAAAGAGGCGAAATATTTAGAGGAGGAGGAGGAACGATTATTAAGGAATTTAGTCGAAATTTAATTAAAATTATTATATATTAAAGAGTAGAAGTATTATTTCTAAAAGAGGTAAAAGGAAATATTTAATCGAGGAATAGCGGAATTGGTAAAGGAGTTAGGGGATATTAATCCGCTTATTTCTAACGAGCTAATTTCCTTTATTACTTTAGGAGAACCCGAAGTTAATTACCTCCGTCCTATTCTATTACCGATTAATTTTAATACGTAAGTTTGGGAATAAGGGTTAGAATTTCCGTTAATTAGGAATAATTAGGGAATCGTCGGTAAAAATTCTCAATCTTATTTTTTAAATTAAGAAAGTTCTTTATTAGTTCCTAAATATTGCTTTTATAATTATAGCCTTACTATTTAATTTAGTATTCGATTTCTCCCGTATTAGCGTTTAATTTTGAGTCTAGGATTACTTTTATTAAAAATTTATTTCTATCGTTCTATATCTCTATTTACTTATTAATTCTAATGTTCTTTAATATTAATTCTAATAATAAGATATAGAATATAGGCTATTACCTTATACCTTTTAGGAATTTTAATCGGTAATTATTCGTATTAATTTTTTCTATTACTTTAAAAGGTCCTAACTTTTTATAGTCGAATTTATCGTTTGGTCGTTTAGTTTTAATATTTCGTTAGAGAAGGTAAACCTAATCTCCCCTTCTAAAGGTTAGTGCTAATAACCTTATATAGTTGTAATAGCGGTTTATACAATCCTTAACGAATATAAGTTCGTTTTTAAGGGTTTCGTATATTTTAATTAGCCTTTCTACCCGGATATATACCCGTAGGACAATTAATTCTAAGTCCTAATTACGTTAGGAATTTATTTTATATTTATAATTTGTAAAGAAGGGTATAATTTTTGTAATTTCTATTTTAGAATTATTATAAAATATTTATACCGTTAGTAGTAATTCAGCCTAATTATCCTATTTGTAATTTATATATACCCGGAGGTATATTTTTAGGATTTAATTTATTTATTTAATTTGCCCGTCTATTCTTACGTAGTATATAGTAAATATTTTATATTTAATTCCTAATTTATTTATAAGGCTTACTAATATTTTAATAAGAAGAATTTATCTTTATTAGTAATTAGCTCCTTCGGCTATTTATAATTGGAAGTAATATATTTTATAAAGATGTACTCTAATTGTTCTACGTTAGTATCTTCCCTAAATAGGAGGAAATATAAGAATTTTATAAATCGGTTAATAACGACCAAGATATTATTGTACTTAATTCCTATAGTTAGGTCGTAGGATATAGGTAATTTTATAATAAAGTCTATAGTTACTAATTACTATAGTACTTCTAATACCGGGAGTAGTTCCAATAAACTATATAGTTTATATTAATTAGCTTTAATTTTATAATAAGTTTCGCATTCTTATAGTACTTCCATAATAATTTCCTTTATTCCCGAGAACCTAAATAATTATTATACTTTAGTAAAGGTACGTATAATTCTTATATAACCCCCTTCTTCTAATAATTAATAAATATCTTTTACTAATTTCTTTTAGAGAAAAGGAGGTACCTAAAGCTTACTTTTATATAATTAGGGTTCTATAAAAGTAATAAAGTATACCTTAATTTCTTTATTATTAATTTTATATTATATTTCGGTAATTCGTTAGATTTAATTATTTAGGTCTACTCTAGCGATATTATAAACGTCGGGGTTATTGTCCGAATTTTATAGTAATAGTCTATATTGTAAGGAATCGTCCTTATTAATTTAGAATAATATAGGGGAAATAATAGGATTATCTTTTATTTTAAGGTTCTCTCTTTTATTTAAGGCGTCGGCTCTTGTATTTTCAAACCCCTTTCGGTAATAAATATTAAAATTGAATTATAATAGGAATTTTAATTATTAGGTTTATTATTAATTAAATTCTTTAATTATTATAAAATACGTTAGATTTTTATAGTTGGAATAGATTTTAACTTTATACTTTATACTATTCAATTATAGTTTCTATTCTTTAAAAGCCTAAATAATAAATATAAGCTCTTTATTGTAAATTAGGTAATTAAATTCAAATCCTTAGAATACTTTAAAATAAAACGTAATAAAGTATAACCTCTCTTATTCGTTATACTAACTAAATTAACCTCCTATTACCTAATTAGATATATTAGTTTCAATTTTGAATTCTTTATTTAAATTTAGGAGTACGAAGATTAAATTACTTAGGATTATTCGTTTTAGAGTATTAAAGGTGCTATTATATTCTTTCAATTATATAAATAGAATATTTTTTTTAATTAAATTGTTAAATAGTTTAATTATACTTCCAAATTCCTTAATAAAGCGTCTATAGAAATTAACAAACTCTAAAAATCCTCGAACGCTAATTATTAATATAAGTGCTGGCTATTCGGCGATATCCTTAATTTTTATTAGGTCTATACGGATTTACCTGGGTAAAATACAATATCCTAAAAAATCAACCTACCGGACGTAGAATTCGCTTTTTTTAGGGTTAACGGATAAACCAATTTTTTCTAAAGTAGTAAGGACCTTATATATATATTTCTAGTATTATTCTTCGTTTTTAGAAAATACAATAATATCGTCGATATAGGCTATTACGAATTTATTTACAAATTATTTAAATATAGTATCGATTTATAATTAGAAAGAAGCAGGTACATTTATTAATCCTTAGGGTATAATATAATATTTATAGTACCCTAAGGGTATTCTAAATACGGTTTTCCATTCTTCTACCTTCTTTATACGTATTTAAAAAAAAGCTAATATTAAATCGAATTTAGAAAAGATAGTAGCCTTTCCTAATCGATCTCGTATTTCTTAGATTAATAGTAATAAGTATCGATTTTTAATAGTATTGTTATTAAAATACCGGTAATTAATAACAAAGTATAACTCTCTATTTTTCTTTAGTATAAAGAATATAGGGGAGCTATAAAGTAATTAAGATTTTCGAATATATTCTAACTTTAATTTCTCGTTTATATATTCTTTAAGCGCCTTTATTTATATAGTATTTAATTAATAGATCTTTTAGTACTTAGGTTTAATACCTTCCTTTAAAGGTATTTCGTAGTCCTATAGACCGTATTCTAATAAAATATATTTAAACGATCTTTAGAAGATTTTATATCTTTAATATTAGAGAAGAATATTTTTAAACTTATTTTAGTCCTTATCTAGGGGTAGTTCTAAAAGTAGTAATTCCTCCTCAATATTATTAATAAATATAATTATTTTTAATAGTTCTAATAGTATAGTTTCGTATAACGAAGGGTACTAATCCTTTCTATTAGTAATTAAGACTTTTATATTAGGAATTTTTAATACTATTTTCCTATCTCTAATCTAATTAATATTCTAATTAATATTTGGATTATACTTTTTAAATTAGGGTTTTTCTAATATAGTATTATATTTACCGATAAGTATAATATTAAAAACAATCTCTTATTCGTCTCTATTTATTATAATTTTTAATAGGGTCATTTCTTATAGTATTTAACCCTATTCGTAACTAGGGCTCTTTCCCTCGAATATATATATTCTATATAGTCTTTTCTTATAAACCTATAGAATCTTCTAACCGTTTATAATTATTCGTATAATAAAATTAATTAATAATTTTAAATCGATTATAGCTATAGCAATTCCTTTAAACGGCTACGTTTAGTCTATCTAAACCTAATAAATCGAATCCTCATCCCAATTTACTTCGAGGACTTATAGCGGGTTAGCTACTTACAGTCTTCTCACAAAGAGTTATTACTATTTCCCTATCTTCTACGACCGCCTCGAGCGCAATGTTTCTTCGGGGGCTTAGGGCCGCTAATTACCTTATTAGTACTAGAAAATACTATTACAATTTCCTCCTTCCTAAGAATTGGGTATAGTTATTAATAGTAGTACCCTTTCTCTTTTAAAATTTATTTAAAGTACTATTACTAAACCTTATCAATTATATAAACAGTATAATTAATTTAATAACAATCTTAGTATTAAATATACAAGGATTCTATATATTTTTAAGGATATTCTTCCTTTAATAAAAGCTTTATAAAACGACCGCCCTTCTTTCTATTTTAAGTACGAATATCCTATAAGTTTATAGAATCTTTATAATACATTCCTCTAATAGGAATAGGGACACCGTTTTCCTAAACGTATTATAAGAAATAATTGTATTCTATTTTATAAAATAAATATTATAAATAAATATCGTATAGGTATTGAATCTAAGTAATCTTTCTATAAGAAGGGTATTTAGGGTAAATTTACAGGTAGTCTCCAATTTATAATTCCTAGGGTTAATTACAAATAGTATAGATATTTATATTGAAAGTAATTACTCTAATTAATTAGAATATCTATTTTAGGGGGTAAATTTTAACGAATTTATTTTTACTAAAGGGGCCCGTATAGTATTCGGTCTAAAGTTACCGGTTATACTTCTCATCCAATCCAAACTTATAAATCTATTTAGTATCCCTTATAATTTTTTTTTTAAATCCTTAGAATAATACTTAAATAAATATAATAAATTCTTTTAATTGTTTATTAGATTCGTAGAAGGAACCTTTATAAGACCCTCTATTTTACTAATAAATACTATAATATTAATAATTATATATAATTTACTAGACTTCGAGTTCTTTAATTCTAGAAGCTTCGAGGTTGCTAAAGCGTTTTAAATTATTGAATTCCTATTGGAGTTTCTCAGTACGATCTATATATTTAATAGTATCCGTATTTAAATTAAATTTTATAGCATTAAATAGATCGGTATAAATAATAGGCTCGGCATATTCAATAGTACTAAATAACTATTCTTCTTTAATAATAGGGGCGAATAGAATTCGGGCCGGATTATTAGAAATAAGCGGAGTATAAGTACGTAATTAAATACTAGGAATAAGTAGGGTAACCCCTCTATAGGAATTCTCTTTATTTTTAAAATCCTATTTTTCTTATTTAAATTGCTTATACTAATCGTATTTATCAAAAGTTATATAATTATTAGTAGGTCTATTATTGTAATCTACTATATAAATAGTACGGAGAGGTTTATTATTAATAATAGTAATAAAGGTAATAGTGCAATTATAATCGATTTCGATATTATTAATATCTTTACCCTTACTTTTACTAACGAAGTTAGTAGAATAAGTAAAAACGGACTTCTACCCATTAATTCAATAATTATTACTCTACTTATTACCTCTACTATAGTAATTACGAACGAAATATCCTAACTTATTATATTTAAAATACTTATTATCCTTATTAGGTTTTAATTCGCCATTAGGCTTACGCTAATTGCGGTTACAATTATCGACCGCGTTTACGTCTATCGGGCCGGCGTATATACTATATATAATACTATAACTACAATTATTATAACTATTACCGCCGTACTAATACTTATAACCGGTATTAGCGTATAGGCAGCTATTGCCCGACCCCTTTTCGTATTTATATTCGAAGAGCCAATTATTAATAATAATAGTTTTATTTATATATTTATTAAAGCTTCTAATTTTATAATCGATCTTAATAAGTTCGTCCTTAATATTACTCTTTAGACTTTAATAGAACTAGTATTTAAGACCTTTATTATTCTAATTAACGCAGAATATAAATTATTTGAATTCGGCTATATATAAAATAGCCGATTTAATTTAGCGAAGTTTATTTAATTTAATCTCAATTTAACGGACCTTATTAGCGAAATTAAAGACTTAATTAATAGCGCTTTCGAAATAATTAAAATTACTAAAAATTTAGATAGTCTTAGAATATATATCGGGCTAACTATACCTAAAGTAATTAATTTAAATAAATTAGAACTACTTAAAAGCTTTACCGGTTAAAAAGGAGGCGGCGTATAAAACTATTTAAATTAGGTCTTTAATATTAAAAAACTTTAGGTTAGTACGAATTTGAGTAAAGAATCCCTAAAAGTCTTCTTTCCTAGTACTATCGAACTTAGGAGGAGGATTGAATTTAATTTTAGGAAGCGGGGGATTGCTATAGACCGTATAATCGGATAGGACCCTTACGCTTAATTTATTAATAATTTCGCAGAATTCAACCGAAATAGTATTTTTAATAATAGTAGGAATAAATTTAGCTAACTTTTTACTTTAAATATCGAAGTAACACGTAGCGTCCTATTTAATACGAAGCTTAGTAGTTGTAATTTTATATCCATCGTTATCTTTAATACTAATTATAGAATCTGTTCTAGGGCCGGGGTTTCTAGCCGCAGTACCCGGAAAATTAGTTTTAACGGGTCCTCCGGTAGCGGGGTTACTAATCGGATTTCTAAATATAATAGTAAGAGGTTAGGGAGAGTAAAGAAACTTTAGTAAACTTTAATTAAAGAAATTTAAGTACAATAATAGATCCTAAAATACTAATATATAAATTGAGGAATAAGTAACGTATAACGAACCGTTATAAGTATAGGAGTATATCGCTAGGATAAATAATAAGTAACGGTAGTAATAGCCAAAAGGTATTGATCGATTGTAGAAGCTATTGCTTACTGAAGAACCTAATATACTAGGAAGCCCGGGAGGGCTTCCTTATATATCAGGTCTTCAGCCGGACCCGTGGACCCGAATTTCCACCTCGGGTCCCGGTTTGGACCCGGCCTTCAAGACCGGTCCTTCGGGTCCTGTCTTCGGGTCCTACCTTATTGGTTGGTTTTATCTAGATACATGATTGGATCGTAACACCCAGCGGCTTCCATCTCTATACAGAGAACATGACCACCAAATTCAGCGTTAAGCTTATCCCGAGAGAGGGCGTTCTTGATGACTTGATTCCCCGAGACTATCAATCCGTAGTGAATTTGTATCGGTTCTTCACGTGGCTTTCTCTTGATGATCTTGGCAGGATCACAGAAGCGACAGTCACCATCGTCTTCCTCGTCGTCAAGCACATCAGATTCCACGCCTAAAGCGCAGAACTTATCCGAGTCATCTGGGCCAGGTTGAGCAGGCTGAGTGTGCGGGATTGATTGCGGTTGCGAGATGTTGTGATTCCATGACCAGAGGACAAGGAGTTGGAGTAGGAATTCGAGAATCGAAAAGACTTTGAGTAAGAGCAGTCGCGGGTAAAGCCGTGATTCATCGTTGTGTGTGTGGTGGAGGTATTGAGACTGAAATAGTACGTCCTTCAGAGCGTCTGACCTCAGATACCTTGAAGCCATCATCGGCGAATGACACTCTAGCTGTTCAAGAAATTTACGGATTCGGGATTGCCCCAGCTCATGTTGTGCTTTGAGATGGTTCACCGCTATCAACAGAAGATGAAGTGGTCTGTTCAATGAGCCAGTCCGTTCGAAGGATTCGTCACCCGCTCTTGGCCCCTGTATTGTCTTTCCCATGTCCCACTGAACCACGCCATGATAATGACTTGATGGTACGGAGACAACAACGTCTCCCAGACGGACTTTGGGCGGCATGCCTCCACCAACACCGACCATTAACCCGAAGCGGATAGAGGGAAATGTAGAGAGCATTCGCTCCACAACGGTGGTTGCTGCAGTTGTGCCAATTTCTCCCATCGGGAGACAAGTAATGACAATGTTATGTTCCGCAATCGACCCGAGGGTGTATGAATTGGTGTCGTTAGATCTTTGCGCGAGAGGACCATGTTCGACGTCTAATATGGCCATTGCTGCTGCCCTTTCGTGGGCGAGTGCGCACACCCATCCTATGGTGTAATCGCTATGGGACCTGGGATTGTCGATCCGTCCGGTCGCCATTTCGTGGAAGGCCGGTCGGCCGGAAGCGGGAGCGTGTTGAAGACGTAGATGAGGGAATGGCCAAGAGGGAATACAAAAGTGATGATAGTTGAGGATCTAAGAGCGTGAAGGAGTCTGAAAGAAAGACTTCTCAGAATCGGCAGAGGTGATGAACTGAGAACGTAACTGGAAAAGGCTCAGAGACTTCTGGAGAAGTGAGGCTCTAGCAAAAAAGAGTAGGTGTATCAGCTAATGCACAGCCATCAAAAAGCCATCGCCACGCCGTAACCAAATTCGAGAGGGTGCATACCTTGGTTGCGAGCTGCTGTCCATTCACCTCCATTCAAGGCAACCCGGCACGAATCGTTGGTGAAGCTGTCAAGTTGCTCTATGGTCGAAAGCATTAGGGAACCTTCAGCTCGCGCAGCCTGATGGAGCCCAAAGTCTGCATCTGCACAGCCATGGCTTCTAGTTCTCATCGGCACTAGATAAGCGGGCAGTGGAGGGTTCCCATTGGATACTGCCGAGGGCTGTGTCGTGGGATGAAGAAGTGAGAATGCCACGATATCGCGCTGGTAGAGCGAATCATAACAAGCCGAAAGCTTTGATGATGTAAGGTAGGTATTGACTCGAGCAGTGTATCTTGCATGCTGATGAGCAATAGTTGGGCAAGGAACGAAGTGGTCAACTTTCAGGGTGTAGAAAAGTGGAAAAACCGGCGCTGGTGTGAAGTTGCGAGACTGGCGATGACAGTGCCTACCCACCTACCTTATGCAATCTGATCAGCAACTGCCTTAAAGGGTCAGGTATGTACTTTCGGAGATCGGGGGTCTTCAGTTCATACCGCGTTTCTACCCACCGCTCGAAGGAGCGATGAAAAACTCGGAGACTTCTCTCCGTATCACTCAGAGCTGGAAAGTGAGCACAGCCCATTGTCCAGGCAGGACACTTGACGAAGAGACGAAACCCAAGAGGAAAGCGCATCTTGAAGAACTGGACTGCACCCAAATCAAAAGCACCCCGGCCGTGACTGGCACCTGACGCCCCCTTCCCCGCCATTCGTCGTTGGTTGAAAAGGCAAGAGAGATGTGTAGCAGAGAAAATCAACAAGGAGGAAACTTCATTTTAGACTCAGACATCTTCCTTCCCGGCCTTTCGCCGTGGAAAGAACTCGTCTGTTTGAGATAATGGAAACTCAAGAACGGGAGGAGATGGGAATCAGGAAGCGAGAAAAAACTTAGCGGATGATATACCTCTAGCTGTTCTTCAAGTGTTCGTTATGTCTTCCTCACACCCATCTAGTAACACAGGATCGATATCAAAGATAAAAGGGGCCACCTCCTTATGTGACGACCCGAGTGGTCCTTTGCGAGGAGTCCCGCAATAATGTGAAATGCAAGCGAGCCAGCCCCTCTTCCGAGAAAAGGCCACTGCCCTGGTATTTTCGTTCCTCCTTCCTCAACCGTCACCTCAGCCGTCCCATCACCCGGCCGTTCACCTATCCATTCCACAAGGCGCAAGCCACCTAATAACATGAACATGTAAACATGATCTCGATGTTGACCGTCTTGCCAGTCCGGCTTCGCTCTCATCTAGGTGAAACAAAACGTCGTTGAGAGGTAGTTTGCAAATCTCTTACTCATCGGAAAGCTCCTTCTGTATAAGATCCATAAGATCTTTGAAGGCAGTAGCGTTGGCCTCGCTCAGCTGTAGGCAATCATTGTCAGCAGCTTGAGACGATTTCGGGAAGACGATCAGACATACCTTCACCTGCACCTGTCTCGGCTCCGTGCCCTCAAATGCCGTAAACAGGACATATGCCGCCTTCAGCTTCTTAGTCACGGCGAACGTCATGGCCGGTACGATGGCCGTGTTGAGAATGACACGGAGGGTGTGGTCTTGGCGCATGACGAGACGGACACTCTTCCGGCCGCCACCGCTGCCCGCCTCTCCGTCACCGCTGTCCTCCACCAGTGCCGAGGCGTCAAAGGAAGTCGCGTCCCAGTTGCCGTTGTGATCTCGCTTGACGCTCGCTTTGGGCACATTGACCTTGAGCATGCCAGCTCCCCTCTCCTTCCAGCCGACACCCTTCTCCATAACGAAGATCTTGGCGCGCACCGCTAGTAGCGTGGCGTCCTCACCCTCGCCGTCATCGACAACGACTGATCATAGGTTAGCATTGCCGCATAGGACAAAGCGACGTAGGAATCCCAGGTCACGGAAACTTACCCTTGCGCAGCTTCAACTTTTTCTCTTCCTCCGCCGCAGTCCTAGCCTCGTCATTCTCACCCTCCTTGTCCTCATTTGCCCCCGTGTCCTCTTTCTCGTTACCGCCCTCCTCTTCACTCTCCTCCGCGTCGCTCTCTGGCGCACCAAAAGGTTTGGCAGGCTTGCTGCTCATCAAAGTCTCACCGGGCTTACCACCGAAACTTGTAAGCTTAGCTCCACCCAGCGCGCTGCCTCCAAAGCCGCTAGAAAACCCGCCACCAAACACAGAGCCGGAGCTGGCGCTGTTAAAGCCAGCAAATGGCGAAGGTGCCGCAGCGGAGCTGCCGAAGCTAAGTTTGGGCGGCGTGGGAGCCGCTGCTGTGGTGGAAGCGCTGAGAGTGCCAAAGGGAGAGGCAGATCCGGAGTTTGTAGAGCCGAAAAGACTGGGGGCTGCCGAGGCGCCTAGGGCGCCAAAGGGAGAGGTTGTAGAGCTGGCAAGCTTGGCGAAACCGGACTGGGCAAAGGCGGAGGATGATGTCTGGGGCTTCTCTTCGCTCGTGGGCTTAATTTCTGCTGCTGACTCGGCGGGCTTCGAAGGAATCTCGGTGGTGGGTGTCTCGACGGATACTGAGGAAGTAGTCTCCTGGTGACCACAGGGTTAGTCGAGAGCCCCAAATAGCATGTGTCGACAAAAATGTCCCACCTTTACTCCATCGTCCGACGCGGATGCCTCGTCACGGGCGCGCTTCTTCTCCGGCTCGGACCTGTCTGTCCTACTTTGGGTCGCGGTGGGCTTGGCCTCCTCTGTGGAAGGCTGGTCCCCGGATTGAGCGTCGATGGCGTCCTTGCTCTCTTCAAGCTCGTCGTGTGCTCGCTTCTTCTTGGGAGACGAAACCTGCTCCTTCATTTCGGTGTCCTTATCGTCACCAATTGCAGGCTCTGGGGTGGCCTTCCTTGAGCCGGCTGTAGGGGTGCCATTGTCTGATCCGCTATCTTGGGCTGCGGCGGCGCTTTGCTCGGAGATGGATGTGTGCTTGAGTTCGCGGCGGGCGGCCGTGGTCTCGGCGTCTTCCTTAGTGACTGGCGCGACGACGGGGTCCGCGGTGTCGGTTTGTTGGTTTTGCGTCGGGTCGGCCATGATGTCAGAGGGTCTGATGGATCGCGAGATTGGTGATGTGGTTGTCAAGTGAGGAGGACCAATCGCCAAGCACACGATTGGTGTTGCAGAGCGTACCGGGCGGGCTTGACGCGGGCAGTAGAGATCAGATACAACAGAGTAGCAAGGGACAGAAATGAAAAGGTCTCTGTTCAGTTTCGAAAGAGTTTAGCAATAAGTACCAGACAAGAGCAAGAGCAGCGGAAGAAAAGTGGCAGAGACGGAGTTTGGTGCCAAGCGCATCTGAAATCGAACGTCTTCTCGAAAATGGGGTTAACCCAGGCTCAGCGGGGGCGGGTGGGTGGAAGTGGAAGTGGAGATTACCTACTTACCTACCTAGCACAGGGCGAGGCGGGCAGTTGGGGCCCTCCGCGCGCTTCGCTACAGTGGTTGGTCACAATGTTTAATTCCCGTCCACAACGGGCAGCTATGGAAGTTGTGACGGGTTCGGATTGGACTTGCGCAACTAATACAACCTGGAACCTGACTGGGAGCTCAACCTGGTAGAGGTACCAAAGTTGAACGGAAATCGTCAACATTCTCCATCACAATGATGGGCATGCTGCTCCAATACCTACATTGTCGACTTTCACAGGCAACACTTCTTCGCTTCGCTACTAGGTGAATAAGCAGGGATTTGGACAATCCAACGTGGTCGCAAGGCCATCAAGCTTCCTGTCGTCAACCCGTTTCGTGACCAAAGAATGTTTCGATCCATCGCCACCACGGTCTCGAGTTAAGCCGTGGTAGAGCAGGATGGAATAGCTATTGTTGGGTGGAAACAGAAGCATCACCAAGTGGTCCAGTCAGAACTCAACCTCAATGCAAGCATCACTCTGCGTTGAGCGGAAACGCGGTGCGCCTCGGCACCTGCCACACAGCTGCGGGGAACCCTCTATCACGTCAGTCAGTGCAGTGACACCGGACATTGACAGGGCAGAAGGATCCAATTATCATAACAGCACTCTCGTCCTAGTCAACATAGTTGAGACTGACATTACTTGGGTATACTCCTACTATGTAGCTGATCTTGAGTTCTAGACAATTTCCTGGATAGAAATATCCAAATGAAACCCTAGCCACTGTCTTTTCGAATTGTCGTAATCCCCATCACAGTCTTGCAACTGTCTCTCCTAACTACAACGACCGGTATCGTATTGCAAAGATCTCATCAATTTTGTCATGGACGAGGCACTGTACCTGAGATGGGATGCTAAGAGCCATTCCTCGATCCCTTCTATCACAAGGGAAAGCCCGACAGCTTTACAAAAACTACAATATATTCGATTAATTCGGTGAGGTGGCAGAAGGAAACATCTCGATTTTCCAGTCCATGAATCAAACAGGGTAACCACAAAAGAACCGTCTCTGAGACGACGATTCTCGTCCATTCTAGCCATCTCGGAATAGCGCCAAGCACCGGACCAAATATTGACTTCCGGATCACAGGTTACCACAGCAACCGCGTACGCTGGTGGGTCAAGACACGTTTGGAATTGAAAGCCGCGACACAAGTCATGCATATGTATATACCCTTCTGGAAGATGAAGCAGCACCGACCTCACGTTGCTGCACATGAGAAGCGCATCGGTAAATGTCCTATCCGCACAAGCATTTCCCCAGCACTTATTACAGTCATTAAGCATTAAGGTAGATACCCCAACCCATCAATACCCTCGAAGAATCCCGCGACCCAAGAAAGCGCCTCTTTGTTACCTTCGACTTCTCAGATATTCCTCATACCGAGGTGGTAACAACCCTTCGTCATCAACAACACCCCTCAGCCCTACCACTTCACCATAACTCGGCGGTGGAGGCGTCCCAGGTGACTGTCGCCTGGCATTTACCGGCGGAGCCGCCTGAGGCCTTGGAGCCGCTTCTTGCCTCGCCCCAGCCCGAATCATATCCTCCACCAGATTCGCAGCCCTCATGAACGAGGCCAGCTCACCGCCAATGGACAAATCATCATCGCTATCCTCTCCACCGCTGTCTTCGCCACTGCTCTCCCCAACTTCATCACCGCGCTCCTTCTCCCGCTCGTCTTCCGAGTCAACCAACGTTTCCTTCTCATCCCAAACCCTCTCATCATCATCAACAACGACATGCTCAACAGGCTCATGTATCGTCTGGAGTTCCGACCCAGGTTCATACCTCAACGCAAACCCATCCTCCGGCACCGCATGGTACTCGCAGTACCGCTGGTACTCCCTTTCTGATAACCTCTTTTTCTCCTGTTTCTCCTGTTTCTCCTGTTTCTCCTGTTTCTCCTGTTCCTCCATACACAGCTCTGACATCCCCTCATTCTTCTCCTCCAACGACCCCCTCTTCTCCGCCATTTCATCATTATCACCCTCACCTTTAAATTCCCCAGTCCCGATCACAGTCCCAGATTCATCTCCAGCTTGCAGCTGAGCAAAGTACTTAGTCTTGCACTCTCCACAGCTTTCATCACTGCCGTAAAACCCGGGACAAAGCGATTCTATCACTACCTCGGGCTCTCCCGCTCCGCTTCCTTGGGCCAACCTTTTTCTTCGGCTGCGTTGCCGATGGAGGGAGTGAAAGATACAGGCCAATATGAGGAGGGAGAGAAAGATGATGTAGGCGGCGAGGCGGATGGGCGAGAGATTGATCAGGTGCGCGTAAACAGAGGCGCGGAGGGAAGATGGGCGGGAATTCAGGGTCGTTTGGTGGGCTGATCTGGAGGTTAAGTCCAAGAGCAAATCTGGGAATGGCAGACGAGCTGGTTTAGCTGGTCGATGATGTGGGAGTTCCCATGGCGGATGAGCAGACGGGCCGGGGGTGCTGGTGTTGTTTTCTCTCGGCGGGAGGTTTGCGCAAAGCGTTTCAAAGTGCTGTCTGCTCTCCTCGTAGTACTTCCTGTTCATGACCACCGGCTTTTGCGCATAGCCATGACCAACCACACCGGCAGTGTCTTTCTCCTCAGCAGCAGCAGCAGCAGCAGCGATACTCCTCCGATACTCCAAACACTCCACCTCCCTCTCAAACTCCTTCCTCTCCCTCTTCAACCTCTCCTCCCTACTTTCTCCTTTTCCCTCCATCTTCCCCACCGTATTCGTCTCTGTGTCTCCCCCCTCATCATCATCATCTTCATCATCAAAAACAACCTCCCACCCCCCCGTCTTCTTCCCTCTAACATCTCGAATCCTCGCATCAACACACCACCCTGCCACTCCAAACGCCCAGACTGGTTCCTCTTGTCTGAACCAGATCGTACAACTCAACTCGTCTTTCACCGGCTGTCCATCGACGGCTTGCAAAGTGAGGGTAACGGATTGTGATCGTTGGGCTTTTGCATCAACCCCCTTGTTGTTGTTTTCAGGGTTATCGTCAGAGACGGAATAGTCGCCGTCGTCGTCGTCGACGTCAGCAGAAGAGCCGCCGCCAGGGAAGCAACGCGATTCCCAAGTAAGATCCACCTTGATATCATTATCCAGCACAAACGACCCGTCTTCGTTCGGTGGAGAAAGCAAAGGTTGGTTGTTGATGGTGATGTTGGGGGAGGCGCAACTGTCATGGCTACCGATGGGGAGATTGGTGACAGAGGGGTTGACATCGAGGCGGAAACCCTGTGTTGATCACCTCTAATCAGCCAAACACGCATGGAGCTAAAAAGAAAAGAAAAAAGTTGAGGGATGGGATGGAGAAGAAGCGGTAAAGCATGTAAACAAAAAGAAAGGTAAACAAAATGAAATACAACATACCAGATCTTGACCGTAGACATAAGATCGCGGAGTGGGGTGCATAAACTGTATATATAGCGACTGCGGGTTGGGAACAGCTGGTGCTACTGCTACTGGGGCGACATCTAAAGGGTGATCAGTGAGTCAATCCATCGTACCAATCAATACCACTCAATTGAATTCAAATGTTGGTAAAGTATTGCATACCCTCTAATCCCAAGACAACATTCCCCCAAGCCAGCGCGAACAACGCCGCCGTGTGTTTTGAGCCGTGCATCGCTTTGGTGATGCTACGGCCGAGTGTCCAACGCCGAAGGTCCCGCTCGGGTGTAGTCGCGAACTGCACTGAGGTCCAGTGGTGTTTGGTTGGTACGGTGGCCTAAATCCCCTTGATTGACCCGGTTGGCCTTGACCTTGACCCCGGCGCGGCGCGGCGCGGAACGCTGTGAATGAATGGTACGAGACGTCTTCCGCCAATGTACCGATTGCCGTGCCGTGCGACACGGAACCGAACCGATTAGATGCCTGGGTCCCGGATGTCGTAGGCTCGTAGGGTAGGTACGTAGGCTCGTAGGGTAGGCAGGTGAGAATAGGCTCCCAACGAACCGAACGACGACGACGACGGGAACCTAATGGAAGTGGCGATGCACCGTCCGTCCGTCTCCAGGTTCTCCAGTAGTACCGTGTATCGTGGGGTGTTGTTTGTTGGCCTGGTCAAGTCCAGTCCAGTCCAGCGTCGTCGTCACCTGGTGGAAAGTGGAATCCTCAAAGTCATGAGAACCAACAAAAGGTTGCCTGGCCTCTCTTGTCTGAATTACAAGTAGAAGTGTAGTCCAAGTAAAAAGATAAAAAGATAAAAAGGACAGATGGCCCCCCGCTCCTCTTCAGACAAGACAACACGGTTTTCTCAACACTACCTACCCTACCCTCTCTGAAGAAAACAACACGATAATCCCTACCATGAACCCCTCATGATCACCAGGCAGCCGTTTAGTTCACCGAGAGGCCGCCGGGCTGATTTAAGTAACCAACCAATCAGCTTACACGGAACCACAAGCGACGACCAGGAACAGAACTAAACCAAGCCAAGCCAACCAAGCCTACCGAGAATACCGGGGGAAAAAAAGCAAAAAGTGGGAAGCTTACGACGGCGTCGCTTAACTCGCTTAGCTTAGCTCGGTCTGGGGGAGGGGTTTCAGTTGAGGAAGAAGGTGAGGTGAGGTGAGGGGCACGCCACATACTAAAAGATGACAGCATCACTTTTGTTTCTGACAAGGTAAGTACTGCAAGGTTAAATGTAAGGTTGGCTGTAAAGACTGAGAGGTGGGTTAGGTGGGTAGGTAGTTTGTGGTACAATCGATCATCTTGAAATGTTATCTATATAAGTCTCCCAATGGCATTTTGTCCAAGTAACTGGTTTTGAAGTATTGACGCAGTGGAAAAGATACTTTCTATTGTAAGGAGATATGCACCGCAGGACGAACAATGGTTTGCCTAAGAATATAAGTGATACCATCCGTCTCTTTGGGTCAAAGTGATGTCAGGAAATGAGGAAACCGGCTGAGATGACCAAGGTGGGAGAAAGACAAAATCATCGCAAGCAAGGCTGGAAAGCAGCGACCAAACAAGCAGATAACGAGCACCAGAGCAGAAACAAAGAAACAACACATATGATATACAAGCCCTGGAACGTCATTTTGCACTTTTTGTGCAATTGTTGCTCTGTAACGCAACCTCTTCTCATCCGTTTGATCCAGTTAACTTCCCAGTCTCATTGATCTGTCTAGTGGCCTTGAGAACCATATTTGGTTTATTCACCAAAAGCCTGAAAGCCCAATCATGATGAACCAACGATCCATGTGTCTGTTCCCTTTGCCTTCGTTGTATGTGTATTTAAGCCAACTCTTCAATACACAATTGTACAATCGAGCCACCCACAATTCAACATGCCATGACCGCTCCTACCAGGCTCAGCGTCTGCGCTCCCTATCCCGATCCGCTCCGGAGCCAGAACCGGAAGAACCACGGCCGAAGTGGTCCCTAAGCCACCCTAGCGCGCCATTACCAGAACTCGAACTCTGCTGCTGCTGCTGCTGCTGCTGCTGTTGGTTTTGCTGTTGCTGTCCGTCTCGATCCCGTGAATTTCCCTCCCCGTTGTTACTGTTATTGCGTCCCCACAAGTTGTTCAATCCACCGCTGTACCTGCTGCTAATGTTGCTCTGAGAATTGCTGCTCGTATTCGGCTGCCAGGCCGTCGAGGTGCCCCTATCCCTTGGTGGCGACGGGTCCCTATCGCGCGATCGCATGTCGAAACGTGAGTTCTCACGGCTGGGAGGCGAGTGTGAAGTTCGGCGGGAGATTCCCTCGGATTGAGAGTCGGCACGCCTAACACCGGCCACGTTACGGATCCTTTCGAGGCGCTCTTCTCTCTCTTGCTCGCTGCGCCGAAGTCGCTCTCTGGCCGATTGGGCTTGTGATCCAAAGGGGTTAAGTGATTCAAAGGGGTTTCTTCCTGGTGCGGATGTAGACGCGAAGGCTGATGCAGAGCTGGTACTGGCTTCTTGGCGTGATGCGGACGGTTGGCTGTTATTGTTATTGTTGTTGTTGCTGTTGCTCCCGGATGGGTTGTTGCCCTCGATCGGCATTCGGCAGATAGGGCACGTGTTGTGCTCCTTAAGCCATAAAGTGACGCATTCCCCGTGGAACCAATGCTTACACGGTAGCACCGTGACCTCTTCGCCCTTGTACATGTCGTCGATGCAAATGGTACATTCGGCTTTACCCTCGGGGCCAATCATCTGCTCGTCGAGGATCTTTTTGGGTAATTTCTCAATAGCGGCTTGCGTTGCTGGAGGAGCCGCATTGGACTGCGGGTTAGCTTCCATGAGGGTCGTTATGATGCGGTCGAGTGCCTCCTGGGTATACACGGCATCGCCATGGACTGCCGCCTGTGGGTTCAGCAATGTAGCGATAAAGTCCTGCAGGCCAGTGGCAAACCCAAGAGGAGGCCCTCGTGGACCACTGCCCTGGCCCTGGCCGCCACCGGGGTCTTCTGCGCCCGGCGGCGGGATGTTGCCAAAGAGACCCCTAAACAGACTGCCATCACCGTTCGAGTTAGCCCTCCTATTAGTCACAACAATGATTGTGTGTCTGCGAATTCCAGGGAAACCATTGCCATGTCGCGAGCGAACATACGTGTCAAAAGCGGGCACTTCCGGCCCGTCTCCCGCTGGGCCTCCTGTAGTTGTCGTGGTCGTGAAGGTAAAGCTAGCCATGCCGTCTCCTGCTCTGGTAAAGGTTGTACGCTGTATCCGCGGCTGTGTCCCAAAGGCGTTTTCTCCTTGCTGTCCCGGCCTTGCGCCGCTTAACTCGACAAACATATCGGCGAATCGCGACAAAACGGCCTCGCCAGGATCATCTGGACGGGCACGCGGCCGGTCCGGACTGCTATCAAGATCCTCAAGACCGTTCCCACTTGAACGGTTGAAGGGACTATCTGGTGATTGGTACACCGATCGTCGCATGAAGAAGGACCCGGGGCCACGCTCGAGAAACTGCTCTATGTCATCTTCCTCTGGGTCCGAGTCTGAACGGTGACCTTGTTGTTGAACACCTGGTCGGGGATCGTTGTCAGGTTCGACCTGTACAAAGGTTAGCGTGGCGATAGCTGGACGGTAGATGGGAGAACCTACAATCTGGACGAAATCATTGTGACACCTGGGGCATTCTAGGTCCAGATGGGGGTAGTCGTCGCGATACCACTCGTTTTCACAGCCATAGCAGTAGACGACTTCTCTACCCGTCGTCGCATCGAGATGCCTCGGGGGAAATCCGGGAGAGGCCATCGCCGTCGGTCGGCCCAGCAGCCTTTGGGTTGCGTTGTAAGCAGCAAAGGCGGCGAGCCCTAACTGGACGGTGAGGCCGATGGTTTGAAGCGCTCCTCGCAAGGCCAGTTTGATGTTTGATATCGGGGTCGGCGAGTGTTTCGAATGACGGAGAGGAGATCTCCGAGGATTATACAGTTGGCTTCGGAATTCAAGAAGCCCGCGCGTGATATGGCGAGGATACTAATTGTAGGTGGAGGTCTGGTACTTGAAGTACTGGTCTAGGTGATGTAGGTTGTTGGAGTGAAGTGAAGTGGCTGCCCCACTATGATGGAGTCGACGTTCTTGATGCAGCTGCTGTGATCTACAGCGTTGGCGTCCTACTCGAGGATTCGCAGCGGCGACGGCATCAACGGGATGGAGCAGTCGCGCGGCACAACTTTAATGGACAGATATCGGATCTTGCGCGTTGTCAAGGGGAATCTTGTGCCGTTCGAGGCCGTCGGCTCTTTTGTGGCGAGGATTCTATTGTTGGGAGAAAACTGAAGGAAATGGATGGCACAAGGTCGGTTTGTTGGAGAAGGTTCAGCCGTTTGCTAGATCGATGTAGGTGTCTGTACCTGCCTTGCGCTGAGGTAGGATCCGACCGAGCAATAAAAGAGGGAGTGAACGGTGCCTTGACTGGATGACAGCCATCCCATTGGACCCTGGGAATCGCTGTAACCGCTGTATTTGGTTAGGCCTCGGAAAGTCGGCGCAGGCCATGCGTCACAGCGTTACCTCTGCGTACGGTAATTTGAGTCCAGGATGTATAATGGATCCTGGTAATTACCTAATTGTTCTTTTCCCTTCTTATACTCGCCACGGGTCATTATGGCCCTCACTTTTTTCGTCCCTTTGTATGGTTGACTGATGTATCTGTCCGACGTTGATGCTGAGACATACTGGATGTATTACAATGTTGCAAGTAGGTAGTCCTTTTCCATACTCATCCACGACCCGTGAATCATGAATCGGATGGGGTTCAAGGTTGAATATGGGCAATGTTTCATGTCACATTGATACTGCATTTCTTAACGGCCTGATGAGGGGAAGAACTTAAGTCTGCCCTGGGCTTCAATAGGTGCAGCACTGAGAATCCCAAAGGACCCGATCTAGCATGTCGCAGGTCGTTAACGGGAGTGGTGAGCCAATGTGTCGGCGTCGAGCTGCAGCCTGACCCTGAGACAAATGGTCCCGCATGCACGAAAGTGGGCTATGACCGGGGCAAGGCACGGCAAGGCACACATCTTTGAGGAGCAACAATGGTAGGGTACGGTATTGGGTGTATGTATCGATATATCGTTTAGCAACACGCTTGATACCTCTAACGCTACAACATGGTTTTTGGAATGATAATGTGATACCAAGGATTTCCAACATGAACAAAGCGAGTGGTACAATAACACTGTCACGGGGTCTAAGCCTTCAAAGAGGAGCACCTCTGCGGTGACTGTTGTCACACCTGGCAGTTCTTCAAGGCTAGCGCCAAGAACTGACACGATGTCCTCAAGCATCTATTACCTGGGGCCGCTTCTAGATGCAGTAAACGGAGTCCACGCCGTCAAATGAAGCGAATGTATGGCGTGAGCCGAGTTCGATTCAAGAAAGAGCACCTCCAGAGATAGACTCTAATAAGCCAACACCCATCCAGGACAGATAGTTGGGAGAAGTGGGGATTTGAACCCAATCGCCCATGTGTTATAGACGGGAATGTCTGTAGTCCAGTTATCGGAAGTTTAAAGAAGGAAAAGAGGATTCAGCTCGTCAAATCATAGCCCATAATATACACACCGGAACCTGCTGTCCCATATCGTCATCAAGGAGCGGCCTCTTCTGCCTTTTCACCTTGTGCCATATGTCATCACCCATCAGGCGACCGGCTCACCCCCCTACCCATCACCTCTTGCGGCCCAAGTTCCTGAGCAAAACGCCTCCTATGACACCGGCGGCAACCGCCACACCACTAATGATGGCCACGCCCATCAAGCCCTCCTTGGTCACCTTGTCGTCAATCAGAGTCCGAAGGTTGGCGGCCTGGAGGTTTGCCGGCTCGTTTTCTAGGAGGGCGTCGTTGTATTTCCTCGCTTGCGCGTAGTTACCGAGCTTGTAGTTGCCGAGGGCGAGGTAGTATAGGCATTCGCGGCGGCGCTCGGGGGATGTTCGGAAGATTTCTGATAGCAGCATGACGCCGAGGTGTTGATCGGCTCGTACGTTGGACTTTACTAGGCCCTGTAGCATTTCGAAAGAAATATGTTTAGTGCATGTTTTTTTTTTCCGACGGGAATCAAGGGTGTTGGTTCGTACCCATGCGTAGTTGAACTTGGTCTGGACGCCGACCATCTCTCCCTCCTTCTCATATTGCGCCCGGAGAACATTGAGCTCGGCGGGGTTGAGCGGACTGCATCGGTATCGTCGTTGGTTAGATGACTCGGCGATCCTGGGGCGATTGTGCAACTCGGGGACTCACGTTTCCGCATCCACTGCATCTGTAACCACGGTTGTTAGCTACCTCTGCCAAGCTTGAAGAACAATAAAAACGAGTCCCATGAGCTGACCACCACCTACAGGGAAGTTGTGTCATTTTGGCAAGCTGGGGGTATTTGGTTGAAGAAACAAGAAAACTGGTATCCTGAATAGAGGTGGGTAGATGGTCGTAAATTGTGCGGCAGCGGGCGACTATGGTATCTCGGGTTTGTAGGTAGTAGGTAGTGGTGTGAGAGGTGGACAGCAAGGTTCTGGAATTACCAGGTTAATCATAGCTGAGTGCCGCCAGTAGTTTTATCGCGTGGCTGGAGCTCTGTTCAATGTGCCACCGATGACGAAGGACACTGGGGAAACCCACTGCAGCATGCCCGATCCTTGACCGGTGGTAGCCCGAGGTCCCCATGTAAATCTGCGATAAGATAAGGGAATGTCCTACTTCCTGTTGCGGCTCCTGTCCCGCTAGGTCCCGTCGTCGCCCAGGATGAATGGGTCCCGCTATTGTTTGGTTTGGGACTCGACAATTGCGACACAACAACAAACCATTCGCGACCTCGAGTTCGTTCGCGAACAAACACTTTTCTACAACAACAGAAAACGAGCACACTTTTACCGTCACGGAACTCATAAATTCAACTCGATCGCAGAAGCAAACATTTACATATACCCGAATTAAAACAGAACACCAACCTCAAGTCAAACTAAACCCGCCAAAATGCTTCTCGAAGAAGACCCCTCCACCGTAAGCTCCCCGTTCATTCTACATCACTTCGACCTACCAAAGAACCTCCCCCTCTTCATCTCCCTCTCTTCCCATCCCCCTTACCCACCCCTTCTTTTTTTTTCTCCATTCTACTCACCACTAACCCTGCCCTCAAGCTAATCGCCCACACAACCCAAAACTTCAACATCACGCCCGACCGGCACGCCGTCTCGCGCGTCGCCGAATCCTTGTCCACGCTGCAACAAGCGCGCGACCTCCGCCTACGCGAATCCGAAACCAACCTCAAGAAACTCGCGCGCACCCTCAACACTTTACAGTCCCAACACCAAGAAGTCACGTCCTCGCACAGTTCCGCCGAGCACGCCTCGTTGATCTCTCGTCTCGACACACAAAAGTTCCGCGTGGCGAAAAACGTGTCGGACCTAGAAATGGAGACGGAACGACTACAGACGCAGTTGGCGGAGTTGCAGGCGCGGTTGCAGGAGTTGGAGTTGCAGGGGGTTGATGGTGATGCTGGTGCTTCCACTAGTACAACAACGGGAGAAAATGGGAACGGCAGTGGGAATGGGGGCCAGGTCAGGAGCGTGGAGGATGAGGTGTTGTTGAGATTGAAGGTGTATAGGAGTTTGGGAATCGAGATTGAGAGGGAAGAGCAGGATGGGGAGTTTACGAGGGCGGTGGTGAGGAATGATAGGCGGGGGGATGTGTGCGTGGTTAATGTGGACCGGCATCGGTTTTCGAGGTTCTTTTATGCCAATTATTTTTGGCAGACGTTGTAGGGGCGGTCGCTAGGGGGTTAATGTGATGGCAGCTAAGCAATGGAAGGATGGGTTAGGTTGCGGTTTACGGATGGTTACGAAAGGGATATGATGCATGGATGGATGGGATCGGCGTCTGGAGGAGTTTGGGTGGGAATAATACCATGTCATTATTTTGTTGTTTTGAAACAGGTCGGATTTCTTAGCGTGATCATATTGAAGTATGTTCTGCTTTATTGTCGCTTTTCGCTAATACACAGCCTTGTTCTATCCTTGTAACTTGTCATAACAGTGTCTGTACAGTATCTGTTGAAAAGAAAAAAAAAAGGCGACCCTGATTACGTATACCGTCATTGTCCAGATCAGCAAAATTAAACAAACAGGACATGATGATTATTCAGGCCATAGGCCTCCACTTCCCTTTCTGAGAAGTGAACCCATCAAAGTACTCTTGCTCCTTCTCCCACATCCCCATACCCATCGGCGACACCCCGTTTCCATTACGGTGATTGTTCCTCCTATCCCCCGGCGGCAGCGCCATCTTCGAAATGCTCCCAAAAGCGCTCTTATTCGCCCTGGCACCCGTACCATGCCAATTCGTTTGCGTCTCGGCACAATGTCCCGATCCAGCTGTGCCATTTCCATTTCTCAAAGTCCCCTTTCTACCATTAGTACTTCCCCCCATCCAACCCGCCTCCAACGATTGCGACGGCCCAGCACTATGCGATCGATGGCTCAGACTGTGGTGGTACCGACCCACAAAGCTGGAGCACCTTTCCATCGGCAGTTCCAGGCGTGAGTTAATGTTCTGCCAGGCGTCGTCGTCGTCGTTGCTGTCGTTCAGTCTCCACCCACCTACTCCTTCAAAGTCTCGCTGGATACCGACCGAGGGAGCCAGCCCGCCGGTCTCGGGCAGAGGGGGGACCATCTCGGCGTCTTCCCGGATGGAGGCGATGGTAGGAGAGATGGATGCTTGACTAGAGCGGCGAGAGCGACGAACGGTGCCAAAGCCGTAGCTGCTCTTACGGCGGAGGGGACTCCGTTGGTGGGAGTCGTAACCGTTGTGGTAGTAAGGGGAGGGGGAGACGACGGCTAAGGGCGATTTGTCCTCACTGTCCCCGGCTCTGTTTCCGACGCTGCCTGTGCTACTAGAGGATAGACGGCGTGGAGTAAGAAGTTCGCCGTCAGTGATGCTATGGTAGTGACGGCCTTTGATGAACTGGGGGACGAATGCCATGGCTATGTCGACGTAGACGATGGCGACGCGGAACATGAGCAGAGAGAAGGCGAGGGCGGAGGTGATACTAGCGAAGATGGCCATGGGAATGGTGAAGAGGCAGAGGAAGGGGACAACGAGTCCATGGACGGGGTTGAGAAAGGCCATGGTGTCTGTGGGTGTCTGTTTTCGGCCTGTGGCAACAGATGATGTTGAGGATGTCGAAACCCTGGGGTGAAGGCCTCGGTTTTCTGGTTTGCGTTTTGACGGCGAGTTGGAGAGTGTGGTGGGGGGTCTGTGAAGCTGTATAAGGTATGCAGCTTATTGGATTTTCTTGCAGGCGAGGGGCATATCTGCCGCTGAGACCAACATGCCGTGCGTGCGCTTGGAGCACAGTTCCCTTGGTTATCTTGTTCACTGACCCGAGGTTGTGGCACTGAACTAGTACAGTTTGAGTTTACGACATGATAAGAGTTTGTTATTTGGGAGAAATTCTCTCTAGGCTCCGAGGGCCATGACGGATGTGAAGTGTAACTTGAAGTGCGCAAGACGGGGAAATGGGGAGTGAACCGGGAAAAAGCAAGGGGGACTTGAGCCGTTTGGAAACAGGGATCGGTCGGAGCTTAAAAGCTGGGGAAGCAGTTTCAGGGTCCACTACGCCCGCTTTGACACTTCGGCAGGCGCCGAATGAGCAACCAGATCATCACAAGGGGCCGTTCTTAGCGGGCCGTGAACACCTCCAGCAGTTGACGTGCCCCGGAACATGAGGTCTTGGCAGCCATTCCCTTACGTTTTCGATCCGCTCTTGCAAGAATCTGGACACCACCAAGAACGATGCCCCCTCTTTCCACTTGTCGTTCCATGAGATGATCGAGATTCCTGTTTGACGGCCACAAATTGCACATGTACATGTTCACCGGTCCCTTTGTGTCACTTAACCGACGTACAACCGGACTGAGGAAGCCCCGCGATCGTCCCATCGCTTCGTCTTATCAGCCCATCGGCATGGGTGTCAAAACTGAGCCGAAGTTCAACCATCAATGAAGTCAACATGACACCAAGTCCAAAGATAAGGTTGGACGGGGAAAAACCTAGTCCTCGACAACCTTCAATCGACCTTGATAAAGATGCCGGTTCGCGTGGCCCTTGCAGCCAGGATTCTCAGACATTTCCATGTTGCGAGTGTTTGTTATCTACGCATGAGCCTCCGCCATCTAGTAGTCTACACCATATTTTTATTCAAAGGCAAGGGGCGAGTTTCCCATAAGTAGCCAGAGTGCCAGACCATAAGTGTGCCAAGACTGGGCATTTTCAATTGTATCGTCGAGTTGAGGCTGTGTTGGGAGGGCAAGGATGATACTCTGTGGACAGGGAATAGCTTCCCCACATGCATCTCCAACTGACATCATCCGTTGGAGGAGGCGTTCCTGAAGGCTGACAGGATGGCAGAATGGGTGAACGGGCCGAGTTGACTTTTGCATCCGCGATTTTCCACATGAATATATCGAACATAAATATTAACTGTGTTTCAACATCATCCCAACTTTACTGCCATTAATTCTCCCACAGTGTCAATAATCGCCACTACGGCACTCTCCATATCATCTCAGGGCACAGCAGCCATGTGTTCCCCCACCGGCGAATCAATACCTCATGAAGTTCCCAAAAGAGGCGATGATGGAGCTCCTAAAGAGTCCTTCCCGTGGCACATTGGTGTCTACGACGCCCACTGTCATCCCACCGACACCATGGCCTCCATCTCCAGCATTAAGAACATGCAAGCTCGACTTCTCACCATCATGGCCACACGCGGTCAAGACCAAGACCTCGTCGCCTCCGTAGCCGAGCAGCACGGCATCACAGACTTGAACGAGCTACGCGAAAGTGGTTCATCCGAAACCCCCAAGAAGGTCGTCCCAGCGTTCGGCTGGCACCCCTGGTTCTCTCACCAGCTCTACGATGACTCCAAAGACGACGAACAAGAAGAAGAGGTCACGGATGTACGGGCGCACAAAAAAACCAAGCACTACTCTACCGTTCTATCGCCCCCTCCCGATGCCGATTTCATCGCTTCTCTCCCCGATCCCATTCCTCTCAGCAAGTTTCTCCAAGAAACCCGCCAACGTCTGCTCGCCCACCCCACAGCCCTGGTTGGCGAAATCGGCCTTGACAAAGCCTTCCGTCTCCCCTGGGGCAAAGTGAATGAGTCGTCCTCCTCGCGCAACGGCGACCTAACACCGGGCGGTCGAGAAGGACGGATGCTCAGTCCTTACCACGTCAAGATGGCGCACCAGGTTGACGTTCTCAAAGCCCAACTTTGCCTGGCAGGCGAATTGGGTCGTCCCGTCTCTTTACACGGCGTGCAAGCTCACGGCGTGTTATTCGATGCCTTGGCTTCGCTGTGGAAGGGACATGAGAAGGAGGTGGTGTCGCGGAAGAAGCAGAAGATGATTGCCAAGGGCGTATCGGAGGATTTTTCCTCGTCTAGTGATGAGGAGGAGGAGTTTGACGAGTTTGACGACTTGGAATTTGGGCTTGGGGAGCCCAAGCAACAACAACAACAACAACACAAGGTCAAGAAGTCCAAGAAGCCGTACAAACCGAAACCATTCCCGCCGAGGGCGTGTCTACATTCTTTTAGCGGGCCGCCGCAGGTGTTGAAGCAGTATTTGGATCCCAAGATCCCGGCCAAGTGCTACTTTTCGTTTTCTATGGTGGTTAATCTGGGGACGGCGGGCGGAGAGGCCAAGTTTGCGGATGTGATTCGGGCGTGTCCGGATGGACAGGTACTGGTGGAGAGCGATTTGCATGTGGCGGGCGAGGATATGGATGGGTATTTGGAGGACGTTGCGAGGAGGATATGTGAGATAAAGGGGTGGGGGTTGGAGGAGGGGATGCAGAGGATAAGGAGGAATTATGAAGAGTTTTTGTTTGGTTAAGTGGTGAGTCTCTAGAAGACTGTAGACTAGACTTGGAACCTAGATGGAGTTTTACTTGATAGACATGGGAGCATCTTTGGAAGCGAGACATTCTCAGCTGTTTTTCTCAGCCCTTGGTGCTTTTTTTTTCTTTTTTTTTTCTTTTTTTTTTTTTTTTTCTTCTTCTTCTTTTTTTGTCCCCTTGAATTGCCACCGCAGGCATCAGTCAATTGCCCCCCGGTCCAGCTGAGGGTCCAACTGATGAAACCTCAAGGGTGCCTTCTGGGGTAGCCCTTTGGTGCCTGTTGATCAACGGCACTAACATTTTTTGCGCTCTTACCCTGGAACGTGCGTTAGCGAGACTTCACCACACACTAGACTACCAGACTACGCATTCTGCCCAACTCGACAAGTATTGAACAGTGTAACACTAAATAAGATCTTCGCTTTTTCCTTCCCGAACCGGAACTGAGACGTTCGCGTTCGCAAGCATCCCCTCTCATGTCACGCATTTTTGTTGGCTTTTGTCAGCTCAGCTATCTCCGAGGCGGGACCGGTGTGTCTGGCAGTGCAGTGTCTGCCACAACGAGAAGCTATACGAGGCCAGAAGTTGCAATTTCGCTGGGTTTCTGTACTTCATGTCTTTGAAGTTCTTCCTCATAACCAGGCACCAACACCAAGAAACAACGAGTTGTCACCGTTTCAAGCCGGCAGGCCTGTATGGAAGTGGATTGCATGGCACGCATTTTCGGTGTAGATTTAGCGCCTATCAAACGTTCTGGACGGATGATTGTCTCAGGGTGCCGATCTCGCTGGGACAACGGTCGAAACATCAACCACTGTTATCTTTGATGTGTAGGTAAACTATTTCAAGAGGAGAGAGACACTGAATGATATTGAACTTGGCAAGGTTACTAGTGAAAAAGACCAGGTGCCGGAGTGTTGCTCATCCGGAAGGTGCTGAGAGCTCTACTCGACCGTTTCCAACACACAGGAGTTGTTGCGATTCGCTCTTGACGGAGTTGTGATCAAGCTAGAAATAGTCTTTGCAATTCTTACCAACAGTGATGAAGAGGCGTCGATAACCACAGGGGTGATTAGGTTTGCAGTGAAGCGAGAAACCCACCGAGAGTGCCGGTCCGGGACCGACTTATATCAATACGTATCCGCCATCTGTTAACAGCTACACTACTAGACTACTGATTGCGGAAAGGCTCCCAGTCGCCGCCGTTTGGATGGATGTGTGTCCATTCAGTCTTTGTCAGCCACCGCGTTCACACCCGCTCCATGTTCCCTGTGTTCTCAGCTATCCGCAACGAACTACCGCAGCCGGGTATCTCCCTTTTCCCCTCATTTCGACAGTGGTTCTGGACCTGATTCCTCCACTTGGACCACAGTGAGGCTGTGAACAAGCTTTTTGAAAATAAGGACGGGGAATCGGGAAGGATTTTTAGTCGAGTCATTTTCCCCCTCCACTTGTCCAACACCGCCCACTTTGCTTGGCTTTTCCACTTTCTTCTGCTTTTCACTTCATTCCCGTCTTTATTTCCCTGGATTATTTCCATCGCTTCGCAGGTTTATATCGTCACACAAGTTCCCCCAGTCGCTTGGCATTTCGGTTTTTGGTGTCAACCGCACTGGGTTCCCCAGCCAGGCAGTAGTGACGTCCACTCAACGGTCGGTCGGTCCCTCTCGCAGCAGCTTTTCGATCTTGGCAAAGGAACCGCTCTACACTACCTGTCATTCACTACACCAGTCGAACCAGTCGAAGGGAACCAGTCTCCCGGCACCCTCAGTCTTATTCCCACCTCATCTGCATCCATCCTCTCTTTGGGCTGCTGCATTTTCCGCTGCTGCCTCATCTGCCGACATCAATCAATCAATCACAGCAAATCATTCATTCCTTTGAAAAAAAAGGTTCTGCGTTATTCCCGAGCCTACTACCACAACACAACAGGTTGGCTGGCCGGCCGACGGGAAAAAAAAAAGTGAGAAAGCTGCAGAAAGCACAAACACACCCACGTGCCGGGGGCGTCGGTGATTTGCACCACGTTCCGCGATACAGGCAGCGGACCCATTCACACCCAGTCGCTCGCGCATTTCCCAACCGTCCGCTCGCTCGTCGGTTCCCGGGGCTACCCCAGCTGCGACCTGACGCAGTTCGGTGCGCATGTGGATGTCTGGGTACAGTCCTGTCGGTGGTGACAGTCAGCAGCAGCAGCGACGTTTCGGCAGCGGCAGCAGCAGCAGCAGTCGTCGTGGCTCGATGAATCCGCATCCGCTCTCGTCAGCGGAGCCCGTCACCGCTGCCGCATTTGCACCTGCACCTGCATCGGTATCCGCTCCCTCCGCACAGCCAAGACATTTGCCGGGTCCGGTGGATACCAGATCCCGGCCCGGGCCCGGGGTGAGTCTGACCCATTCTCATGCGGGGCCGGGCCCGATCGTCCTCACCCCGAGCTCGGCCGCTTCTTCCACCGTCTATGTCGCCTCGCCGAGTTCGGCTGATGCGTACCACCATTCGCACTACCACCACCACCAAGGGGGTCACCACCACCACAGTCACCACTCCCATTCCCACTCCCACTCCCACTCCCGCTCCTTGTCCAACACAAGTAGTGTTACAGCCGCCGCGGGACCCGCATCCGGTCCCGGACACGGTGGTGCATCGTCATCATCCACACAAAACCCATATGGTCCCCGGTTAACAAGAGCGGGAGCGGCGGGGTACAGCAGCAGCAACAGCAGCAGCACCAATGTTGCTGGCGTTAAGCGCGAATCCACCGACGATCTACAAGGCGTCAACGGGGACTACTCCTCCAACGGTCACCACCACAATGGACCCTTGTCCGGGCTTGGCGGCACCACTTCCAGGTGGAGTGGCAGTGGCCCGAGTGAGAGCGTCGAAGGAGATAGCAGTGCTACCTCGCCAACGTCGACAACAACGGGAGGTGGAGGGCCCCAGAGGAAGAAGCAGAAACGGAATAAACCGACCTTGTCTTGTTTTGAGTGTGTTGAGAGGAAGACGAAGGTGAGTTAGTGATATCGCCTCTCATCCGACCTCATTGTGTACCCCCTCCCCCTTCCATCCGAAGTTTGAGCTTATTTTGATGACGCGCTAACACTTGCACCAGTGTGATCGGGGCCGACCTCATTGTTTAGCATGTAAATCTTCCCATTCATTCATTCATTCTACAACCTCAACCCTGATCATCTACTTACCGAAACCCAGGTATCAAACGCCAAACCGAATGCAAATATGCCCACGTCGCCAACCTCCTTGAGTAAGTCCACCTTTCCCCTCTATCTCAGTATACCTATACTCACCATCACCTCCAGAGAAACATCGCGCAGCGCTGCCAACGGCCGCCGAATGACAAAGCCACCACTGAAAAAGACCGACCAGGCATCCTCGCACACCAGCTCTCTCTTCACCGTTGTCCCCAACGCCGCAGACCGCATCTTGAGCAATGGCCGAATCCCTCTTGGCTCCATAGCGACCTCAACCGGCCTTCTCTCCAACGTGCCCTTTTCCGCCCCTGGCTCTTCCAATGTGTTCGGCATCGGCTCCGAACACCCCTTCGCCAACTACTGGACCTGCAACGGCGGGCTTCCCGAAGTCATCGACGTGCTCCCCGCCAAAATGCAGGTCGACCTCGTTCTCGATCGGTACTTTGAATGCGTCGACCCTGTTTATCCCATGATCCACCGGCAGACGTTCTTCGCCGACTACGAGCACTTTTGGACCATGAGCCTGGAGGAGAAACACAAGTGCGATTCTGCGTTCATTGCGTTGGTGTTTGTGATGCTGGCGCTGGGCACGCAGTTTGTGGAGAGTAAACTCAGCGAGAGGGAGCGCCAGCAGACTGCCGAGTTTTATGCGAGCGCGGCGAACCAGGCGTTGAGGGTGGGCAGCTATATGAGCATGGCGAGCATTACGAGTATCCAGGCCATGGTTCTGATGACTTACTTTTTGATTAACGATAATCACGCTTCGGATGGATGGGCGTTTGGGGGCATTTTGATGCGGCAGGCGTATGCTATGGGCTTGCATCGTGATCCTAATATTGGTATGCTTTTTTTTCCCTTCCTTCCTCTTCTCCTTCCTCTTCCCTCATATCCCAACTAACCATCCCCTTTCCACTCAGTCGTCCCCACCGCGCCCCTTTTCATCAAGCAACAACGCCGAAAAGTCTGGCAAGCCGTCCTCCTCCAAGACACCTTCCTCACCGTCCTTCTCTCCCTGCCCCCCTCCGCCACCCACACCGACGTCAAAGTCGAAGACCTCGTCTCCAACCTGGACCCGTCCACCTCCTCCTTGTCTCAGATCTCCATCGACGCCTGCGACGACCCCACCGACATCGCCTACCTCCGCGGCTCCTGGACTTTGGCCAACCTCGTCCAAGAAACCATCTGCTCCCCCCGTTCTCTGGATGTACCCATCTGCACCACAGTCCGACACAAGTCCAAACTCGTCGCCGACTTCAGGGCCGTCTACCGCTCGTTCCCCGATATTTTCCGGTCATGGGACGTGGCCATGTTAACCCAGATGGCTGAGCGCAACAAGCGAATTGTGCGACAAACGCTGTTTTTGAGCTCCAACTACTTCCACAACCTAATGCTCGTACACGCCAGCGAGAGCGCAGACGTCCCTGTCAATGTGCGCGGCACGCTGGAGGCGGCGCACGATGCCATCACGGCGTTCTTTGTGCTGTTTTCGCTTTTTGAGACGGAGGCAAGGGTGTGGTGGGTGTTTAACCATCGGGCCTTCTTGGAGGCGCTGTGTATAGGGAATGTGTTGAGGGAGGCGGCCAAGGAGGAGGGCGGGGTGGAAGCGATGGGGAAAGATCCGCTGTTTGTTAGGGCCAGGGGGGATATTCGTGAGTTTACCTTTTTTTTCCTTCTTTTTCTTTTCTTTTCTCTCTTTTGTGGTACATCTGTATTGGCGTGTAAGGGGTAAATGCTAACTGACAGTGATGGTGGAACAGATCAAATGCTTAATATCATGCGGGCGATGAGTGAAGGGGAACAAGGGTCGGAAACGGCGAGGACGAGGGTGCAGGTCTTGAGCGAGTTCCTTTGAATGAGATGAGATGAGGTTGAGGGTCTGGAACGTGCTTGGCGTTAGGAGTTGGGAGAGCGCTAGCTAGCGATCAATGACAAGAAAAGAGAACTGAACCCTTCAAGATACCTACGAATCAACACAGTGACAATTATTTTTGTGACATTTTTGGTTTGAGGCAGGGAGGATGATTACGAAGTATATAAGATATAGGAAGGACACCCTAAAATCAATATGAAGTACTCGACGGGTGAACAAAGGCGTAGCTGCCACACTACCCAAGTGAGCAACGCTTTTCTGGCAACTGTACCACCTATCAGTCATCAAGAACCATCAGTGTCACTTTAAAACAAAATATACAACACCAGGTGATTAACCGGTCGTCATCACCAATCCATCTCCTAATCTCGCGATCACTGGCCCTACCGAAAGGAGTATCAGACGACTTCCCAACGGAGTTTTCCCAGCGCCTATCTAAAGTCGGCCGTATGTGTAATAGACTGAGATTACCTACTTTTCGCGGTAGTGAGCAGATTGGTTCGAAGGGCTACTTGATAATATCGCTTGGCGGTTCACTCTTATGCTGGTGATGGTGATGATGATGATGATGATGATGATGATGATGATGATTCTATATATACAACAGTGAGAAAGAAACCGAACCGAGCCATTACCTACCCTGGCGTAAGTAGCCATCATACATCATACATTATACATCGAAGGCGGCGGGTGGCGGGTGTAGGTGATCTCTCAGCGCGGCAGATGGAGTAGGTAATGAGTAGATAGGAAACCTCATCTACTCATTCATGTCTTATGTTATGTCGTGAGAGGACTACCTACTATTCTACTTGATATGAATTAATAACCAATTTTGGGTGGCATATAGATGGATGGATGGATGGATGGTACCTATTAGACTGGAGGTATTCAAGCTATCCAAGTGACAGATGTACATCGCGGACTGGGTAGGTAGTCAGATGAATGGAATGTCTCTCGGGACTGAGGAGGATCATTTCAAGGCCGATGAAGCCTTATGTCCAAGAAAGTAATTACAAACTATGATAGGGGAGGAGTACATGAACGGGTACCGAGTCCACATATACACACACACACAGAGAGAGAAAGTCAACAAAGCAAGTCACCCAGCAAATCGTTTGAAATGTTTGTAAATATATATACGTCATTACTCGATACCACCATCTATCTATCTACATGAGTGGCCCATCTACTTAGTTATACAAAAGAAAAGCTATTGAGATATATAACAGAAAAACACAAGATTGGCGACATGTCAAATGTCTCGCCGGGGTATATTGTTGCAGGTCAGTCAGTACAGTATTCTCAAACAAGTGCGTGCTCAATAAAGCAAGCTTTCAATGCTGTTAGTGCGACATGTGGTGGTGGTGGTGGTGGTGGTGGTGGTGGTGGTGGTGGTGGTATATGTCGAAAAAAAAGAAAAAGAAAAAAAAAGCGAATCCTCCTCCGTACCCATTAAGCTTGACATATTAGGGGGCCTTCCTCCTTGGCTAGAACCATGGAAGAAGCAACCGTTGTCCCCCGTCCCGTTCTAGTGTATCCGATCCAATCCAATCCAATCCAATCCGTCCCGTCCCGTCCCGTCCCTTCATCACAAATCATTTGCTTCGTTTGCGCGTTTCGTTTTGTTTTGCTTCATTGCGTTGAGTCGAGTTGAGTTATACAACGCAACAACCCAAAAAGGCCTTATGTTATTGCGTCGTACTCCTCTTTGGCGGTCCTTCCACCGGCGGTTCCTTCAACAACCCACCAGCATCCACCAACTCCAAGTCGTGTCCCTGTCCCTGTCCCTGTCCTTCTTGGTGCCCCAACAACCTCAACCTTCTTCTCTCCTCTTCTGACGAATACGTCGGTAGCTCATCATCATCATCATGCTCATGCTCATGCTCCTCCCCTTGCATCTGCGGTATACTCTCCAAATCACTCGTACTCTTGGGCCTCCCTCCTCCCCCTCCCCTTCCGCGTCCCTTACTCCAACTCCTTCTGCGAGCCGATTTCGGCACAGCTGACAACGTCCAGGGAGATAAAAACCCTCCTAGATCTTGTAGCAAGGCAGCCGATCCTCGACGCAAGCCACTAGCACTGGCGGGCACGGCGGGTACAGGAACGGTGTGGGGGCGCGGTGGCTCGACGGTAGTGGTGGAAACGGAGGATTCTCGGCGACCGCGCGTGGGTTCGTCGGAGAGGAGGCCGCCGTAGTCGAAGAAGGAGACGCGGCGGGGGGAAGAGAGGGTGGGGAGGCCGTTGGGGGTAGTGTTGCGGGGAGAGCCCGGTTGGCTTGAGTGGCCTGAGAAGGACATCAGGTAGTCATCACTGCGGGCGGTGGAGCGAGCCTGCGATGAAGAAGAGGGTGGGAAATCCCACGAGTGGATGGTATCGTTGTTGTCGTGGTGGTGGTGGTGAATCTGGGCCATGGGGGCAGGGGTGTAGTAGCCGCCGCCACTGCCGATCTCATCCGAATAGGGGATCAGCCGTTCGCGCAAATCGGGCTTGACGCCGTAGCCGACGTCGCGGACTAGATCCTCGTCGGAACCCCAGTGACGCAGGGTAGGGCGACGGCCACCGTTGGGGGCGGCTCCGCCGGGACCCGAGCCGGGGGAGCGCTCGAGAGAACCGGCGGCGATGGAGCTGTATTTGTACTTGCGCTTTTTGACACCGCGGTCGCGAACAAAGGAGCCGAGCACGAGGGCGTTGGAAGCGGCGGTGGCAAATAGCAGTTCGATGGAGGCGTATAGAGAGCGGGATTGTTGGGAGCCCTGGGCGCGGATAATGTGCGGGACGCGGTAGACGGTGACGCCGACGACGCCGAGGGAGAGGGAGAAGAGCAGGACCAGCTGGAACTTGCGGGTCAGGCTCATTTGGGAGCGGATGATCATGGGAATGGGAAAGAAAACGAGGAGGAGGTCGGTAACGATATTGCAGATGGCCATGGTGAGGAGTTGGACGTAGCCTTGGCGGCATTGACCCCCAGGGTCCGGAAGAACTTGCGAGTACATGCGGAAGGGCCGGCATTCGACGACGTCGGAGACGATGACGGCGATGAAGGTGGTGACGAGGGTGACTTTGATGAAGGAAAGCGTTAATTCGTAGGAGCGCTCCCAGCTGACGTTGAGCCGTTTGAAGAATTGCAGGATGGCGTATTTGAGGATCCATAGCCTGCAGGTTGTCAGTGAGGTTTCGGGACAAGAAACAATGAAGCGCCATGTCTCAGCCAATGTGTACTCACGTCAACGCATAAAGCACCCTGCTGAGCAGCACCAGGCCACTCGCTACTGCCTTTCTATTCATTTGCTCCTCCGAGAGCCGAACAGACGAAAAGTCGGCATTATTTGTCCCGTTAACCAAGATGAAGTGGACGCAACCCATGCGCAGTAACAAGGGCACCAAAGCTAGAGCGGCCGTCTTGTCCTCACTGAACAGCGTCTCGGTCCGGACGAAGCGGCCACACACGCGCAGCAGGATCAAGACGACGCAGAACATGGTCATCCACCAACATACCAACAAGGTCGGCTTGTCGGCGCTGAAGGCACGCAACGGGGGAGGGTCCGAGTAAAGAGTCATAGTGATGGCGGCACCCGAGACATGCCGCCCGTCATCCTCCGGAGAGGGACGAGCGGAGAAGATGGTATACCCCGATGCGAAGGTTTTGCTAAAGTCGAAATGGTCCGTGAACTGGGCTAACTGTGGTGCTGAAACGGCGTGCCTGGATCTGACTCGGGTGGTGGTTTGAGACTATTGGGCTGCTGTCTGTCGGGCTGCTGCTCGATGGTCCTTCTCTGGCCGATCTGGACTTTCAGGTTCGGATGACACAGATCCGTGCGTAAGGCCTTTTCGGACGAAATGATGTCGGGGCAGATATAGTTCGGTTCAGATAGTATCAACTGAGTGGCGCAATGTGTAGATATACAGCTTTCGGTATCTGAGAGTCGTAGTGGCAGTCCTTGTGTGAGCATGCTATGGTCGTTCTCTGGTTTCGAAAGCAGGGGTCCTGGATCGCCGAGGACAAGGATATGACGAGGATGTAGTGTAGACACTATGGCGGATCGAGTTGAAAATGCCTTCTTTTTTGTTGACGAGTTTGAAGAGGCTGTTATCTCAGTCGATTGTTGATATGTATGGGGATTTGTGAGAGAAAAGAGGAGAAGAAGGTAAAGTAAGGTTGGGGTTGGAAAGGATAGCTAGATAGGCGACCTCTCGTCCAGGGTTGTCAGTCAGTGTCAGAGGCGAAGCGAGGCAGAGCCTGCAAATGTCCAGAGAGATACACTAGAGTGGGAAAAGTTGAAGCGAGAACCGAAAACCAATGTCGATCCGCCTATCTTTGGCGGGACGGGAAATTCAAAAGGCAGGCTGATCGAAGTACCTTTGTACCTTTGATATGTACTTCCACATGAAAAGTCGGGTGAGAGGCGGTTGCGGGTCACTTTTATTGTGACCTGATGAAGCGGGTGATGGAGGAGGAAGTGGACACTAGGAATAAGCGGGCTTGGTGGGTTCGTTGGTTGGAGTGGGCAAATTCGGTCAATGCAACGGGAATTTGGTCTTCCCCCCTCTCTCTCTCCATCCTTGCTGTGCCTCTCTCCCCAACCTTGCGTCTCATCCTTCAAAAAACCCTTGCCTCTATTCGCTGACAGGACAGGTAGCTCGACCTGGGACTGGATGAGCTGCGGCGACACCCCAGCCTCTCTGCCCTGCTGCCAGCTTCCACATGTTGCTCTACCTGCTGCTCGGTAGCGAATCCCGTCATCCCGCTTGCTATACCGAACTTCCTATTGCGTGGGCACCGACGTCCAGGGCAGCATGCTTATCAGCCTCTGAACTCGGTGTAGTGTAGTGTAGTGTACAAGGTAGAAAACTGAGAATGATTACTGTAAGGTATGTAATCCGAGTAGAGTGCCAACTGGGAACAGCCTTATCAGGGAGCTCCTGGTTTCGGTCACTCTTGGCGGTTAGCATGTCGCCATTTTTGCCAAGTGTAATAATACTTTATGAATGCATAGCGAGCTGGATACGCGTTACTTTTTTCACCATCTGGCTGTTGGTGATAAGTATGTAACTGTGTACTAACGAGCGAATCGGCAACGTAGCGAACTAGCGAATCTGAAGCGGCAATATCCAAGTGGTGGTGGCGGCTTCCTATACTAGGTAACTAGGTTCGGAGCCGTGATGGCGATAGCGTGGTACAGTAGTATGTAACTGGATTCGCCCTGAAAATCGGGAGAGCTTCCACTTGAAGAAAGAAACTAAGGGGAAGATAAGAACAACGAACAGGAGACCGTCTGTCACTCGCGTCGCAATTTCCACGATCCAGGCCCCAGCCTAGCATATGTCTAGCAGTTCTTGGCGCTGGGCGGGAGGCGGGAGGAGCATAACATTCATCATTAGCATGGCGCGTCGCCTGAAAACAAGTGCCGTTGATTTGATGCCATCATCATGTCTTGCCGACCACCGACTCCGTTTTGCCGCGTGTCCAGAAAGCTACACTGCAAATCATCATCTGGGAGGTACTGTAGGTTGATCCTCAGAAAGTGGGTATGCGGCATCAATTCTGATATTAGATAGCATGGGATGAATGCATCTCGCAAGCAAAGTCACAAAAAAGACCCAAGAAGAGGGCCTCCACTCGCGTCGTCACCCTATCAAATGGAAAGGGTTCAATTTTAAACCTCTGCTCGGCAGTCCGGGTTTTGAAACAACCGACCCAAGCCCTGGATGCACAAAAACCCGATATTCCCACGTGTGAACGAGGAAGGGTCGTCTCCATTGTGCCCCTCATCACATCCCACTCTGAATAAAGTGTGATGAAGCAGTTTTCACTTGGTGTTAAAAGCCTCGAGAGTTAAAGTTCAGAAAGAGGGTCATGAAAAAAAACACTTGCATACCAAAGATACGTGACGCCGGGATCACTTTACGATCCGCGAACGGGTGCTTCCTTCCTTTAGCTGCCTCTGCCGCCTAGTGTAGTGTATTTGCAGCAGGGTCTCCACCTTATACTCCGCCCATTTTAAATGTTCACCAAATCCTCACTCCTCTCTTTCCTCTTTTTCTTTCACCGCCTGTACACTACATAAGTAGTGTGTGAAATGCTGCAAAAATGCAAAACACTTTTGACGCTCAATGCAACTGCTCGGGTCAAAGTTTTCATTTCTGCATCTGTCCTCTCTTGATGCAATGTGACAACCCGCGTCTCGGTTACACGATTGGAACACTTCAGCTTCCTCCAAACCGTTGCCCAGAGAGTTTGGCAAGGTTGGTGAAACCTCACCTTTAATCAGCCCAACTTGTATCTCCCATCCCTTTTGTCTCTGCCTAATGTGGTGAGGCCACGAAACCTGGTTTACATGATGGTGATACACTTCACAACCAACAACCTACCTACCCACGCACCCGCGCAACACTTTCCACTTTCAGAATGCCCCCCCATCAATGATTTTCAGGACCATATCTAGGAAACCCTTGGCCATTCCCCAGCCTCTTTACTATTGGCCAACAAGAAACTCAAAATCTCAAGACGCATCCCAAGATTTTGGCGACCCCACGTGGGGACCCCCATTGCCAACTGCCTAGTGTACTGCTGCTCGCCACTCTCCTTCTCCCCTCCGGCGCCAACTCTTTTAAAGTCACGGAATCTCCCGACGGGGAACCAAGGGACCGACCGGATGAAGGGCACTATGTCACTGCTCTCTTCTTGGCCTCCATGGACGCCGCGGGATGCGATGCTAGGAAATAAGGGTGCGTCAATTTTGGCATTGACCCTGTGTGCCTGCTTATCATTTACCACCAAACGCGAACCCTTCTCTATGTAACCATCATTTGCCCTTTTGGCCGGGACTGTCCCATTTTTCGACTTCGTTTTCTGTCAGTGTCACGCACAATAGTTTGAGACAATGAGGCGCTGAACAACGAAAATCCACTTCAGACCGGAGGTACGTCCGTGTTATTTTGGGTTATGGATATTGGACCTCTTTTTTGGGCTGAAGATCTACACAGTACTGCCAATAAGTGATGACTAATGTCTGCCGTGTACCAAAAAGACACATCCTTATTAATTCTAGCATCATCTCTCTCGCCTTACACTAGTGATTGTGAAGAGGAGTTCCTCTTTTTAATTTTCCTTATCCACTCTACACCACAAAGAGAATGGTGCTTGCTACCCTCCCCTTCACCCCTATCCCCGAGTCTCGCCCGAATGATCGGTCCCAACAGTTTGGCACCTCCGGGAGCCGGTTTGAACTCCCGCTGCTTCCAGCTCCGTGGACGACGAGACATGCTAGACTGTATGGACGGAGTTTATCAATCCGGAAGAGCGGGCGGCGCAAGACTTTTTAAATAAAATACCGCACCCAAAGCAACAACAAGCTTTCAGATGGTGGGATTTCCCAGTATCCCATTGCGACTCAATCCAACCAGCTTGTCCACTCCGATGAGGACATTGGCACCGCATCCTCTCGATCAAAATTTCCTATCCGACAGTTCGACTTGGCATCCTCTCGGCCGTTCTGATAGCCGTCCCGTCAACTTGGTTGATATACACCATTTCATCGATGCAAGATTCAAGCGATCTTTGTACACTACTTCCGCCTTGCCGGACCAACGGAGTGGTGTTGGTAGCGGGCATCTTTCTACGTCCTCTGAACTCATGTTTTACTGTATTCACCCACGAGTAAGAGATTTACCCACGAATAAGAGAACACAAAAAGCAACGACGTCACATTCACCGACGCACTCTTATCCCCCAAGTCATCGCTCTCTAATCTGTATTCATTCACCATTACCACCCACCACCCCGTCGTCACACAAGAATCTCGCTACCCAACTACATACATAACCTTCTCTCTTTGGTGAATTTTTCCGTTCCCGGGTGATGCCGCTCCTCGGAACCAAATCATGTAATGTATGTATGCAATGCAGCAAAAGTCCAAAGTGAACCAACATACATATATATGTACATACGCGCCGTTTCGTTACCGTCTCCTCGGGACCGGACAACTCAACGCTCTAGACCTTGGACCAGACACTGGAAAGGCAAAATTGCAAAGTTACTACTTCCACAGGGTAACATCATCATCACCTGCCCACAGGAGAATTTATGTATGTAGGTGTATCTCTGGGGAGTATGTACATATTTCCAGCAAAAGAAATGTCACTTCCCCCACCCACGCATTCGCTTGCTTGCATCTCATATGTACACTACGCACACACACACACGTACTCTGACGAATCAACTTGCTTTGTTGGTATATGTAGTTACTGTGTACAGAATCAGATGCATTCAAGTGGTGGTACCCGGGATGGGGGGTTAATCGCAACCATATGCATGCATGTGATTGTTGGTGGCGACGGGTGGTGACGGGAAGTGACGGCCCGGAGACGAGGGGTTGGTGAACTCGGTAGGTTGAACGGCCTGCGACGGTGTGTTCACAGGAGAGAAAAGCAAGTGATATAGAACTGAAGCACTTTTGGTTGTGTTGTGGAAAAGGAGGAAAAACAATTAGGTATAGTATCCAACGTTGGGATGAAGCATGCTGGTGGTCGGTCACTGCACTTTCTGACCGGTTATATAGGTCTAGTCCTTCGGTGTTTAGACTCGAAAGTATCATGGTTGGGACTCGATGATCAGCGTGCCATTCTTTTGTATCTAGTGTCTTTGAGCTGACTACACATGTTATTGTGCAGTAAATATTAACTTTAACGAACCAACAACTCGAATTGTTGACGACGTCTGCGGTAGATTGAATTGGATACTCGCGAAAGCCTATCATCCATGTCCAACCGCACTTAATTACTTGGCCCGTACACTTAGGCAGTTTATAAACATAGGTCTCTGACAAATGTTCCTTTAAAATTCGAAAGCTACGATGATGTTGTCCGGTAAATCTTTGACTTTGTTCACTGAGACAGACGACCAATTTTCGTCGTATCCCATGGACCTGGACTAATGGACGACTTTTCGCCAAGGCGGAATTGTACAATATATAGCTTTCTGCTTGGATGTTTAGGTGTGAGAGGGTAGAATTTCCTGTAACAATTAGATAAATTGTTCTCATTGGTCGAAAAGTGATCATAGTGAGAAGGCCCGTTAGTCGGTCAAAGTGATTACCATCATTCATTCCTCTTTGACATCTGAAGTATTTCAAAGACTATCTACCCCTTCGGGAAACCATTGATTGTGAAGGAGGCTCAGTTCATCCGATTGAGTATCATCATAGCATGGCTACACCAAGAGTGGAAGTAAGAACTAGCACCGGGCCGTTCCTTAGCAGCCCGAAGGAGGCTGACGTGCTTCTTGGAGAGCAGAGTATATGCAGTGTCCCAGGTTTTCAACCAGGTCCTTGGTATAATCCCAAGCTCTTTTTACAATCAAGATCCTATTCGGATACTACCAGTGATTGTAAGGTTTCAATTTGTTCCAAACGAGCAAACACCTTGATGGCTGTTGACGAATGGAGCAAGTAAACAGCGGGGTAGGCCCGGGCCCGATCGACTCCGTCATCGCAGCGTGGGGTCAGACATGCAGCCGTCATCATTGATAGAGGTACTGGACTGTAGCTGTTTGCCCTACTTCAACCCTCTTCTTTCCTTCCAATAATTTGCTCCTTCTTCTGGACATCTTCAAATCAACATTGCGTCTGCCTTTCAGTTCACCTATTCGACCTCCAATAACCAGCATCACTGGCAACGTCAACATACAGACGAGGGGCAGACTTCCACCGAGCACCTCGCTCAACGCCCACCCATTCCTGATCACGGACGTCATCGATGGATGGCTAGTAGACTGCCCGTCAACAAGTTGAAGCTCAACATCATCAACAGCTGTTGTCAGAAATCATCACCGCATTCCCAGAGACTCTCCACCAACACCTTTCGTTCTCTGTCAACCAAAGTCCCAAGGCTTCCCGCAACAGCTACCAGTCTCGACCAGAAGATCTCGAAACCATCACCACCGCGCTACACCAAACCACCGATCATCAACCGCTGCCTCACCACTACTTCAACCACCTCAACCCCCTCCTCAACAACCACCACCAAAATGTCCACCTCCACCCCTCAACAACCCAACCGCCAACCACTCCCCTCCACCCCACCCCCATGGCGCGCCCCCTTTCTCTCCCACCTAACCTCCCTCCCTCCCTCCTCTCGCACCTTCGTTCTCTCCACCCTCCACCCCCTTCCCCCCTCCTTATCCTCCACCTCGACCCCAACCCCCGTCTCCTCCACCATCCCCGTCCTCCCCCGCGCCCGCACCTGCGTATGCCGCAGTCTCTGGGCCCAACTCGACGCTAACCCGCACAACCCCGCCGCCTTGAACCCTCCCGTGTTCGAAAGCGACATGATCGCCTTCACCACGGACGCCCGCATGGAAAAAGCCGCTGAGATCGTCGACACGGCCTCGGAAGAGCGGATCGAAGCCGGGGGGGAGATGACGGGCGGCGGAGGGCCCGTTGAAGTCGTATTTTGGATCGAGTCCGCCAAGGACCCGGAAACTGGAGAAGAAAGAAAAGTGATGACGCAGTGGCGGATTCGAGGATCGGCGTGGCTTTTGGGGCCGGACGTGGACAGTGAAGGGGCGAAGAAGGTGCGGGAGGTGTTGAGGCAACGGATGCGCAGACTGGAGGGCAAGACACAAGAGGATGAAGAGCAATGGAGCTGGAGTAGGGAGGTTACGGCGCATTTTGGAAATTTGAATCCGGTCATGAGGGGGACGTTTCGCGGACCGCCGCCGGGACAGCCGGTGGCGTTCCCCCCTGGAAAAGGGGAGGGGTTGGGGCAGGAGGTGGTGGATTTGCAGGATGAGGTGGCGAGGAGGAATTTTAGGGTGGTGGTGATTGTGCCGACCGAGGTGGATCAGGTTGATTTGTCGGATGCGAAGAGGGCGAGACGGTGGTTGTATTTGTGGAGGGGAAATAGTTATCATGCGAAGGAGGCGGGCGGGGAGGTGGAGGGGGAGTGGGAGAAGGTTGAGGTTTGGCCTTGAGGGATTGATTGGACTGGTTCGTGATTTGGACTGTGTGAGTCTTTCGGGTATGTGTCATTAATGAAAGGAATGAATGATTGAATAGTCAACATGCCATTTGACAGCGGATTACAGTGTTGGAGGATAAGTGTCTTGACTTTGTGGTAGAGGCTGCGGACGGTTTGGGTTTTGTCATTACAATGTCATCAATCACTAACTCCTAAGCAATCGAATCAACAGCTCAATAGTTTTGATAATTCATGCTCGATTTGAACAAGATTGATGAAACTTTCTTTCAGTCAGCGTCAAAACACCCGAATGTTGATGATTGAGCCAAGGGTGGGCAATTCTACCTCAGACAAGCACCCTAACATATTGAACTCCGTGCCGAATATACCCATTAGCAAACCAAACAAACCGAATTTTGCTCCGATATCTCTTGTCTCAAAATTTCATAATGATAGCTCGGATATTCTCTTGTCGGTATATATCTCAAGCTACTTAACAAAAGCCACTCCGTAACGCCTTTCTTTCTTTATCCTCTTTTGGAAAAAAGAACAGAAACTGATTTCCCTGTATCCCCATAATGCTAGAATGGTTAAGAAAAAAAACGCCCAAGTGTTTTGTATTACACAACCGAACCCCTAACCCCTTCATCCCTATCCCGCTGGTGGCTGCCGTGCTTTCCGTCCTTTCTTGCTTTGCTGCTGGCCGTCATCCCCTTCAGGGCTTCTTATCCAGTCCTCGTCCATATAGTCATCATCTGATTCCCATCAGCCAGACCCGCGTTGGCCCGTCGAAGACCGTCCAGAGAACAAACCAAGCCCGGGAAGAGATTGGATGGATTGGTGTAGTGCCCACCAGCCAGCCAGCCAGCCCAGCTTTGCCAACCGCACGCAACCACCTCCTTCTCTCACGCACACACGCTTGCCCCCCTTATACGCAAAGCCTGTAAGAAGCATAGCGACCCGCCGTCTCCGACACACGAATGATCTTGACGACCTGGCCCCTCTTGAGTCCCAAATACCGCGCAATCGGATCCTTGCTCAGAATTCTCGGCAGCTGCGTCTCCTTGAGTCGGTACCGCTTGAGGAGGGCGGCCTTCTCCTCCTTGGACAGCAACACGTGCTTGGGCACGAGCTCGTGGTGCGTGATGTTGACCAGCAGGTCCTCCTCCAGGAAGCACTCGACCTGGGTGTACTGCGAGGTGACGGACATGACCTTGCGGGCCTGGGCGGACAGGGGGACGGCGGTGATGAAGATGCCGGCTTTGAACTTGTTGTCGGAGCAGTGGGTGACGAATTTCTTCATGACGGACACGCCGATGGAACCCTTTTCGGTGCAGAACTCGACCCAGATGGTGCCGCATTCGGGAACGGGGTTGGGGTTGGAGGGCGTGGGAGGGGCGGTGAACTTTTTGATCATGGCTTCCGAGGGGCGGGCGGAGAATTGGAGCTTGGCGCGGCTGTGGTTTGGTGTCGTTAAGTCAGCTTTTGGTTGGCTTGGGTGGGATGGTAGGTGATGGTGGTTTGAATTCGGATGCAACGCGTAAAGTGATGTGATGGGTGATGGAGGAGAGGAACTCACTTTGGTGTTCCATCCTCGTTCGTGTATTCAGCCTTGAACCGCTCGAGCGAGATCTTGACTTCATCTTCCGACAACTCGTAGCCCTATAGTCGAGAAACGCATATATATGTCAGAATAGGTCGGATCATTGTGGGCGATGGCGCGTCGAGCAAGCGCCGTGATAAGGATGGATGGCGTACCCTGTCCTGAACCATCTCGTGAACAGTCCTCCAGGCTCTCCACAGACGGGAGACTTCCTTGGAGGCACTGGTGGGGCTGCTGTCGTCCTCCATTTTGGCTGTGTGTGAGGGGCGATCGATTAAAGCGTAGTGTTTGTCGTCGCGGAGTGGTGGTGATGTGGTGGTTGCGCAGGTGAGGTGGTGGTTCGCGATGGTGGATGGCGTGTGGTGGATTGATAGCTTGGAGGACTTTCCTGTTTACGAGGCTGAAGGACAAAGGCTCTCAAAAAATTGCGGGAAGGGTGGGTGTCGCGGAAGACCAGAGGCGTGGCCGCATTGATCAGAACGCCCACTCCAGGTTTCCACGCCGGCCGATAAGAGATGGATGGGTCCACAGTGAGCCGGAGGCTGCCTTCACCCCTGTCAGACACTACAAGTAAGCGCGCAGATGGTCTGTGCTGTTGACCGTTGGCCGGGCTTCTGATTCAGTTTGTTGAATTCGTGAAAGAGGAGGAACAGTGATGGTGTGCGCTGGTTTTATGCATCACAGGAAAATCGGACATTTACTTGCTTTTCCCGTACTGCACATATAGCACACAAAATTAATTATTCTCTGCCAACTATGTAAACCTCTTCCATGATCCATATAATTTCCATGAGGGCCATTGCTCGGCAAAGTGAAGAGCCAATTCAACCTATCATCATCCTCCAACCAACCAACCAGCGCACCATAGTGTACTTGGTAGGTAGTAGCGCACAGGCCAAGACGGTGACACGCGTGACACGGTGTCGGGGAAAGGCCACGATCTGCAGATCTGGAACACGCCTGAAGCGGGACAAATTTTGGAATTTTTTTGGAACTGGCGACTGTGAATTGAGGGTTGAAAGTGAAAGGTTAGTTTCCGTTGAATTGTCAAATGCGGGCAAAACAGGTCAGGCATTGACAGCACCCGCACTAACCATTGTTCTCCCCAGGGCAGTCTGGACCCCATCTTCCACTATAATCACATCTCCATCTAAACAGCGATTACCCTAGAGGTACATCCTACAGGACCCGAACAGCGGTCCTCGGACGTGCACTGCCTTCCATCCTTCCTCAGGTCGCCCGCGGCTGTTCTACACTAAGTAGCTCTCCATCCCACCCACCGGCTCCGACCCACGCCCCGGCTGCCTAGTCCCCCTTCCCGTCTTTATCTTAACTATTCCCTTCCTTTCGTCTCTTCTTCCTTCTTCTTTTTTTTCTCCAGCAACCCCCAACACCACACACAATGGCCGAGTCGCAATCCCCCGCTGCCGCCCCTGCGGCCACCACCAAGCCTCATAAGCCTGATCAGGATGCCTTCAACGAGAACCTCGCCAAGGCCGAGAAGGAGTATCAGGATGCCCTGAAGAAATACGTGAGTCCCCTGCCCTGGCCGCCACCAAGAGCGCATCTACCCGATACCGTGGAGTCAGAGCACCCGCCCTCACACTCTCGATGCACCCTGCCGTCCACGCCACCATCACCACCACGTCTTCTGCTACTAGAAGCTGCTGCCCCCAATTGCCATGTGACAAGGCCAGACTAACCAATTGTCCCTGAATCCAGAACGAGATCAAGGCCAAGGTTGAGCTCGCCGCTCCTAGCAAGAACAAGGACCAGCCCAGCCCCACCCAGAAGAAGCGCCAGGAGCTCATCTCCCAGCTCAACGAGATCCGTCAGCAGCAGGCCGGTGGCAAGAATGCCCGCACCTCCAAGCTCGACCAGATCAAGCGCCTCGATGAGCAGCTCCGCAGCCGCATTGCCGAGCAAAAGACTGCCCGCAGCAAGGTCAACTTCAAGTCCACCGAGGAACTCGACCGCGAGATTGAGCGCCTGGAGAAGGAGGTCAACGGCGGCATGATGAAGCTCGTCGACGAGAAGAAGGCCCTCGCCGAGATCTCCAACCTCCGCAAGCAGCGCAAGAGCTTTGCTGGCTTCGACGATGCCCAGAAGCAGATCGACGACCTCAAGGCCAAGATCAAGGAGATCAAGGACAGCCTGGAGGACCCTGAGGCCAAGGCCCTCAGCGAAAAGTACAACAAGCTCCAGGCCGAGCTTGACGCCATCAAGGCCGAGCAGGACGAGGCCTACAAGAACCTCTCCAGCCTTCGTGACGAGCGCACCAAGCTCCAGCAGCTTCAGTCTGAAAAGTACCAGGCCATCAAGAAGCTCAAGGATGAGTACTACGGCGCCAAGAAGGAGTTCGCCAAGTGGGAGCGTGAGCAGCGCGAGAAGGCTCGCGAGAGACAGCAGGCCGAGCGTGAGCGCATCGCCAAGGAGCGCCGCATGGAGCGTGCCCAGAAGATGCTTGCCGAGGCTTCTGACCCCGCCTACCTCGAGGAGATCCGCCGTGCCAACTCTCTCCTCAAGTACTTCGACCCCAGCCACGAGGTCGCCGAGAAGGCTCCTCTCCTGGCCGACAAGGGCCTCGGTGCTCAGGCTCTTCGCAAGGTCGACGACTCTGGCCTCAAGGGCATGAAGCTCGTCCGCAAGGAGGAGCGTGATGACGACTACCTCCCTGCCGTCAAGAAGGGCAAGAAGTCCAAGAAGCCCACCGGTGCTGCCCCTGTCGCCACCGGCAAGACCTTCAGCCTCCCTCCCTCGGTCATTGAGGACTGCAGCTTCGTCGGTGTCGAGCCCCCCATGGCTGCTACCGATATCCCTGCTGCCGTTGAGAAGATCAAGGCCAAGCTCGAGCAGTGGAAGGCTGACCAGCCTGAGCAGACTCGCAAGGTATGTTGTTTTTGTTTCGTTCCTGTTGAAGTGACGGTTGCTAACAGTGCCGCTTGCAGAACATCGAGAAGGCCAAGAAGGAGATTGAGCGCCTCGAGGCTGAAGAGGCCGGTGAGGCTTCGGGCTCTGCCACCCCCAAGAAGGCCGTCGAGGAGGTCACCGAGGGCGTCAAGAACGCCACTATTGAAGAGAAGACTGAGGCTGTCGAGGCATCCGCATAGAAGCGCCGCCATCGACGTCACGGATCGTCTCGTTCTCTGACATCTGGGAAGTTATGATTTGAGGGGGACCAGGACTCCGACGAGGTTCAGGTTGCCAGGTTAAGCGGGTATTTGGGTCCTGTCATCCCTCTTTTTCATCCTTACCACTACCGTCCGCTGCCCACAACGACGTTACAGCCGTGTCAGATGTTGTGCGCATCTATCCCGGCACATTATCATTCGCATATATATCCCCGATATTCATCCTTTTTTTTTGCCTTAGTGGTCTCTTTAGTCATCATTATCCCCTGGTCTCTTCCATCAACTGTTGTTAGCATGCTTATTGGGGTACAGAAAAGGGGAAAGTTTTCGGGAATTCAAAATACGGGGTGGCATTCTTAACTCATCCTCACCTTCACACGCAAAAAGACTTTAATAGCTGGATTTGTCCGAACCTGCTCCCCAACGTATTAGGTTTTGAGGTGATGTTTCTGGTGGTTGGTGAACGCAAGGGAATCGACAAGCCAACTGAGGTACTGCAGGCCCCGAAAAGAAAGCATGACAAGGTGTCGAAGTGGAAGAAACTGACGGGAACATGTGAAAAGGACTCTTGAGATAGGTTAGATACGAGAGTGGAAAACAAGAGGGACATTGATACCCATCTTTCACACTCGCATATCCATACAGCCCGATCGTCAAGTGTCATTGGATGTTTGCTTTCACTGACTGCTTGCCTGCCATGTTCCGTTAACCTCAAATACCAACAACCATCATCCTTCCTCACTTCTCACCGTAACGACAGCTGTCAACGACAAAGGGATAGCTACCTATCCACGAGTGTCTGTGGATTTGGGAATAGAGTCCACTAACTCGACTGGTCTGCGTTACCAGCGGAACCCGAATAGCGTAAATCACAACAAACAGTATTGTTACAGCCCAAGCAAATAAACCGAGTGGGAGTAACAGAAAAAAAGAAGAAAAAAAAACTCCTGACGTTCTCAAGCACATTGGCACACACAGAGCAGACAGGACACACGCCGATAGCAGCCCAACAAAAACGTCCCGAGTGTCCCCGTGCACACTGCCCATGTCCGTCCTATGCCTCTTCCTACCTCTATGCTATCTATTAGGTACACGTAGAAGTACAGGTGCTTGGAGGTTCCCTTTCATGTAAGTAGGGCAATCTTCTCGAAACCCTTAACCTTCTAGGAATCAAAAGGCAAGGTACAGTCATGGTCAAAAAATAGGTACTGTCCCCCTCCCCCCACACATCATCCAATATGGTAAGGGGGGGACAGTATTTTGTTTACTATGAGTTTTAGGTACTTGGAAGACTACCTAGCTAGCTAGATTATTTTACTTGTAGGGTTTGTAAACATTGGATGTCAAATCAACATATGAAGTTTCAGTTTGATACTGTTAACCCTGTACATAGCGATCAGCCATATAACGATATCCTGACCATAACATTCAAGATCAAGGTAACGGTGCATATTTATATGGGAGTAACGATCAACCTTCGTATTACGATTTCGATCAGATTTTGGAGGCGAGTTGCACCAAAATCGTTATACTTGGGGGGTTTGGTTCGGTTCTGAGACGCCCAGTGACAGGCTGTTACAGCTCGTGACGGCCGGTCATAGGTCCTTTCAGCTGGCGCCGGCCTCCTGATTGGTCCAGAAGCCCGACCTAGCCTACCTTAGAGTAACGATAACCTGGGCATTACGATCAAGACCCGGGTAACGGACTTGATCGTTATGTGCAGGGTTAACAGTACCCTGTTTTCATTATATTTAATCATGAACCCAGCATTTGATGTCGAAGGGGGGGAGGGGTTTCTAGTACGGACTTGTACTGATGATGTACATTACTGGATTTACTGGATTACTGGATTCATGACTGGATATAAATACATGCTAATCCCATACCTCTACCTCTATCTCTACCGTTATGTCCCTAGGTATGTGTTCCCATTGCAAAGAGAGGTTACTACCTACATTAGGTAGGTATTTACCTATATACATAAAGTACATACAATGGGGTAAATTCGATAGTACACTACATGTACATGTACATAGTACCTCTCCATCCCGCATTTCCATTCGTCAGATAGGATTCCAGATTTCACCACCTCATGTCCCGTCTCAGAAATCCGTGCGAATGGTATCTACCTAGCGAAGCGGACGGGTGGACATGTGGACGGACGAATACCCGTCTAGTGAAGACGGGATATAGCGTCATCGGGCATCTATCAAGCCGTTTTTTCAATGTTCTCAAAGTTTGGGTCAGGCTACCTAGGTAGTAGGTAGGGACGGATGGTAGTCCAGTTGCAGTGGTAATCCAGTGGGTACCTAGGTATGCGGGTAGTCCAGCCGCAAGTGATATGGTGTGGTGAGGTGTGGTGTGATGTGAGTAGCCGAGATCGGGGGCCGGGTTGAGGAGGGGAGAATACATATCTACCTCTACCGACCGGCAGCAAAAGCATGACAGAGTAGAGGTAGGGACGGGTGCAAGAATCAGGTGGCTGGGTGGCTTGGTGGCTTGCTAATTTTTTCTTTGCTTTTCCGCTTGCTTTTTCCGTTTCCCGCTCTACTGCAGTGCTTGTGCTGTGTGGTATTGGGTTCCAGGTATCTGGGTTAGGTTTTTGGGTCAGGTTACTCTTCTCCGTTTTCTCGATCTCCGTTGATGTGCGAAAGTGATGGTCCTGCTGCTCACTTCACTTCACTTCACGTTAGAGTGTCAAATATATGAAAAGAAAGGTTGGACAAAACTTTGAGAGAACATACCTACCATGAGTAATTGACGAGGTTGATGAACGGGACCTACAACAACCTATAATACATCGCTCCGTCCAAGACATACCACATCACCTTCAGAATGGAATACGTAAACCGAGGTTCTTGACGTTGAATGTTTCTCAATCTGTTTGTGTATTACACAGGGTATTACGAATTGACCATTTCCCATCTTCAGTCTAGCGGTATGCGACAACTTCCTTTCTACGTCCGTCGGGGAACCGTATCACGACTTCGTCATGTGAGTGACCTCAACTGAGGATAGAATCGTCATTATGCTGCGGCTCCTGAGACAAGTTCGTGACAGGAACACACAAGAGACAACGGCGCGATGTCCGTCTAGATTCAGATCTTGGAGTCCGTACTGGACTACCTCGGTTGTGTACTACAACAAAAAAGGAAAGGATAGCAGACATGGTTAGAAGATCGAATTCATTGAATGAATGAGCAGTGAATTAGCTCTCTTTGAGTGACTGCCTGAGTGCTAGCTAGCTATACTTTCCAGCTTTCGTCTCCAAAGGCTCAGTGTTTCCTCTCCCTGACCAATATCCTTCAAGGTATACTAGTCTAAAAGGTGAAATTGTCATCATATCATGATATTCCGCCCAGTCTTTGATTTTTGTTTTGCATTGTTTCTTTCGTGAGGTATTCATTCCATCATCGCAGTCATAAGTAAAATCCAGGCCTGCCACCCAGCCTTCCCAGAAGGTGAATGATAAAAAAATCGATAAAGCACAATCATGATTCCTTGAACACCGAGTCAACCGCCCATTGACTATCCGTAAACCCGGTCATTCATCCGTTCATTTCCGTTCCGTTTCCCTTCCCGTCCCGAGTTCCAGACGATTGTTTGTGATCCTTTACTTGATTTTTTGAGAACAAATGCCGCCGTCGCTTTCCCTAAATGTGATATGCAACAATGCGGCCGTGGTATGCAAGAATGGTATGTAAGAAAAGATCCTCATGCTGTAGATGTGTGACCCCTTGTCGAGGCCATGGGTATGATTCATCTTTTTTTCGTAAAGCATGAGGCAAGCGATGACAAAGGGAATCTCGATTTGAAGCGAACGTAGTATTGTCAACTTGTCGAGGTTGTTGGCCATTTAGTATGGCTGCTGAGGATAGTATGTTGGCGGTCCAGGGTGTGGTGCCCGGTATGATTGTCTCCGCTCCCTTGGTCCTGGTGTCCGCCTGTCACTTCCACGGACCGGCTCAATCGGGGGTGGCGTGCGTCGCATGGCAGGCATGGGGGCAATATCTCTGTCGTAGGCCATGCTGCGACCGCTGGCCACAGTTGCTGGGGCACCAGGCGCCATCCTCGAGCTTGTGCTAATTCTCCTGGGTGCGTTAAGAGCATTGAGAGGAGGGTCCTTGACAGATGCGTCACCATCATCTGGAAGGGTCAACTCGACTAGGCTGTAGAAGTACTCGAGCACCTCGGGGTATCGCTGTACTGAAGCCTGCCAGTCCTCATCGATGCCGCGCTTCAACTGGGCCTGGGCGTTGGCGAGTTCACTAGGATGAGGTGGCTGCTGGTAGTATTGCCAGGCGTGTTCTGTGATGCGGTCCAGGTGCGAGGCATGTGCCGTCTTTCGTCGCTCAGTCAGCTGGCGGAAGTGATCGAGGATGTAGTCTTGAGCATGAGCTCGCACCCATGACCTAGAGGGATGTTAGCATGGCTCGTGGCTATAGACAGAAGGATGATGGGTCCACTTACCGGATGTCATTGTAGATAGACTGCATCATCCGGTTTTCAGCCTGCTTGACGGCCATCTCGAGGCCCTTGGCCTCACAGTCACAGGCAACGGTTGCCGGAGCATGGCAAATGGCGCAATCGGGATCCATTCTGACGATGGACTTTTGTGAGTGTTGGGTGGTTTCTGCCGAGTACATTGTTTAGTGTGGTGTTGTAAAAGGCAGACAGTAGTAGTGTGATCTTTCGAATTTGGTGTAGTAAGGAGTATGTGGAGTGTGAGGCTTTGCTGCTTTTATTATAAGAGTACGTGTTGCTATGTTCACAACGTTCACGCTCTTTCTCATGACCGACAAAGGGACCACCCCAGCAGCAAAGTATAGAAGCTTGATGATGAAGCAGCCAAGAGTAGATGGAGCAAGAGGCAGAGGGAGAATGGGGAAAGATGTGGATGTTATGAAGCTGGTGTGAGGGAGTACAAGACAAGACTCTCGGTCGAGAGAGATAAGGCAGCAGATTCACTAACCTGATGTATCAAAGGCCGAGAAGGTGTCGATCGAGTGGAATCAACGACAAGTAAGCAAGCAGCACAGGCGGGAAGAAGTGAGCAAGCAGGCAGGCCCGCAGGTGGAGGATGTATGTGGATGTATGTGAATGTATGTAAGTGTGTAAGTCGACAAGGTAGGTACCGGAGGGGAAACACCACAGCAGCGCGACCACGCAGTGTGCAGGATGAGATGGCGAACGAGGATGAGGGAAAACACGACTGATGAATGGGAGAAGAAGGAGGAGAAGCAGAGGAGTTGAGAGGAGTGAGAGGTGAAAAGAGGAGCCAGGAGGCAGGACAGGGCAAGGAAGTGTCAAGCAGCAAGCAGCAGAAAGGTCGGGTTCAGGAACTAAGCTTGCCCTGCTTGCGTGTAGCAGCAGCAACAGAACGGTCCGGCCGGATCTACCAAGAAAAGAGTCTCGAAAGGCAGGCAAAGATGACCGAGACGAGACGAGAGGGATCTGCCCCTGTTTGGCTGTTTGGGACACACAAAAGGTTGCAGCAACACTCCAGTCTCAGGTCTGTCAAAGGCGAAACCACACGTTGTCCGGCTGGGGATCTCTGTCGTGGCTCGAATGCGGGCCCGCTTGGCCTCCTTTGGCAGCAGTGGTCTGCAGCTTGCAGCGGCCCAATGCCTGTGTCGACCAGTCCGCGACGGCGTGGCCGATCCGGGACCCAGTTTTCCCGACTGGAGGCGAGTGTCGTTTGCACCTTGTCTGGGACCTTTTCTGTCTAGGTGGTGGCGGATGATTCGCTCTGCAGCAGCAAGACAGCGCACTCTTGCAGCAGACGATCCCCCAGACGTCCAAGGTTATCAGCGTCTTGAAACTCGGAAATGCTGACAGTGGGGTGACGGGCAACACGGCCGGTTGGTTGGATACCGGCTTGATGGGCAACTGGCGATGAGCAGACGGGCAGCAACAGGAGGAAACGAAACGCGGAGCAAAACAAAAGCTGCCGACAGGTGGTAGATGGGAGAAGGAGGCAAAAAGAAAAGGCAAGGAAGAGCCGCGTTGCCGTGGAGGAGAGAAAGGCGTCGTATTCAGTCAAGTTGTATGTAATATCTGACAAGAATATGATAGGCAGGGTTGATAATCCTGAGACGATCTAGAAGAGCGGGAGGGAGGAGCATAGTCCCCGTTGCCCTGTCAAATAGAACAAGAATGTCAACATTATCAACAACATCAACATCAACAAATAACGGAGGAGGCGGGCAACGGGCAACGGAAACGAGGCCAAGACACTAGGTCCTACCCGAGACTCGAAAGCATGTATGTACCAAATGTCAGAGAAAATATGTGATGTGCGTTTTCTCCAACCCGAGTGAGTAGGCATGCAAAGTCCCCATGATTGTGTGTGTGTTGACACTGCTCCCTTCAACCACTTCCATTTACCTTCCCCATGAACAACCGCATGAGATGAAGAGATGAGGTTCGGTTCCCAGCTGGAATTTGGATACCTTGGATCCTGAGGTACCAATGTAGCTGAACGACACTGTCCAATAGAAAATGCAAAGATGGGGAGGCTGGGGAATTGGAGTCAGGTCAGACGGGAAGGAAGCAACATTATATCGACGTCTCACTTGTGATGCTACCTCTAGGTAGGTATGCCGTGAGTGTGTGAGTTGTCAGTGCCACCGCCGCCCTCAGACGTCAGGTTGTTACCGTAGATATTTCCTTATTCCTAGGTAGATATCAGACACAATGAGCTGAGCAGCAGATGCATGTCAGCCCGCCGGCATAGCCATAGCCATAGCCCTTGCGAGTTTGAGAGCCCTGTCTTAATTGAGACAGAGGTCGGATGGGAAGAGTGATGGTGCGGCGCACTTGCGACAGAGCGAGGGCCATGGCCGTTTCGGATGGAATATGGCAGCACTATGGCAAAGAGACACAAAAGTTGATTGGAATGTGAAGAGAATAATTGATGTTGATTGTATTGTTGGGTGGGAGACGAGGACAAGGAGGAGAAGGAGGAGGACGGGAGAAGAGGACTGGAGGAGTGCTGCGATGGTGGGGAAACTTTACGATCATCCGGACTCAGCAGCTTTCCCCGCCATTGGAATTGGGTGCGTGTCCGTCCAACATGGAAGTTTCAGGGAAAGCGTCCCGGAGCGTCGATCAGAACGACTTCAGACGGGCCCCCAGTTCGCCAAGACTTTTAGCCCAATCCACTTCATGTCATGCACGCACTGGGCTCCCCGCAGTGGGTCTTCACTTGCTACCTCTACACTAAAAGTGGAAATGTTGGGAGTTTCTTATCTTATCGGCGCGCGCTAACGAGATGGGACTCCCGTCGTGATCCAAAAAGTTGGCGGCCGAGGGGGCAAACAACTGAAACCCAAGACTGGTCAATGTACATTATGCGCCATTGTCCTGTTCGAGATGGCGTCTCGTTGTACTCATAGCTCCCGGCTGTTTATGCCCTTTTTATATCCATCATTGTTTCGCGCCAGTGCCGCAAGCGTGCCCCGTGCTACTAGCTTAGCCCTCGCCCGAAACCTTCGTTACAGCAGCACAGCGACATTGGAACCTCAGCACTCCGAGAACGACGACGAGGCCAGATCGAGACTCAATCCCGCCCCCGACGACTACTCGAACCCATACTTCGCCGACAAAGCCAAGCTAAACGTCTACGCTGGCCCGGGTGGCAACGGCTGTATATCCTTTCTCAGAGAGTTGTTCATTCCCGAAGGCCCGGCGAACGGAGGTGATGGAGGCCATGGCGGCAATGTCTATATCCAAGCTGTCCACGGCGAGACTTCGCTACACAAGTTGGCACGACGAAGGCATATTCGCGCTGGCCGGGGAAAGCATGGCCAGGGTAGCGCTCAGGGTGGACAGCGCGGAGAAGACGTCATCATAACTGTACCAGTCGGCACAGTCGTTACCGAGATCAGCCGCGACGACCCCGAAGGCGAGAGGCAACTCATTGACAGAGCCAAGTACAAGCGCAAGAGGAAAAAGGACTTTCGTAATGCCGCTGCGCTTGAGGCCCCAAAGGAGGAAGAAGGCGTAGAAGGGACAATAGTAGAGGAGGAGCCGCCCGTCAACCCAGACCTCGACCGATGGCTACTATACCCCGGTATCTCTTCGTCAGAGGCCAGAAGAGTTGGCGCCGAACTGCCACGACTACCCCGTCGCGACCGGCTGTTCCAACAACCGCCAGCACCCATATATCTGGACCTGAACCGTCCCACACCACGGCCCATCCTGCTGGCGGCAGGTGGCCTCGGTGGACTGGGCAATCCCCATTTCGCAAACAAGGACAGACCAAGGCCCATGTTTGCGACAAAGGGAGAGCCGGCCATGTCTCTAGAGATTGAGCTCGAGCTCAAGCTTCTTGCCGACGTTGGTCTGGTTGGTCTGCCCAATGCCGGCAAGAGCACCCTCCTGCGCGCCTTGACCAACAGCCGAGCTCGTGTTGGCCACTGGGCATTCACCACGTTACAACCCAATATCGGCACCGTCGTGCTCGATAACAACAAGGGCCGTCCCTCGGTAAAGAGCTACAAGCGAATCAGCGACGCTCCTGTCGATGATCCCTTTGCTCTCACTGGTGCGCCGGACGAGGTCGAGCAAAGAACGCGCTTCACTGTCGCTGACATCCCGGGTCTGATTGAGGGTGCCCATCTCGACAAGGGTCTCGGTATTGCCTTTCTGCGTCACGTTGAGCGTGCTGGTGTGCTCGCCTTCGTCATTGACCTGGGTGCCGGCAATGCTGTGAAAGCGTTGAAGGCGCTGTGGAACGAGGTGGGCTTGTACGCGCAAATGCGCGAGGATGAAGAGGCCGACCGGGAGCGCGCAGCAAGGATTGACTGGAGTCCCGAGGCCGGTATTGACAATGTCAGCATGTCAGGTGGATGGCCAGCCTCGAACGGCATGGCCGACTATCCACCCTCTGCTGCCGAGCCTGCAGGGTTGTCCATCGCAGGAAAGCCGTGGTTTGTGGTAGCCACCAAGGGAGACTTGAAGGATACTCAGGCCAACTTTATGGAGCTTAGAGATTACTGTGCGGCCGTCACACGGGGGGATGAGCCCCATCCCAGTGGTGTTCAGGGTGCTTGGATTGAGAATGTGGAAGCCATTCCCGTCAGTGCCATCAATGGTCATGGCGTGGAGAGGATTGTTCACTGGACGGTCGGCTTGTTGGATGGTTGAACAAACTCACAAGCTTTCGTCTTCTATTACCCTAGGCTTTAGCATGAGATACCTAGGCCCTCCTCTACTCAGATATCCAGAAGATAAACAAGGAAGCGCAGTGACTAGGTGTATGTATGTACCAGCTTCATCTGACCTGGCGCAACCTAGTCGCAGTTCCAGGTTGTAGTCTGCCCCATTTGGTGGTTGGACCTTGGGCTTACAACCAAAGTTCTTATCAGCGATTACCGATAAGCAATGTTAACCTTGGGGACGAATCCCACTAACCCAACCAGGTTAGCCTGTATACATAATGGATCCCTTACAGTTGCTCCATGTAAAATAACGACCAATTGAAACACGCATTTTTCAAGTTCCCTCGGTTAGCGCCATTCCTAGTCCCCCCACCCCCACATTTTAAGTTTGCGGCGACGGCTTTTGTTTCGAGTCTCGACTTGCACGCGACAGAGACTGGCGTTGCCGCATGTCACTTTTTTTTCTTCCTCCTCCTCCAACACTTCGACTCCGGCTACCAAAGTTGAGTATCGCAAGCGGACACATCTTTGTATCCCCAATTGCGAATCTCTCAAACATGGGTCGCGGTGGTAACTTCAGGGTACGTTCTACCTCAGCAGCAGCTCTTCTCTCTTTCTTTTTTTTTTATTATATATCCCACGTCATCAGCCTCGACTTCCTTCACTTGTCATACTCGAGTCCCCCAGTCATCCATTCCATGTTGCAGTGTTGCCATCCTCACCTTCCAAAACTAAACGTACTGACCGACGTGTGTATGTGTTACAGAAGGGCCGTGGCGGTGGCCGTGGCGGCAAGCGTAACCGTGATGACAACCGTGGAGGTCACCAGCCTTACACTAGATACCCCGAGGTCGTCAAGCAGAACGAAAGGCTCGAAGGCTACTACAACGACCTTCTCCAGCTGCCCGAGGAGGAGCGTGAACAGTTCTGGGCTGCCCTGAAGAGGGAGCTGCCCAACAGCTTCCGCTTCTGCGGCTCCAAGGGGTACAGTCACCTTGGCCGTCTCATGTCTTCATGACCTACTTCCATCCAATTGCTTACCTTCTCTTCACAACAGACACGCTCTCGCCGTCAAGAACCTCCTCCAGACCCGCTACATCCCCGAAATTACCAGAATCACCTACGATGGCGCCGTCGTCGAGCCCCCTCAGCCTGTGCCCTGGTACCCCGACGGCCTCGCCTGGTGGATGACCACCCCCAAGAACGTGATTCGCAAGTTCCCTCCCTTCTCGGCCTTCCAGAAGTTTTTGGTTTCCGAGACCAGCGTCGGCAACATCTCCCGTCAGGAGGTCGTCTCCATGATTCCTCCCCTTCTCATGGACCTCCGCCCCGGCATGACCGTCCTCGACATGTGTGCCGCCCCCGGCAGCAAGGCCGCCCAGCTCCTTGAGATGATTCACCGTGGCGAGGAGGCCAGAATCCGTCACGTCATCAAGCAGTTCGGCGGTTCCGTCGACGAGATCAAGAGCGCCGATGACGACGCCGCCCGCCTCGACGCCGACCCCAGCGACGACGGCAGAGCTACCGGCATGCTCATTGCCAACGACGCCGACTACAAGAGATCTCACATGCTGATCCATCAGCTCAAGCGTCTCTCCTCCCCCAACATGATCGTCACCAACCACGACGCCACCATGTACCCCTCCCTCAGGATACCCAACCCCGAGGACCCTAGCAAGCCCAACTACCTCAAGTTCGACCGTATCTTGGCCGATGTGCCCTGCTCCGGTGATGGCACCCTCAGGAAGAACGTCAACCTTTGGAAGGATTGGGCTCCTGCTGCCGCCTTGGGTCTGCACCTTACGCAAGTCCGCATCCTCGTGCGTGCTCTCCAGATGCTCAAGCCCGGCGGCCGCATGGTCTACTCCACCTGCTCCATGAACCCCGTCGAGAACGAGTCCGTCGTTGCCGCCGCCATCGAGCGCTGCGGTGGTCCTGACAAGATTGAGATTGTCGACTGCGCCGACCAGCTTCCTCTGCTCCAGCGCAAGCCCGGCATGCGCAAGTGGAAGATCATGGACAAGTCCGCCCGTGTCTGGAACAGCTGGCAGGAGGTTGAGGATCACGCCAAGTCCACTGAGGATGGTATTACTCCCAGCCGTCTCGTTGAGTCCATGTTCCCCCGTCCCGAGGGCAGCATTTGCGCCGACCTCCCTCTGGAGAGGTGCATGCGTGTCTACGCTCACCAGCAGGATACCGGTGGTTTCTTCATTACTGTGCTCCAAAAGAAGGCCGAGTTCAAGGCCAAGCCTGAGGAGGTCAGGCCAAAGGAGAAGAAGCAAGCTCCCAAGCGCCCCTTGGAGGAGGCCGAGGGCACTGAGGAGGCTAAGAAGCAGAAGACCGAGAATGATGAGGCTGCCAAGACCGAGGACGTGGTGATTGAGGAGGCGCCCGTTGAGCCCGCCGAGGAGGCCAAGGCTGAGGAGGTTGCCCCCGTTGAGGAGACTCCTGCTACCGAGGAGCCCGCTGCCAAGGAGGAGGCTACCGAGACCCCGGCTGAGACCCCTGCCGAGACTCCCAAGGAGGCCCCCAAGGAGGGTGAGGTCCAACCAGAGCGCAAGCAGAAGCAGCAGGGCTCTTATGAGGAGCCCTTCAAGTACCTCCCTGCCGACCACGAGGTCATCAAGAACATTGCCGACTTCTACAAGATTTCTCCCCGCTTCCCCGCGGACCGATACATGATCCGTAACGCCACGGGCGAGCCCGCCAAGGCCATCTACTACACCAGCGCCTTGGTGCGCGACATTCTCGTCATGAACGAGGGCCGTGGCGTCAAGTTCATCCACGGTGGTGTGAAGATGTACGTCAAGCAGGATGCTCCCTCGGCCGAGGTCTGCCGCTGGCGCATCCAGTCCGAGGGTATGCCCATCCTACACGGCTACGTGGGCGCTGAGCGCGTCGTTGTGCTCAAGAAGAAGGAGACGCTGAAGAAGCTGCTCATTGAGATGTTCCCCAAGATCGCCAACGGCGAGTGGGAGAAGCTCGACGAGATTGGTGAGCGCGTCCGTGACTTGGCTCTTGGATGCTGCGTCCTCCGCGTTGAGCCCGATGGCGACGATGAGGAGTTCAACGAGCACATGGCTCTCCCACTGTGGAAGAGCTTCCAGTCGTTGAACCTCATGCTGCCTAAGGAGGATCGCAGTGCGATGTTGCTCCGTATCTACAACGACACCACTCCCTTGATCAACATGGGTATCAAGCGGGATGCGCCCAAGGAGGGTGCTGAGGCAAAGAAGGAGGGCGAGGAGGAGGTCAAGGCTGAGGAGACCGAGACCCCTGCGGAGGCCAAGACGGATGTCACTGTTGAGGCTCCAGCGGCTGCCGAGGAGCAGGTCAAGGATGCCGAGGGTGATGTTTCCATGAAGGAGGAGACCACTGCTTAAACTTGGTTGATTTTCTTGTGGTTGGGGCGTAATTTTCTGGCATATAAGGGAATAGCGAGGAGCTTTTTTCTTGAGTGTGTTGTGGATGGGTAGATAAAACTTTCAGCATTTGTCCATTTAGATAGAGAGAGGGATTTCTTTTAGCTGAAATGGGTTTATAGGTTTTAACTGGGGAAATGCATTTATTGTTCGATCAATTTTGAGTTTTGGGATTCGGAAACGGTGAATGTTGTTGTGACGTGCTTGCCAAACGGAGTGATGGGATGTCGTTGTGAGATACTTTAGAGGTACTCACTCTCTGGTGGATCAACTGTGCACAACTAAGTACCGACGAGGTACCTCTGTCCTCCCAAGCTTTCACTTTATGATTCAAGCACGTCGCGTCCCGCAACGCGTGTGCTTGAGCAAGGCATTTCTCCAACTACAAACACTTCGATGATCATGATATGTGGAATTTTTGGACAGCGACATAGACATCTTTTCAGTATGCGAAATAGCAGTGGGTCATTACATTAGATCGAAACCTGAACGGCATCTGATGCAAATTTGTCGGGACCGCGCGAACCTGTGCCCAACCTTGATCAACCACCATCGCGAACCTTTCGAGATCCCGGACCCGACAATTACTTTCGGATAGTGGTATTGACAAAAGACATTTTCAAGCAAATGGTTCATCTCTGAGTCGTTTGCATATCAGGAGTCAAAAATCAAAGGAACACCATACGATGCCCACTAATAAAGCCCCGACCTCGAACGAGTGGGATTTGCCCAAGTTGAGGGCGTCTATCAATTTCCAGGTACGACTAATTCTACCAAGTTAGCAGAAGCTATTCTATATATTATGCACGCACGCCCAATGATGACGAAGGAGGAGGCCAACTTGCTGACCTCCCCCAAACAGGACGACTGGAAAGATCCCGTCTCTGGCGAGTCGATAGCACATGGTACGTCCGGTGTCTCACTTTGGTGATTTTTTTTTTTTGGTTCTCCCGGGGACATATGAGAGAGTCCAGGAGTGTCAAACCCCAGTGTGTGTGTGAGAATTGATAAACTAAACTAAACAAATGAACTGAACAACAATGACTTAACAGAATTCTTCGACGTGAAATTCTACCCGTACAACCCCGTCGGCGCCCCGCCCGTGTTCGCCATAGCTAGTAAGAAGCATGTACGTTCTTGTTCTTGTTTCACTGACTGTCACTTTGATGATTGTTGGATGTTTGTGATTTGTTTCATGGTTTATGAGTAACTCAAGGAGATATGCTAATTACTAGCCAACACACAGGTGATCATATGTCGCATCAATCAAAATACGGACAGCAGCACCAATCCTGTCGAGGTGTTGAAGTTGATAAGGGACGATGATGTGAGTTTTCGATTCGACCCCAACTGTGTGGCCGTTCGGATAGATGAGAATGTGCTAATGTATGTGTATTGGTGAATAGGATGACGCAGCAAACTGTTCATGCTGCTGGTCCAAAGACATGGAGACGGGTCAACCATGGCTTTGTATAGCCGGGGCGGATGCAAAGGTGAAAGTCTACGATGTCAAACAGGGAAAGTTAGTCAAGGTTTGTGGTACCCTCCATTATTCCCCTATGCGATGCTAATGACAGAAACAGACCCTCGTAGGCCACGGCGGCGGCATCAACGACCTCGTCACCTCCCCGCTCACCCCCTCCCTCATCGCCTCCTGCTCCGACGACACCACCGTGCGCCTCTGGTCTCTCCTCCCCATCCACTCCGCGCAACCGTGCATGTTCATCCTCGGAGGCGACGCCCACACCTGGGACCTGCTGAGCATCGCCTTCCACGACACGGGCCGCTACTTACTGTCAGCAGGCCACGACCAAACCATCAACCTGTGGACCATCCCGCCTTGTCCTTCCGAACCCGTCACTCACCCTTTGGTCATCCACTACCCGCACTTTTCCACAAAGGAGATCCATAACTCGCTGGTGGACTGCGTCTCCTTCTTCGGCGACCTCATCCTATCTCGCGCCTGCTGGGAAGAAACTATTGTTTTGTGGTCTATATCAGGCTTTTCCTCCTCGTCCTCTTCTTCTTCTATGTCCCCCTCCTCCCCCTTCCCCTCCCCTTCTTCTCCCCCCTCCACCTCCTCTTCATTTCAGGGTAACGACCTACCATTATCAACAGCCCCCACAACCTTTGACCCCTCCAAACTCACCCGCTCCGCCTTCTGGCAAGCCCCCGACCTCAACCCCGAGACGCGCCCAGCCTACTTTACCCGACTGCTCCAGTTCAAAACGGTCGATTGCAAAGGCCAGTTCTACATGCGCTTCAAAGTTCTGCATGCACAAGGGGGAAAACATCCCGTGTTGGCATTTTGTAATGCGCGGAATAAGTTTATGTTTTGGGATTTGAGCCGGTTGGGTAGTTGGCAGCGGTTTTTGGGGGAACTTAGGGAGGCTGAAGAAGAAGAAGCCGAGGCGGAGGGGAGAGAGAGGAGAGAGAGGGTGAGGGTGGTTGAGCAGCCTGGGTGGATGCCTGCGAGGAAGGCGCCCAGACGGACGGTGACGGGAGAGGCAGGTGGGGGAAATACTGCGTATCTTTCTTCTACGGCAGCGGCAGCGGCGACGACGGCAGCGGCGGCGAACTACAAGACAACAGGGGGTGTTGGTTCTGGTGGACGGACTTCAGGAAAACAACTTGGTACCGGGACGTCCACTAGTCCTGATCGCGAGACTTTGCTTTCTGCTGCTGGTGCTGCTGGTGGTAGTGGTAGACCAGGTTCGAGTTCGAGGGAGAGACCGGGCTCGAGAGGATCTACTACCACCACGGCTACGGCCACGGCTACGGCTACGGCCACGGCTACGGCTACGGCCACGACTACCCAAACAGCAGCAAGCAGGCCCCCGGGCATAGGACTGGGAGGATACACTCAAAAGCAGCTGGATGAGTGGCATGACCAGTGTGATATTACGGATTCGCACAAGGAGATTAAACCGCATAAGACGGTTACGGTGGATGGCAAGGGACAGCATTTTGTGGGGAGGCAGGTGGCGTGGAGTCCCGAGGGGAATTGGTGTGTGGTGGTGGGCAATTCGAATCGGGCTATGATCTTTCAGCGGTGGGGGAAGTAAAGAGTAAAGGGGGTGGGATGGCGGTTGGAAGAAAATTCGGGGGGAAGATATAGGACAGTTGTGAGAGCAGGAGAAGAGGTGTGTAGATCGTTGATAATATCACTTTACAGACTTGGTTTGATAACCTTTACGACAATATCTCGTTATTCAACTCCTTTGGGATATCAAACTATTGAAAAATAGTAAGCTAAACAACGCCAACTTCACCTCATAGCCAAAGCAAACGTACCTCTACTCCTCCCCCTATCCCCCCCTTCCTCTTCCTCCCCCTCCACATCCTCATCCTCCCCATCACCTTCAGCACCACCACCACCGCCACTAATCAACTCCAAAATCCACTCATCCCCCTCCTCCAACTCCCCCCCTCTCAACTCCCTCATTTTTATAAACAATACCCTCGCCCTATCCCTCTCAGCAGCCTGTGCCCTCCTTCCCTCCTCCTCATTCATCCTCTCCTCATGCGACTTCCACCCACTGCCCCCCTCCCCTTCCACCTGAGTGACCGTAACAGGCACGCTCAAATCCCCCACATAAAGCGCCACCATGGCTCTCAACCTCACCAGCTCCACATCTTTATTATAGGGGGTATTCTCCAAGACGGCATCCATGCGTCTCGCTACATCCTTCATTTGCTCCAACGCCTTTATTCTCAGTTTCTCTTTCTCTCTTCTTAGTCTTACTTCCGGCCTTTTGCTTCTTCTTTCATCCTCTTCCATTTCTGTTCGGTATAGAGGGTGGACGTTGACGGTATCCATCTGTCTGGAGTGACTGGAGTGACTGGGGTAGTAAGCAGATGGTGAAGGTGGTGAGGACCTCAGGGGGTCGAGGGGATCGAGGGATGATTGCTGGTCGATTTGCATGTGATCATCATCCCCTCCGAACTTTGGTAGATCATCGTCGTCGTCATCAATGAAATGGTGTCTGTCAAGTTGTTCCACCCCGTACCGATGTTCCGCAAAACAAGCCTCCATCTCGAACCCAAACAGCGCAGGATAGAAATCCACCGCGCCCATTTTGTTAGGATGCAGCCTGCTCCATGGATGTAAATGGATTAGCGTCTCGTAGTATGCCCGGACTCGATCCCGATTTTGTGCTGCGCGGAGTAATCGGTTGCGTTCCCTCCTCTCTTTTACATCCTCCTCTTCCATCTCCCCTTCCCCAGATGGTCCCTCCCCGTATACCCCCTCCCGCTCTTCCTCTTCCATCTGCGTCCCATCCCCAAGCAACCCGCCTTGTGACCCTCCCCCCAACTGATTCCCCTGGTTTTCCCCTACCCTCATCAACACCTCCGCTCCCAACTCCCAATACCCACCAAACCGCAAATCCACCTTCCGCCCATTTACGTCCGCCCTCACCAGCAAGCCGAACGCCCTTCTCGCCAGCGCTATGTCCCCCTCGGCTAAACAGCGCTGAATAATAGCGACCAGTGCGCCAACGCGCGATTGATGCGCTTTGTGCAGCTTGGCTGTGCTGCGGACGGGGTCGCGCTTGGCGTAGGGTTTTCCCGTGCTGGTGACGGAGATGGTGTCGTGATCTGTTATAGTTGTCCATCCGTCTGTTTCGGCGTCGGTGTCGCCGGCGTCGGAGTTGAAGGTGGTGCTGGCGAAGCTGCTGCGGCGGGAGCGAGATCGAGAGCGAGGATGAGATGAAGTAGGTGAGGAGGGAAGGGGTCGGTGGGGGAAGTCGGGGTAGATGGAGGAGGGGAGGGGTGCGTCGGGGGAGTTGCCGGCTGGGAGAAATTGTTTGAGGGTGGAAGGCGGGTGGGAGAGGGGGTTGATGATAGTTGAGGAGGAGGGTGTTGCTGAGTAGGTGGTTGAGGTTGTTGAGAGGGCGCGTTTGCGCTTGGTTGGGGAGCGGGAGTCCATGAGATATACGATCGTTTTTTTGTTGATTTATCTGGATGATATGCTTCGACTTTGTTGGTGACTGTGGAAATGTTTTGGTGTATTTGTTGATGAGTGATGTTTTGATGTTTTGGTAAAAGTTTCGTCAAGTGGAAAAGCGAGTGAAAGAAAACTCAAATGGTAAAATCCCCGGTTGGTCAACCCCGCCTTGTGAACCCTGCATCACTTGGGAAGACTTTCGAAGTTAATGAACACACAAAATCTTTACTCTGATCCTTACACAAGAGCCATGGTCTTGTAAAGACGCCCTTGGAGGTTTGCTACATGTAGTCGAAGGCTGTTGTGTACATTGGTCATGGACCCACTCGGTGATCATCATCCTCAGCAATGCCACTTAGACTTACCACTGTATCATCCAACCACAGATATCACTACTTCTTGTCACATAGTTTTTAAAGGTAGACCTACTACCTTAGTGTAAAGCCCACAACACCTGAGGAGGGCATGTTCATTCACGCCTGCCAAAGTCTATGATTATAAACATCTCCCGGCGTGGTATGGTATAGGTACAACTGGCTGGAAAATGCCCTCCTTCTTCGTAACGCTCATAAAATAGGTGGCCGTCATGGCCTGGTTGGTCCTGTGTTCCCATTCTCTATGTCTGTCGATGTTTGTTTACTCCTTACGCTCAAAGTAAGTCCATTGGCCCTCTGGCGCCTCCTCCTCAAGAGCTTCCCAACTGTGACGGGTTAGTCCACCTGACCAATAATCGCATGCTTAAGGACAGAAAATAAAACTTACGGCCTGGCCTGGGTCATAATGTCAACCAGCTTAAGCTCGCCTTCGGCAACCTGAACAACCTCCTCAATCAAGCCAGAACCAATCCTGGCCTCCATCTCAGCAATCCTGTACGAAAATCAGATGTCAGCATATTTCTGCGAATACCGCATCCAGCACCCATGTGGAGAGCTGCAATAGCGGGACATAAAAGACAGGGATCAGGGCCCATAGATGTCATATCCACAAGGAAGGGGAACACGCACTGTTCAGCGCTCAACGGTGGCTCCGACTCCCACTCGACGGGGCTCTTGTCCTCGACAACACCGCCCATCTTGATACCGAGATCCCTGAGACCCTGGCGATACGCAACCGGGTCTGATTCCCTGATCTTGTCCAGCTCGAGCAGCTTGTCACTGTCTTCCAGCTTGACCGCGCCGACGACATCCTCGCCGGTCTGAACCCAGGAAAAGTGCGGATCCAGGACGGCACCATCCCACTCGACGTCGCGCCAGTCCTGCGGGGTGACCATCTGGCGGATGAAGTAAGCGCGGCCGTCGGGGCCTTCGACGAGGCGGGCATGTTGGCCGTCGAACTGGCGGGCCGTGAGGTCGCTCTTGTGCTTCTCGAGCAGCTTGCGGGCGCGCTCCTGCCAGGCGTCGTAGCCGTCGGGCACGTACTGCTCGACGATGGCGAGGCGGTGCTTGGTCAGGGCCTCGGCGGACTGGCGGTACAGCGAGTGCTCGGGGATCTGCTTGAGCTTGTCGAGGGTGTGGTTGTAGAGGTACAGCAGGGCGGAGCGCGGCGACGGGTGGGTGCCGAGGCCGGTGAGGCCGGTCGGGGAGCCGGGCTTGAGGAAGCGGGCGGACGGGCGGACGGTACCCGTCGCGGTCGCGAGCAATCGGAGTGCCGCGCGCATGGTTTCCGAGTCGTGTCGTGAGGTTGTTGACTGACTCGGGGTCCGGTGGGGTGGGGTGGATTGTGGGTTGTCGAGGGGACGAGGCTCCAGAGAGAGGAGTCCAGAAGGTGGACCGGGATGGCAGAGGTACTAACAGTAATGTACAGCGCCCGGGCCTGGCATTGATGGAGTGATGAACGGGACGTCAGAGCTTGTGCGGTACAGTGCAGTACGGCGACTGAACGATGCCATTCACATGATGTGGCACGTGCTCGGGAGCTCCCCGCTGCTGCTCTCATTGGCCAATTGTCTCCTGTTGTCTACGGACAAACGATTGCACACAGCAAGCTACAGCGGGGTAACTTAGGCCTGTCTCAGCTACATGAAGCTGTGCTTGCAAACGCCTTGTCAGCTGTCATTCCGCGGAGATGTTATCCCCAGGCCACTTCACCAACACCACCCACCCACTCAGCTTCATGATGAGCGAGGAGGCTCACAACACTTGCCACGATGAACACAAAACGTCATTCAACAGTTTCACTTTCATTGCCACGCTACGCTACGCTCAAAACATTTGCTCAGAAAACCAACACATCCTCGTCCTTCCACCCCAGCCCCTTCAACACCTCCCGAACCATATTCTGCATCCCCTCGGGTCCACACAGCAACACCATCGTCTCCTCTCTCAAATCCCGTTCTCCAACCTCTCTTTCCAGCATCGTTTTATCCAACCTTCCTCTCAGCCCTGTCCACTCTTCACCCGGTCTACTCAGCGTATACTTGACCCTACACCTCCCCTCGGGTTTGACCCTCTCCACCAACTCATCCAACTCCCTCTTCATCAAAATATCCCCCTCTACCCTATTCCCATCCAACACCAAACACTCCGTCCCATCTTGCTCATCCACAGCAACAGCCCTCAGAACCTGGTAGATAGGCGTCACACCCGACCCACCACAAATCATGACAAACCTCTTGACCTTCCTCTCTCGTCCATTGACAGAACAGACGCCCCGTCCTTGGTAGACAAACTTGCCCACCGGTCCTTTGAACTCCACGGCTTTCCCCACTGCCAAAGCATCCAGCGCCTGTGTCATTTGTCCTCCCTTTATATCTTCGGTAGGAGAAGCGTAGTAGATCTTGACCAACACCCGGAGAGTTCCCCGCTCCGAAGTGCCGTCCGAGATGGGCGTGTAAGCGCGGATGATAGATTCGGTGGGTTTAGCAGGGTCAGGGAGTCGCATCATGAGATGTTGGCCGACGGGGAGCCCAATGGATTGGGCAGGGTGTGACAAAGTGAAGTGGAAGATTTTGGTATCCGGGGAGACGGATTCTTTGGAGGTGAGGATGGCGCTGTTCCATGTCTTGGACTGGAGGAAGATGGGGCGGCTGGGATCGCTGAGAGCTGGGTCCGAGGTGGAGGAGGACTTGAGAGCCGCGAGGGCGGAGGGAGTGAGGGTGCCGATGTGGTAGGTTGGCATCATTGCTTTGGCATTTTCGCTGTCTGTGAAGAGTCAGTTAGATGGACTCATGACGATGGACCAGAAAGAGGTGGACTTACGAATGGCTAGGAACTCGTCGGTTACGTCCTGTCCAGCAGCGCCGGTGATGGAGGCAGCACCACCTGGATGACCTTCGAGGAACGGCGTCCCGTCGTAAACTTGGCCGTTCACGACGAACCAGGGCTCTTCCTCACCATCGTGCTGGCGGAGCTCTTCAAGTGTGATAAGTCGAGTGACCTTGTCATCCACCATGCTGATCTCCTTGACAGGCCCTTGTTTGACGACGTTCTCCTCAGCCCCGGGGACTTTCTCACCCCAAAAGCCATTAGCAAGGTTCCCGCCCTCCTTCTTCACTCGATCCATCCAACCGTCCGACGTCAGCATCGGTTGAGTAGGATGCTCGAAACGCAAGGTATCGCCCTCATGATGAATAACGACCCGAAACCAAGGGTTATTCATCATCCCCAGCACACTCCAATACATCTCCTTGGGCTGTAGCGCCAGCGACTCATCCATCGCTCGGATGCACACATCCTTTGCCTCGCGCAGCTCGGAAAGAGGAATCTCCAAATCCCAGAAACACCAACAAAAGCAGCTCTCCCGCCACGACACATCCAACCTTCCACCAAACAACTCCTCCCCATCTTGAGCTTCCCGATACCGATCCTCTGGGTACTCAATGCCCGCCAGCCTCCAGCTCTTCCCCTGATCAAGCGTTACCTCCAACCTCGTCACCCTCCTCCCTCCACCCGCGTACGCATATCCCCTCAACCTGTACGTCTCCCCCTCTTCCTTCCCTCTCAGCGACACAACCTCCCCATGCCCCGGCTCACAAATCACACTGTTCACATTTAAATCATAAATCGCATACCTCTCATCCCTCCACACCCTCTCCATCTCCTCCGTCTTCTCCCCACTCTCCTCCGGCCCCACCGTCGTCGGCAACACCCTATTATCAAAAACATGATACCAATTCTCGCTCGGCCCCTTGGTAACCACAATCCTCTTCAACCACTTGACACTCCGTCCACCAATCTGTCCCGGCACCACCACCCTGACCGGCCGTCCATGATCAGGATGCAGTTCCTCTCCATTCATCTTATGCGCCACCATGATTCCCTTATGTGGATCCATCGCCCACGCAAGCTTGACACTGGTTCCGTACGTCCCATTCGGCAGCTGATCTGCGCCCTCAAAGCAGACGTACCTCGCCCCCTTTTTAGTTAGTGGTTTCGCTTTCGCCAATATCTCAGAAAGGCCCACCCCCGTCCACAACGCAGTCGATAGCCCGCCCGCTCCCCATGAGAACCCCTTCGATTTTCGGAGCACGTTTTGTTCTTTTCGCCTGTTTCCCGCGCACACTAATGTAACGGGGTACGTGACGTTGTCCCATTTGGAAGCGTCCATCAACTCCCGCACGCTGATTGTTAGGGGGTGCTCGACGAGTCCTTCGACGGTGAATTCCCAGTTTAGTAGCGAGTCGTCCACCTCCTCCTCCTCACTGATGGTGGTGGTGGCGGGAGCGGTAGCGACAGATGTAGGAACGGGCCCGTGGTTCCGCACGTAATGGAGGTTTTGCGGCGTCAGAAATCCGTGCTCGAAGAGCGCAGTGAGCGGCGGTTCGACGTTGAAGGGGTGGGATCCCGTGAGGCGAATCAGGCGCGGGTCGCGCGGGATGAGGTGGTCGGGGGTTTTGAGGTCGGTGGGGAGGATGGTGGTTAGTCGGGTGGAGGGTGGGGGGAGGGGGTAGGACGGTTTGGAGATGAGTGATGAGGAGGTTTTTGTTGTGGTTATTGGGGAGGGCGGGCAGGAGGTGTTGGTGTTGGTGTTGGATGAGTGTGAGTAGTTAACGGAGGTCTCTAATGTTGTAGAGTTGTCGTCGGATGAGGATGAGAAGTCGGTTGTTGTCGGGCTGGCGGTGCGTGTGCTGGTGAGTTCGTCAATGTCATTGTCGTTGTCAGACGGACAGTAGTCCGCCGCCGCCATTGGGTTCTTCTCTGCTGCTGCAGCGCCATTTGGCAAGATGAGAGATGTGAATCTCTGTTGGCGTTCGGAGGAGCCATGAAGACTTTGACGCTGCTCGAGAGCTGGAGCCTCCATGATGATGCTCGTGAGGTAGGTAGGTAGGTAGGTAGGTAGGTAGGCAAAATGTGTAAGTGATAAGCGAACCAATAAAAGCGCTAACAGGATTTAGCAAAGGCAAGAAAGAAGAGAAAAAAGAAAGAGCTGTTGCTTGAAGGGTGTATGTACTTCAAATATACTTTTAGATATGTTGTACAACCGAATATGGGTTGAGCTCTCTTGAACTGACTGAAAATAATTCTGAAAACAAATAAGTTGAAAGAACACACGCCCCAAAAAAACAATGCAGATAACAGAGTCCAGTGATCAACAAACGATGACAGATATAACCATGTATGTACTCAATCAAGATCGGTGGTGGGTTTCCCCTAACATCTGCCCCCAGTGTACATACATACATGCATAGTAAGTCTAGAACAGCCCAGCTCTATGTAACGCCTCTTTCTTTCTTTCTTTCTCTCACTAACGAGAAGGCGCAAAAGCGAATGAATATGTAATAACACAACCCAAAGGTACTAACTAGTTCTGGGTAGTATTGTGTCATGAAATTTTTACAAATTTCTTTCCGGGGGGCGTTTGAGAAGGGTTCGTCACATCCCGTCCAGGCACTACAGGCTGGCAGGATTGATCGTTCGTGGATACTTAGCAAGCATCTGTTTTTGTTGTTGTTTTGTTACTGCGAACTGAACTGCACCGCTCTGAACTGAACTGCACTGAACTGACCCTCGTACGACCTACCGAGCTACCATACAGATAGGGTAGTTAGTTGTGTGGGTGGTGGTGGTACTGGTGGGTGGTGGTGCTGGTGGTACCTGAACCGTTATCTAGTTCCCCATACGTCACTCTGTCCCAAACTGTTGGTAATAGATTTTTTTCACACTATTTTTTTCCCGCATTTAATAACATACCCTTGTTTTCTAGAACCAAAAATGGAACAAAACGAAAAAGGGGAAAACGAACATCACCGGTTGCCACGGAGAAACCAAATTCATCTGTCTTTTGGGCAGTCAGTCGCTCCGCGGATTTACCTCTCCCACTCAGAAATAATCAGTAGTACTTATCTACCTAGTGTATGTACCGACCGTAGTGTAGTGTAGTCCCGGCTCCCGTTCGGCTCTTATGTACATACTGCATTACACTAGAATGTCATGGGTGTCTTTTGACGAATGAGATGATGGGATGGCACATGATTGATAAGGTTTGTGATAGTGTACATAGCTTTGTTAGATAGGCGGGCGGGCGCGGAGCGCGCGCCCCGGAGATCCATGAATCAAGCAAGCCATTCAACAACAGCTCACAAGCCAACGACACGACACGGTAACTACAAATCAAAAAAAAAAGACCAAATCAAAAAAAGACAAAAAAAAAGAGAGAAAAAAAAAAAAAAAAAAAAAAAAAAAAAAAAAGGTAAAAACCAAAACCGCCCCTCTGGGTCCCCTGGGCGCCCTGAACAAAACCCCCGCGTCGGTAACGGGGGCAGCGCAGGCGCAAAAGGAACGGAAAACCGTTCCGATATCCGGATAACATAACCAAGCCGTCTGGCTGCAGTTCGGTATCTGGAGGCGGCGGCGGCGGCGGCGAAAAAAGCATCTCCGGATGAGATCGGTTCTGGCTCAGTTGGGATGAAACTAAACATGAGCTTGAACGTAATGACGACTTTAAACCGAACGTTCCAACCGTTCTGTCTAGTCAATCAACACTGTCAAGCAATAATGCTTCTTCTTATTCTTATTCTTCTTTCTCTGAATTATTCATCTTTCTTGATTCGGTTATGGGTGGTATCACGGTAATAATAATGCCCTTTCTGCTTTACTCTGCCCTCTCTCATCACATATCCACACTTCGCACCCCTACACTACACCCCCCAGTGAAGCATCATCATGACCCCCCACCATGCCCCCCGTCCTCCTCACTCCTCAGCCCAGCATACTCGGTCCCCTGATTAGCCGTACTCAAGCGCGCACAGAGACTCAACAGCACCACCGTCTCCGTTGCCGCATAGTGGTTCAGTGCGTCCAGCAGGATCTGCAGGTGTCGACTAAAGTTGCTTTCCCACTTGCGTATCACGTCAAAGAGCTCGTTCATTCTCGTCTCGGGGTTCTTGTCGTTTTCCATGGCTGTGTCTCCGTCTTTGGATTGCTGTTGCTGTTGCTGCCGTTGGCCCCGAATCAGAAGGAACTGTCGCCATTGATCGTCCGTCATAATGGGCGGCTTGGTGTTGCCTGTCAGGTCTGGATCCGACTTTTCGAGCTCCCGGGAGAGCCAGTTGGTGTAGGTGGCGAAGACGGAGCAGGTTTGCATTAGTTTGGAGTGGATCTGGGGGGTTTGTTAGTTAGTTTGTATTATTCGGAATATTTAGGGTAGGAGATAAGGGGGGACAAGACATACTCGTAACAACTTGCTGTTGGTCAACATGCATTCCTTCAAGCAAGTGTCCAGGAAATCCACGTGTTCCTGCATAAGCCCATCGACGGTATGAGGCTTCTTGGCAGATGATGCCCTTGGCGTAGAGGTACCGTCTTGTGTAGTCACACCAGCGCAGTTGTTCTCAATCTCCCGGAGCGTGTTCATGAGCTTCTGCCAGTTCGGCTCGATTACCTCGGCAGTGCAAAAATAAAGCAGCTGCTGAACGAATACAAGCATACGAGCTCGGAGTGTCCATACCCTTCGCTTCCAGATCTCCAGCATGCGGTTAGATGAACGGTGTGTCCAGGCCGTGCCGCTTGCGTGAGTATACCATGTGACCGATAGTTGGGTCTCGAGGTAACGCAGTGACAAAAGGTAGCGGAACAAGGCCTGATAACGCCAAATGGTCTTCCTGCTAATAACAAGAGACACCGGGAAGGGAACAGTATAGTCGAGCTGTAGCGAGGTAAATCCAGTGGCGTTTTTGTCGCCTTCCAACGGTTGGTTTGATGTAAGCTGAAGCGCCTCGCCTTGCTCAATACCGGTAATGTTAACGACCCGCTGAAGCGATTTGAGTAGCGTAATCTCATTCATCTCCACCTTGACATCCTCCTTGAACTTGTCAAGACAGACTATGCTTCCCGGTTGCCGTAGGACTAAATCGAGCAAAGACTGGAGTTTGCCAGTGTTCACCACCTTGACGGGCTTTCGTAGTTCGGACGTTCCTAGTTCCAAAAAGTAGTTGAAGTAATCCGAAGGGTCCAGGAAAAAGTAGTGCTTTAACGATCGTAGTCTCGCCGGCAGCTCGTGTGTGGTAAGAAGCAATTGCATTAGCGATCCGTTGGCATGAGCGTAGGCGCTGCTGATATTCTCCAAAAACCTATTGTCGTCGAACGAGTTTGGTACGTCCTGCATCTTGCGACTAACATCGACGCCTCCGCACTCTCGGACAACGTTCAGGTATTTGCCAGCCAGCAAGACCTTGTCTTTGACGGCCTCCAGTTGAGGTGGCACATCGTGATCTCGTATCGTATATCGCCTCTCCCAGTATTCGTCGGTATAATCCTGCTCTAATCGATCCCTGCGAATACTCTTTTGTTCTTTGATCAGAAACTCGGAATGTGGGTCGTTGATGCTTCCATGGTGCAACCACTCGTTCAACATGGCCATGTATGGTCGGCTTGCGTCCCGTAGCAGAGTTGTGAGTAGCACTCTGGCGGACGGGTCTCCAGATAGCGACTCCAGTCTCTTGGTAATCAACCCCAATACCACGCCTCCCTTGCATATCTTTTTGCCCGTCATATTCCCCGGTACAAGATCACCGCCGTCTCTGAGCTGCTCGATGATGTGATCGAAGTCGTCGTCGGAACTATCGCTCGATTCGTCCGAATCGTCATCCAGAAGCGCATTGCGCTTTAGTAGCTCCAGCGCCAACCCATACATGTGAGCCATCAGATGGCTGCTGGGAAGGATATGCACGTTGAGTTGCTGTAATGTAAAGTTCTTGTCGTTGAGAAACTGTGTCTCCAGCTGGACAACCATGACCATATACTCCTGCAAATACCTCCGGATCGAGGCGCACAAGGCGTGGTTGACGGCACCGAATTCTTCGCGACTCTGAACATCAACAAAGGTCTCAAGCGCCGTGTAGTGAGAAGCCATGCGCAGCATGGATTGTGTAAGGTCCAGCAAGCTGGGATCCAGCCCAGATAGGATGCGCCATTGTGGCCCAGACAAGCGGTCTCGTTCCTCGTAGGGATTGTAGCCTTTTGCGAATCGAATGTACTGTCCCTCGAAGCCCATAAACACGAAGAGCAGGTCCTCGATGATCGCAGCCTCTTGCGCATTGAGGGACAGCTCGGCAAGCGGTCGCGGCTGTAGTGTCTGAGGTGCGGACGAAGCAACTGGCGGTATCGAGACTCGCGAAGCTAAAGGGGCTGACGTGTGAGGGAGTAGGGTAGCGGCGGGTTCCCAAGGGGCTGGCGGTGGTGGTGGTGGTTGTTGTTGTTGTTGTTGTTGTTGTTGTTGTTGTTGTTGTTGTTGTTCAGCAGCGCGGCTGTCTCCTCTTGGCCGCCTTGACTCGACATTCCGTGATCTGGACTTGAGGGTGTCGCTACCAGCGCTGAGGGGGTCGGCGTTCCGGCCGGATCGAGCCATGGTAGGATCGCGTGTGGTCACCTGGACTTTGGCTGGGCGGCGGTCATTGACGAGGGTTCTGCTGGTGGGACGTGTCTGTGATGTGGATTGGGTCGGGGCCAGGGTGGCCGATGATCCCATTGCGGAGGTGACTCTGGCGGCGCGGCGGTCGGGGAAGTGGGAGAAGGTTATGGATATGTTTGGCGGCTCGTGGCCATGTACAATGTCGTGGGCCGCTGGACTGGATCTGGGGCCGGGCGTGTCGGGTCTGGGTTTGGTGAAGGTTGACGGTCGGAGACCCGGTGATGTTGCCCTCTTCTAAGGGTACATTATCTTTGGACTTGTAGCTTGTCAGCCTAACGTATTGTGATGGTCGAGCAGCGGTCGGGAAATCTGCCGGGTAACAACAACAGGGTTGTCCTGTGAGGAGACGTTGTTGGATATGGAAATGGAGGAGGAATTGCGATGCCAAGAAGGTAGCAATCGCACTCCAACAGTTGAGTGAGACTGAGAGAGGATGTTGGAGTGTCGGCGGAATGGAGACCCGACTGGATGCTTGATGGAAGTGACGCGACCAGCAACAATTGGACGCGTTATCAGAGGGAGGAGGACCCGCCAAGCAAGCGGTCTCAGTGGATGATGGCCCAGCGGGCGGCTTCTACGGGCAGGGAGGGGCACCCGGGCCGCTCTGAGGGGTTCCCCCAGGCGCTGACAGTCGGGTTGCTAGGTGGGAAGGTAGAGGTACGTACCTGCAAGTACCTTTTGGGACACCTACCGCTAGGGTGCAGGGGATTGGCCGGCCCGCCTGGCAGAGGAGCTTCGTCGGCCTGTCGTGCCTGGAGCTTCCATTCCAACTGCTTGACGTCGGTCGGTCCCAGGCAGTTCAGGCCTTACGGCAGCTTCCCATCCAAACCACCACGGCACAGCATCATCCAATCTCTCCCAAAACAAACAACATCACCAGTCCTCGATTTGAAGACACCGACCCTCGACACTAACACCATCTCTTCGACTGTCACCAACCAACGCCCGGCGCATATAAGCAGCAAAGCCAGGCTTACCTCCCGACAGCAACACATCCCGGACCCCTCTCCCCACTCGAGCTCCCCTCAACACCGTCAAAATGTTTATGGCAAGGTCTGAATACGGTAAGTCGCTACCCACCCTCACTTGGTTTTGTGGTGATGGTTTGCCCATGTCAAGTTTCAAGTGATGCCACCTGAGGGAACAAGCTACACCTACCAGACATCATGGACTGACGGATGGCTAACATACTTGCGCGCATCATCTAGATCGGGGCATCAAGTAAGTGACATACAGACGAACGAACGACTTTCACGCTTGGCCACACCACCCTCTCTCCCCCCATACTCCTCCAGCCACTACTCGATCGCATATCCCTCGATACTACTCTCTAACAACCACCGATAAAACTCCACACAACCTGCCACAACATCTACATCCAAATCATCCATCTACTTCAACCAGAGACTAACAACCATGCCCACAGCACCTTCTCCCCCGAAGGCCGCCTCTTCCAAGTCGAGTACTCCCTCGAGGCCATCAAGCTCGGCTCCACCGCCATCGGCGTCGCCACCTCGGAGGGCGTCATTCTCGGCGTCGAGAAGCGCGTGACCTCGACCCTACTCGAGACCTCGTCGGTCGAGAAGATTGTCGAGATCGACCGCCACATCGGGACCGCCATGTCGGGTCTGCAGGCCGATGCGCGCTCCATGATCGAGCACGCCCGCGTCGAGTGCCAGAGCCACGCCTTCAACTACAACGAGAAGCTGCGCGTCGAGAGCTGCACGCAGGCCATCTGCGACCTGGCCCTGCGCTTCGGCGAGAGCGCCGACGGCGAGGAGAGCATCATGTCCCGCCCCTTTGGCGTGGCGCTGCTGATTGCCGGCTACGATGAGGACGGCCCGAGTCTGTATCATGCCGAGCCGTCGGGAACATTTTATCGCTATGATGCAAAGGCAATTGGAAGCGGTAGCGAGGGCGCGCAGGCCGAGTTGCAGAATGAGTACCACAAGGTGGGTTATCTAGGGTGTCCGGGACCGTGTTAGGGATTTACTGCTAACAATCTTTTTTTTTTCTTGTTCTCATGTAGTCCCTCACCCTCGAAGACGCCGAGACGCTCGTCCTCAAGACGCTCAAGCAGGTCATGGAGGAGAAGCTCGATGCCAAGAACGTGCAGCTGGCGAGCGTCACCAAGGACAAGGGCTTCAGGATATACACAGACGAGGAAATGGCCGCTGTTGTTGCGCGGTTGCCCGCCAACTAAAGAAGCATGTGTCATGTAATGTTGTTGAAGGGAAATGGGAAACTAAAGCATAGCTGGAGATAGCAGGCGAACGGGATGGAAAGCAGCATCTCCCCGGTTTTTGATGGGAGAAACTGTCTAATGAATCGAATCCAACTAAAGTACTTTGGCGGTTGGTGGCCTCTATTCGCCCCATTCCACGGCATATGTCCAGCGTTCCAAGCACGCCTTGCAACGAATTTGCAAAAGATAAAGGCGTATGAGAGTAACCGACCTGAAAGCCGTTCAGCAGGCAACACACTGTTTACTCAACACCATCTCTCGTCTCGGACTTGGATTCCGTTCCAGCCTCTTAAACAGTACATCAAGGTATTCTATAATGCCCACATCTTCATCCGCTACCCACTCACTCGCTCGTCAAAATCCGCTCATCTCATGTTTCCCAACCCACCCTCAACGCCCGAATTATATGCATGCATATATATATGTGTATATATATATATATATATATATATATATATATATAGTCCCGTATTGTATCTACACCCAAGGTCTCTCTACTTGTAATTAATTAATTACTCCCCCTCACTCAACTCCAACCGATCCAAATCCTGTTCGACCGACAACAACCCCAGCGCAAAATGCGCATGCTCCGTCCTAGCCAGCACCAACCGATTCTCTCCCGCCTGCTCCTCCCGGATCTTCTTGTCGATTCTTCGTGGTCTCATCCAAATCGGTAGAAAATTACTATTACTACTACCCGAAAAAGAAGAAGAAGAAAGCCGTCGATACGGTGGACCACGACCCATTTCCGCAGCCTTCATCCACCCGGATTCGCACCCGTCGGCGATCTGGCGGGCGGATTGCCATCCTGTTAGGCGGGCCATGTCGTGTAGACGGGAGATGAGCCAGTGGCGTTGGGGGGGTTCTTGGAACTTTTCACGCATTGGAAGTTAGTACTAGAAATATAAGGGGAGGGGGAAAGAAAAGACCAACCTGAATACCAGCAACAAACAAACAAAACCCACTCTCAATAAACGCCGCCCCCACGAGCGTACTAACCGCACTGACATGGCTCGTATCCTCATGCAACCCCGCGGCGATCCTTGCAACCGTATATGCCCACGGCGCCGTCTTTTCCGCGCTCATCCCCGCCGCAATCATCGCCACGGGCGGCATCGCGGGATGCGCCCTCTGCAGCGCGATCAATCCCATGTAGTAGTTCATCCAAATGCCCGCAATACTATACGTCCTGTACATCAAGGCGGGTCCAAAGGGGGTCATTTCCGGCGTGGCGAGATCGGGACCCATGGGCGCAAAGTCCGGGCCGAGTCGGGACTTGAAGAGCTCAAAGGCTGAGCGGATCTCGTCCCATTCGCGAAAGGCGGCGAGCGTGGCTGTGTCGTAGTCCATGTCGTCGGTGGAGTCGGTGTCGGGGGTGGTCGGGTCGCGGGGCGGGGAGAAGCCTTGAGGCGGGATGAAGGTACCCTTTGTGGGCATGAGGCCGGCGAAGAGAGATGGGGATTGACCGCGCCCAGCGGAGGAGGAGGAGGAGGAGGAGGAAGAAGGGGGGCCTCCTCGGGGTGGACCGCCGTGGCCGGGAGGAGGGCCTTGGCCTGGTGGTGGTGGCCCTCCTTGACCGGGTGAGCCATGTCCTGGTGGTCCTTGTCCTCGTCCGGCGCTGCCAGGGGGGCCACCGGCTCGGCGCGCTTTTCGCTTGCGGGCGAGGTCTCGGGAAGCAAAGTTCGCTACGCGGCCGAGGAGGAGCATTAAGTGGTCGAAGGTGCCGTAGCTGGAGGGAAAGAATTAGCATGTTATATCTTTTCAGTGCGGGATCGAGTTGACTTACATGGCATCCATCCTCCCACACTCTCCTCTCGGCGCACACTGAGCCCATTGATCATACGGCATACTGTTCATCCTCGTTAGCAAAGTATTCCAACTCCCATCAGCAAACAACAACCAAACTTACAATAACCTTGTCCCTCCCAAAATACTCTGATAAACATCCATCTTGCAATACCACCAGTACAGATCCCTCAGCTGCTGATAAGTCTCAAGGTCCTTCTCCGTATACGGCCGCTTCTTGCTCGCCACCTCCGGATCATCATAGGTGACCTTCTTGCCCGTCAGCTGACTGATCAGCTCCGTGTCGACCTCGTACAGGGCGAGATCAGGACCGAGAGAAGCAGTGGGCTGTCGTTCTCGTTGATGGGCAAAGATCTCCTTGGTCATCTTCAGGAAGGGAATCTCTTTCATGATAGCGTGCGCTCCCCACATGTGTCGGCACCACTTGTCGTGGTCCGAGTTCCAGACTTCGTAGTAGCCAAGCAGGAGCGTGGCTGCGAGAGTAGCCGGTTGCGTGCGCCGGCTGGGGCTTTGGTAGTTTCGGGCGATCCGGCGCAGACAGAGGTGGTAGTGCTTCATGGCTGCTGTGGCGGGAACTTGGGCTAGGTTGGCTATTTGCAGACTGGCTAGGGCGAGAATGGCTTGCATCAAAGCGGGATGGTTGAAGGCCATGATGGGGAAAGTGTAAGTCCAAATATGTTGCCTGGTCTTGGGCACTGGTTGGCCATGGAACATGGGTGTGGGATCGAACGGATGTCTTTCGTAAAGCGACATGCTCTGCCCGGTGACGTTGACAAAGTACCAAAACACGGCGGCAGTCTGAGAGTCGTTGAGAGGCGAGCTCATGGATGAGGGGATGTACGTTTGTAAGACGTTCATCTCCGGGAACCCAGCAACAGTTCTCATCTGAACACCATATGCGTCCGCGGGGGCTACTAGCCGCCTGGCTACGTGGATACCGAGGTCATTTGACTTGAGATGCGCATCGTGGACATCCATGGGGATATCTTCATCTTCCGAGTCGGCCATGGATGCCTCATCGTCGGACTGCCAGTACGTTTCCTCCTTGACGAACCCATTGACGTCAGGTTGCAACCCATCCTCTTCAACAATCCGGCCGTGTTGTTTACTTGTCGCTGTCCAAGCGTGGCTGTAGTTGGATGAACCTGCCTCAATCACCCGGTTCGGCTCATAGCCATGTGTCGGAGACATCAACTGGAAGGCACTCTCGTATGCATGTTGAGGAAGGCAGCCTGACGCCGGTGGAGGACCTACTGAAGAGACGCTTTGGCTGGGACTAGGTAGTTGTCCATAGAAAGATGTCTGTGAAGCCGGACCTCCAGCTTGAGCGGCCAGAAAGGGGCGGTGTGTCTGGTGTTGTTGTTGTTGCGGCGCCGCAAAGGACATGGGCACCGTGCCCGTAAAGTCGACTTGTGGTGGCTTTGGCGCGATAGCAGCAAGTGATCCTTGTTGTGCTGCTGCTTTGGCCTGAGTAGCCGTCAGAGGAGCACCGATAGATTGATTTCGGTTCTGCTGATGGTATACGGGATGCCCAAAGTGAGTAGGGCCATGGCCGTAAGAACTCAGAGGCTCCTTGAACGTGAGTCGTTGGTTGTAGCCTTCACATTGTCTCTTGGATTTGGTGCAGTTGTTACAGATCGGCTTGGCTTCGTCACATTTGATGCGTCGCTTTCGACAAGCTGCGGCGTGTCAGCATTCATAGCTTGGGGGGTGCGCATTGCAGCCTCGGGATGTCACGTACTGAGACAACCGGTCTTTGTTCTCTTCCTAACTGGTGCCTTCTTTGGGGGGTCCTCTTGGCTACCCGATGCCGCCGCACCGGTACCGGCACTTGCAGAAGCGCCAGTGCCTGTATCAGCTTCAGATGAAGATGCTGGCGGCTTGGGATCCGGAGAGGAGCTTTTCTCTGGAGAACTGCCAGCCCCGGTGGAATCCATGGCAAAGCTTCCTGATGGGTGTCGTATGCGATCTGTCGGACGATATTGAGGTAAGAGTTCGAGGAGATCCTGACTTTTTCATGCGATGCCTAGGTAGCTCAAGAGTAAGAGAATAACCTGGTCAAATATTACCATCGAGCAGACCACTCAAGGTGGAGTGGTGCACAAGTGGTGACAAGGCCAGGTGCAAAAGGAATGTTGCTACGCCTCTCCGTCTCCGAGACACTGGGCCGAAAGTCCACCCGAGTCTAGATTGGTCGGCTGAGACAAGGTAACGAGTGTAAGTGAGGGCGGCCAGTGGACAATAAATCTCCGCCTGGACGTACGAACCGCGAAGTAGCCGGTGAAAGCAAAGGGACGGGGGAGATACCGCAACAACGCAGCTCGTCGAAGGTGTGTGTGGGCCAGACACCTGGTGTGACTTGTAACCCGCAACCCGGCACTCGGCCGCGAAGAGTTGCGGACAACAAAGACCCTGTGGTCAGATATCCGGCAGTGGAGGATCAGTTGCTGGAGACTTTGGACCTCGGAACCAAGGTCAAAGAGTGAAGAGAGATAAGTAGGGTACAAAAGGAAGCCCCCACCCCAGCTTTGCTTTTGCCAAGGTGTCAAAGACAGAAGAGAGCTTGACAGAGCTGAGGTATCTTACCAGCGAGCAGGTCCTGTTAGAAAAGAAGAGACTGAGTGACGGTTGTCGGTTGTAGGCTAGAAGAACGGGCAGGGCGGAGCTTGCCGTGAACGACACTGAAGTATACGAGGACCTAAAGTGAAAAGCCCGCCCAGCTAAGGTCAAGGCTCGTCCAGGGTGGTAGGTTTGCGGTCCAGGACTCTTCTGAAATGTACATATAGCCCGATCTAGGACCAGCAGAGCTCTATGCAATGATCTTCAAGATGGCTTTTTAGTAGATCAAAATTTCAAGCAGCTCTCCACAGACTTGGGATGGGTATCTGGAACTGTGACTAGTTGGGACAACTAATCAGCACTCTCGTATGGATAAAGATGTACCTCTCTTCAGATTGAGGGAGGCATAAGGTGGCTCCGATCGCCTAGCTTCAGAGTTTCTGAGGAGTGAAACGGATAGAGAACCTGATAGCAGACGGTCGGATGTGCAAAAGTAGTACCTACCCACATGGGCTTTGCAGAAATGTTCGTTTGGCTCTCACCGACAAGCCATTGCCTAGCACCGTTGTGCTATTCCAATGGTGGAGATGTACGGGGATGTCTCACGCTTTTCGAAGAGGCACTCTTGTGAATGCTGGACGCTGTTCTCAAGTTTCCTCGGTCGTAGCGTAGCTGGCTAAGCACGCAAAAGCGTCGCGTGTTTGGCTATCAGGTTTTTTGTACCGCGTGGTGTAGAGGTCGAAAGACAAGGAGACAAGAAGGCCAAGCCACTTTGTAGCTGCATGTCTGGATATTCAAACTGTGTTAGTGTAGCATCAGGCCACCCTCGGGAAGAAGCCATGGTGTAGCGGCTTGGTGGGTGTGGACGGGAATTGTCACCACGCTCGTCAGCCTCTTTCTTCAGTCTTTCGGAGGAACTGTGAACAGGTCATGATGGGAGACCCAAGATAACAAGGCATCTTGTTGGCCGTCTGTGCAAAGTCCATGGCCATGGATAGGTAGCAACCTCTTAGTATTGCCATGTCGTCGAATAGTAGTGTAGCCCCATCACCAAACAGGGTATAGCGGATTCGTTGGGGCAGTCTTGCCGACCCGAAAACGGTCGGAGGGCTGTGAAGAACACGAGGCACCCCGGCGATGAAGTGGACGATGCACGGTCTTGAAGCCCGAATAGGAGTGGGAATGGAACCTCGGAAAGCAGTCTGTCCCTGACTGGTGGGTACCTGGGCTTGACAAAGGTGGGGTACTGTAGTGTAAGGTGTGCCTGTCAGCTGCCAGGCACAGAGACGCAACCATGCTGGAGGAAACTGAAGAGACAACTGGGTAGAATCGAGTGCGACAAGACGGGACGAGAGCACCGTCACTTCGTCACAGTGACAGACGGCAACGACTTTTATTCTTACAAACTGCCTACAAGTAGACACCACAATCCACAGTCCAAGGTGACTCAAGGGTATCTACCTTATTCAGTCTGTCTAACTAATTCTAACCAAGCGAGTTCGAGACAACAAACAATCCTTCCTAGATGGACCGGCATAATATGGAAGAAACATCCATTGACATATGGGGGATAATGAAGCCTACCTACTCCAAACCGCTCGAGCTAAACCGAGGAAATTCACACCATGGTCTCAGCAAGGCGCTGTCCGATACAATAAGACGACGGGATACCGAACATTCGACGACTGTGTGTCAACAGTCGGACAAAAGCATACCTATGGAATCCTACAAAATGCAAATACACCTGAAGTACAAAACCTTTGGCTAGCATTTGCACCTATGAAGGTTTGATTCTGGTGGCAGAGACAACACACTTATACCCGTTTACTGGGGCTTTGAGGTCCCACTTTTCGGTGTGATGGGGCGCCTTCCAGTGGCCGGAGGGGGCTTTATGGTTTGTGCACCAAACTCTCCCCAAGTACAAATACCCAAAAGATGCAAAAGATTCTGGCACTCCGGATTAGTTGCACTTTCAGGGGGTTTGACTGTACTAATTCAACCTACGTATACCGCATAGATTCGGGGCGTTGGGTTTTAGAATCCCAGGAAATCAGACTTAATGTGGAAGTATACTACTGTACGAATATGTGCTTTTTATGCCTGGTGAAAAGAGTGGGGAGGACAGCGTAAGAGCCCGGAGCACTGTAAATTCGATTCTTCTGGTGCCGTGTCTTTTCTTCCTATTTTCTCAAGAGAGCTGGAGGGTGAGGACATCAGAATCACCGTCTTGCATAGAAATTTTTGTGGGCATAAATGTTGCATCATGCTTGCAGACCATGTCTGATTTCCTGGGATCCTAAAACCCAACGCCCCGAATCTATGCGGTAATAATGTTTGTGCCATGTTCATTAGCGTATCCCGTCTTGCATGAGTTGGGCCACGCCGGTATCATACTGTGCCTCTGTTTCGACCGAGTCTCCGATAGTGATGGATATCATGATTAGAACATCCCCGTGTGTTTTGCTCCGAGATGGGCTATCTTAAAATGGCGTTGGTATATGCTAGGTGGTCTCAACTGTCGCAAATCGTCCAAAACTTCAGTGGAGCTAGAGATGACAAAATCTTGTATACGTTCGTAGAACTTACGGGTTTCAACTGTGGTTGCATGTCCTGCCGTCGTCGTGTATAGTATTCCATTGCTGTACTTGATCGAGGAATGTTACAGAAGCAACTGATGAAATTTCCTTTGCAGCTCACCCGTCTCACCACTCCAATGCGCATAGGTACGGCCACTGGGAACCTGAATGGGATGTCCATGAACCTTCCCGCTTTATCGCAGCCTTCCCTTGTGTTGACGTCCAGCGCACCTAGTCCTGGAAGGGAAGTGGAGGTTATCGACAATCTGCTTATCTTTTAGGAAAGTTTGGGGAATTAGGTTTGCAGGGGTTCTCTCAATTGACGTTGCTTCCAAAAGCCAACGGCCCCACCTAAATTTTCTTCGTACCTAGTGTACCTATCACTAGTCTATCACAACCAACCATCCCATCTTCGAGTTTGAACAAAACAATCATTTTCGCATCTTGTCTTGTACAAGACTAAAGCAGCCATCATGTTCGCCGTCAAAGGCCTCAAAGTCTCCACCGACAAGCTCAAAGTCGAGACCGAGCATGGCTCCGTCCTAGCGACCCAGCCCCCCCGTACCGTCGCCGCCGGCGAAGAAGGTGCTTCCGCTCCCAAGAACAAGAACAAGAAGCGCAAGAGAGCCGGCCGGTCCAACAACACGGATGTGAACCTCGACAATGTCGCCGACCTCTGGGAGAAAGTGATTGAGGGCGGCGACGCCAAGGCCAAGAAGGCCAAAGAAGATGCAAAGAAGGAAGCCCACAAGGCCAAGAAGCAAAAGACGGAGGAGGGTACTCCCACTGAGGCTACCACCACCACTACCGCTGCTCCCCAGCCAGCCACGGACAAGAAGAACAACAAGAAGAACAAGAACAAGAACAAGCAAGAGTCCAAGCCCGCCGCCGAAAAGAAGCAAGATGCTACCACCACCACCGAATCGAAACCCTCTGCTCCCGCCCCCGCCCCTGCGCCCGCAGCACCCAAACTCACCCCCCTCCAAGCCGCCATGCGCGAAAAGCTCATCAGCGCCCGCTTCCGCCACCTCAACGAAACCCTCTACACCCGTCCCTCGCGCGACGCCTTCTCCCTCTTCTCCGACTCTCCCGAGATGTTCACCGAGTACCACGAAGGTTTCCGTCGCCAAGTCGACGTATGGCCCGAAAACCCCGTGGACGGGTACATCTCCGCCATCAAGACGCGCGGGAAGTTGCGCAACGCTCCCCGCACGCGCCCCGGCGACGGCACCTCGGACGGGACCAAGTACCCCCTACCGCGCGACCGGAACGGACTGTGCACCATTGCCGATCTGGGCTGTGGCGACGCGAAGCTTGCGCAGGCGCTGGTGCCACTTAAGCGCAAATTGGGCATCGAAGTGAAGAGCTACGATTTGCAAGACGGCGGGAAACCTGAACTCATCACAAGGGCGGATATTGCCAACTTGCCGCTGAAAGACGGCAGTGTGGACGTGGTCGTCTTTTGTTTGGCGCTCATGGGCACGAACTGGATCGACTTTGTCGAGGAGGCGTACCGGGTGTTAAGATGGAAGGGCGAGCTGTGGGTGGCCGAGATCAAGTCGCGGTTCGTGGACCCGACCAGGAAAAAGGGCGGCGGGCCCGGTAATGTGGTCAGCCACAGTGTGGGTAACCGCAGAAAGGCCGGTGCTGCTGCCGCCGGACCTGGACCTGCTCTTGGAAAGAAGGACAAGGCCAAGATGAAGGAGGAGGAAGAGGCCGAGGAGGAGCAGCAGTTGGCTGTCCATGTGGATGGTGTGGAGCTCCGTCAGCAGGAGACGGATGTCTCTGCTTTTGTGGAGGCGCTGCGGAAGAGAGGATTCCTCCTGCAGAGGGAGTACGGCCAGAAGGCGGTGGACATGGATAACAAAATGTTTGTCAAGATGCACTTTGTCAAGGCGGTGCCGGCCATCAAGGGCAAGTGTGCGGACCTGAAGAAGGAGGCGCTCAAGACGACGCAGACGGATGCCAAGGGGCGGCCTATCAAGACGCCCAAGTTCATCGATGCCGACGAGGAGGCTTCGTTCAATGAGAACGCTCTTCTGAAGCCCTGTGTGTACAAGATCAGGTAGACGAACGGATGTGTGTGTGTATGTGTGATTCAGTACGAATAGTCAGTTAATGGCAAGGCTTTTGAACTACTTCCTCTTTAAACACACACTTTATCTTGACATTGATATGTAAGCTTGGTACTCTGTCCTATGTAGTTGTATGCTACAGACCTTGTCAATACCGATCTGGTCCTTATCTTTTACTTCTACAAGTCCCATCGTAGTTACAGCTCGTCTTGAACAGGTCCGAATAAACTGGTTAAGCAGCAGGAACATGGTCTAAGAAGGCTTCAATGGTTGTGGAGATCTTTTGTTTGATTGCCCATATCATCATAACCTTGATACCATCCCTTTACTGTCCATTCAACTCTTGACGTCCAAATGTTATGGATTTGCGCCGCTTCCATCTGATCCCCTAAAAGCAGATATATGCTCTCTATGTTCATGCCAACAACTCCCAACTTCCTTAATTTATTAGAACCCCTCAAAGATCAAACTGGCCGCATATTCAACGTTCCCGTCCGTTGCCTCCAAAGCCCGAATCGCCTTTTGCTCATCAGCACCGAGTGCTACAAGCTGCTCAATATGCTCCCGAGGAAAAGACCGGGCCTGGGGCGCTCGAGGTGCGGAAGCGGAAGCGGAAGCGGGAGCGGGAGCAGAGGGACCCGGCTGTGCAGCAGTAGACGGACCAGCCTGACCCTGGCGATGCTGTGCAGTACCAGGTCCCGAAACCGCACCGGTACGCTGGCCGATGGTCGTGCCGCCGGGGCCCTCAATCGTAGGCTCATCCTGAAGCGCCTCCTCCGTCGCCTTCGGTATGTCCGCCTCACCCAAAAAGGGAATCTCCTCGCCCTGGATGACGAGCGCGTTCTTGGCCAGATCGATACAAGCCTGGTAACGCTTCAACATGTCCAAGCCGAGAAGCATATCCACATTCTTGCCCTCCATGACGGTAAAGCTGCATGGCAGGAAGAGCGAGCCGATCTTGACAGGAGCCGTGTGCACACGACCGATGATCTTGGCAGTTCCGACGCCCTTGGCGATACCACCGTACCGCTTGTCGACCAGCCGCATGATACCACACGCCTCGGCAATGTCGGGACTCATGATCGTTGCTTGAGCTCCGGAATCCACAAGGGCCTTGACCTTAGCCCCGTTTACCTCAACATCCAGATACAGCATGTGTACGGTACCAAATACTGCAAACAACAACAACAAACGAAGTTAGCGGCAACTTCCTGACCACAACAGGGAAACCCTCCGACTCTACAATGCTTACTTACCCTCAGGATTATGCTCCATAGCAGTCTGCAGGTTCTCGGTAACCCGCTCTTGGCGAATGATCTCCTCGATCCTCGCCTGCGCCTCCGGATTGAACGGATCCTCGTTCAACTGCTGGATTATCCGATGACGCTCCGCCCTTTCCCTCTGTTCCCTGTCGTACCTCTCCCGGAAGAGCTGCGCCCACCGTTGGGGGTCATTGATAGCGGCCGCTAAGTCGGGGGCTGTCCTCTCCACCTCGGCCCGCAGAGCCGGATTCGCCAGGAACTGCAGACGCAAAAACTCGGGATCTTGTTGAGGGGGCGCCGCTGGCCTTCCTTGCTGTGACTCGGGCACCGCCGTGGCCCGTTGTGTTTCGCGGACGTGGAGGGCCAGCATGTCGCCGTCGGTGACGTTGAGCTGGGTCAGGGTCTTGGTGTTGTCGGTGATCAGGTTGCCGTTGTGGTAGAGGTGTTGCGTGCTGGGGTGGTGGCTGGTTTCCGCCTGGATCGAGTTGCGCAGCGTTTCGAGCGTCATGTCGGGAAAGACTTGGAGGGAGAGGAAGTCTTGATCGTCTCCCGTCGTGTCCTGGATGGCGATGGTTATTTGCCTGTCAGAGACTCACGTTAGCGGCTTTTTGGGAGTGACGACTTCGGTTTGTTGTCTCTTGTCATCAGCTTACATGGTGACGTCGTTCGTCCTAGGCGGGACAACAAGAGCGCGGTAAGTAGATGTTGAAGGGAGATGGCGTCACCGGCCAAACCTAGAAGAGTTCCTGGAGGCACCAAAGAGTCTCTGGATGTTAGGGATGGGGGAAGAGAGAGTGTAAACGAGGAAGAAGCGGAATTCTCAAGCTGTTGACAAACGGAAAAAGGCAAGGCTGAGTAATTGTACAGTTTAAGATTCCACAAAGTGAAGGGAGGCGGCCGGGCGGGTGGCAGTTATTGAGGGGCTCTGGGGCAGGCAGGCACGCGGGCGATCCAGTGGGTCCGGGGCAAGCCGTCCGCAGCTTTCTGGACTGTTTATGCAAGGATCCTGGACTGACTGTTGGTTGCAATTGACACGCTCCAGTCCGTTACAGCTACCACTGTAACCTAGAAATAGCAGTTGACCGCGCCCTATACACTACAGGTCCAGAATCAACAGTTAGGGTACTTAACCAAGGTAGAGAGGTAGCTGCAATCGGACTGTCCAATTAGCAGCTCCATCGATGACATGAATGGAAGCTCCCCGTTGGTGGAGCTAAAACTGGACGGTACTTGTAAGGACTACTACCTACGTTGGCCCGGTGAAAGTGGAAGCATCGCGATCATGTATGTAAACAAATCCAGTTTCGATCGGAAGGACATGAACAACGTCTTGCTTCTTCGTATTTGTTTCCTGGACAACTTCAAAAAGTATCTCCGTACTCCGCTAGACTTGAGGGAAAGCCAACTGTCATGTGTTTTCTCTTTTGGGAACCATTTTGGGTGACTTGTCTTCTTCCAGCATGCCAGCCTCTCCGCTTCCAGTAGTGGATGCTCGCGAATCTGCCGAAACGGCGTGAGGCTCAATTCGGAAGTTCCCACAGGAGAGTGGTTCCTAGTGACAGGTTCCTGGAGCTAAAACGGGACATTGAAACCTTGATCGTTTTGTAAGTGCGGTACTATGCACGCTACGACACAGTGGTTTCTGCTTGTGATCCAATTTGGAACTGTCACGCTGTACCTGTCCTTTTTTGTTTTTGTTTCCAGGAATTGCGCAATGGAAGCTGTCAGAAGTACGTGGAGGCTTATCTTTTGAGGTGACGGGAATACCTAGGTCAGAATAAGCAACTATGATTGTTTGACCTTGTGCTGTTTAAAGTTGCCAGGTGACCATTTTGTGGTACTTGTTTGTAGTTCACGGACAAGCTCCCAAGTTGCATGGCAGTTTCCATCTTATTAGTTGCGGCAGCTGAAGTCAAAGTCTGTATCAAGTTGACTTCTAACTGAAGAAACTACAATTTCATACTGGTTTGTTTGTTAGTACGAGACCTCGTGTCCACTTTCCTATGCGTTTCCATAGCTATATAATTAATGCGTGATCTTACCTTGAATACGCCATTTGTGATGTTCGAAATGCTATATCAAATCGTACCAATACCTTTTGTCATTCACGCCAACCATTTTGATTTATTCTTACAAGGTTTAGGACTATTAGGGATAGATTTCGTCTAGTATATAGAGTATAGTACAGTACCTAGTGTACCAAGCTAACAAACAAACCAGTACTGGACTGTATCAACAAGCTACCTAGGCAAAGTCCACCGGCCCTCCTCCGAGCTCCGATACCTACCCACCTGCATCTTAACTATCCCGACAACCTGCCCCGATGCCTCGCACACAAAGGCTTTTCCACCCGTCCAGCCCGATCTGCTCTTCAGTCCACTTCGGTATCTGACAGCGTTCCGGGGCCGCCACGGCTTGTCAAGTGTCAAAAGTCCCCATGTTCATGCAGGTTGACCCGTTTTGAGATGTCGTGCGCCAAAGCCGGTGTGAAGTCCAGACTCCGGCTTACTTCCTTTTAAGCCGAATGTACATACCATTCATCGGGGGCTTTCATTGGGGCTGGACGTTCCGTTTGAGAACAGGCAGGTACATACATAGGTAGGTCAGGTGGTGACGGAGGGGACGAAAAACAAACATCACCTATCCCTCAAGTAGTACTACCTAGTGATTACGGCGTGTTGGGCGTCGTCCGGCGTCGTGATATCGGGGCTTAGCGTACAAGTCAAAGTGTGTTCGGTACGGCAGATGATGGCAGCAGCAAGCATCAATGGAATGTATTATGTCTGTCTTCCATGTGATGTTGGTGATGATCTGATGCCTGCCCGCGAGGTGCTGCTGAACATGAAAGCAATAAACCTGTCTTTAGAATCTCATGTTTGTGCTCCAGAAACTATCTTCCTTTCTGGTTTGCATGGTCTACTGAGCCTTTCGCAAATAGTCTGGCCGAAAAAAAAAGAAAAAAAACCTGTCGTTCAAGTCTTGAAGTGAGTATTTGAGTAAATGAAAATGGTGGAAGAAAGTTCGTTAAGAGAATTGAATTTCACCATCCATCCGTAAAGGTTCGCGGGTCCCTGTCCCCCTCCCTTATCGCCACATCTTGCCCCGCTCCGAGCCTCCTTATCGTGATGGAGATTCAGTGTCGTGTGCACCAAAATGGACATTTTCCCCCACCTCCCTCCGTGCCTGCGGGCCTGCTCGTCCGTGCAGGTGTCACCCAGCCCATCGGTTGTATTGCAACTTGGACTTCATTTCCACAATGGAGGTTCTCTTGAGATGATGAGGTGAAATCATTCCGATGGGGCTCAATTCGCCTTTAATTCATATTCAAATCATGATTAGATCTTGAATAGTTAAGTTTGTGTGTGCAATGACTTGTCGGCGACGTCAATCCATTAGACTATTGAGTAAGAAGTGGGTCTCGAGAAGTTCAATCCATCAGCGACAAGAAGGGAAGTCCTGGAAAATGAATCAATTGACGATGTAACATGCCCACAGCCAGCCGAGAAAGAGGGAAAAAGCTTGGAGGTGATGTTTTTGGCGACCTTGGGAGCTTGGACAGGAGAGCTCGACTGAAACTGAGGTGGGGGCAGTCCGGCGTCAAAGCTCTTAGCTCTTTGCTTCTTCGGGGAGTCATGGCGTCGGGGACTCGGGCGTGGTGTTGACAGAGGAGCTTTGGGAGCTTGTGAATTCGGTGGTGGTGGTGAGATGAAGTGCCAAGATATCACGATTAAGGAGATTGTGGACCGGAAGTACCATCAAGTTGGGAATTGGAAAGTTCATGCTTTCGTTTTTCTCAGTTCATGTGTTGTATGAACTCAGGGGCAGCATGGCCATGTGAACAATGTTCAAGGGGTTCCGTTTCCCTAGACCGGGAGATGCACCCAGGGTTGTCATGTTATTGTTCTTGTCGATTTTATAGACGTACGTCGAGGTGCTCGAGTAACACCACGGTCAGGTCACAGATCTGACAATCGCGAACCCCTCATGTGTTCCCGGGCGTGTACCTGTCAAAGAAAAGGTCACGCGCAAAGGTATTGATAGTCATTGGCCCTTCGCCCCAAGATTGGGAGCTTGGATCGTCGCGTAAAACACTTGACGATCCATCTTTCCTTGGGACTTCTGGACGTTTATGTACCTCCACAATTGGAGGGACGGGGGGCAAGTTGAAGGTCCATTCCCCTTTCAGTTGCTTGCACTCGTCGGTCACCTGGTCATAGAGGTTTAAAACCGGAATGCAAAAAAGGAAAAGATCGATCCATCCCATTATTTTCACATACCTGTTTTTTTTCCAGAACCTTTCCCTTTCGATTGTGACTAGTGAGCAGCTTGAAGTTTTCGCTCTTCTTCCGTAAACGATAGCTTTCTTGTCCATTCATACCCGAAACTTTGCTTGGTTGAGCCCCTCCTCCTCAGGTTATCGTATCACCGACGCTGGTAACCAGCCACCTCCAACTTCGACTCTCTCGCACCCAACATCGGAGGCTTGAGTCACGAGAAGCATGGCGACCACAGAGCGACAGCCTCCATCATCCGTCGAGGGATCCAGCCCCAGCCGCCCGACAATGTTTCATCGGCTTTCAGACAACGCCATTGACGAGACTTCGGATGCCGATAGCGATTTCGTCAAGTTGCAGAAAACCATCAGCAAGGAGAGGCGGGAAGCTAGGGAGAGCCCCCAAGCTCGTTTGCAGCGAGCATGCCCCTTCACCTTTCACCCCAACATCAGACCCCTCAGCAAGTCTGACTACGAATCCTGTATTGCGCTGGAGAATGCGGCCTTTCCGGACCCGGCACACAGAGCTACACCAGAAAAGGCGAGTTCACCTTATGCCAATATGGGCAGTATGCGCCGGGCCGAACCTTGACTAACAGCAACGGCCGCAGTTCGATTACCGACTCTCAACCTGTCCTGAGCTGAGCCTAGGTGTCTTTTGCACAGTGGTGCCAGAAAAAGCCAAGAATTGGACAATCGAAACCTTGGATACTGCCAAGCCTGTAGAAACCGATCGTCCCAATGGCGCAAAGAGCGTCCTGGTGGCACATATCGTGGCTACGCGCTGCACCGGAAACACCATTACAGACAAGGATATGGACTATCCCAAAGACTGGCGAAGTCGTCACGGTCGGTCGGCAGACGTAGGACATCAGGAAACTGGGCGGACCGTTGCGCTGCACTCCATGGCCGTAGCTCCAAAGCTTCACGGATGTGGAATCGGCCAGATGATGATGAAGGCCTACCTACAACAGATGAAGGACGCGCAAGTGGCGGATCGCGTGGCGCTGATATGTCAAGATGTAAGAACTAGATGCTATTCCTTTGGCTTACCTTGAGGACGGGAGTTAACCAGGGATACAGTATCTTGTTACCTACTATGAGCGGCTTGGGTTCAAGTGTATTGGCAAGAGCCCTGTCGAGTTTGGAGGAGGTGGGTGGCATGATATGGTGAGTCGCACTTCCTGAACATCCTCGGTTTTTTTTCTGGTTGACGTTCCCGAAATTCACCGTTTCTGCAGGTCATCGACTTGGTGAGTTATGAAGTGAAAGCCGTCAAAACACCGTCCTAGTGGGTATCATATGGTATTTCAGAACGGCAACATTCCCGAAACCAACATATTTCGGCGCGTCCCCAAACTTGTTGAATCAGATTAGACCTTGTGTGGGATCCCAAAGTCGGCGGAAAGATTGATTGGATGCGCAATCAGAACCTGACAATCCCTATCCTTCTTCTTCTTCTTCTTTTTTCTTCTTCATCATCTTCTTCTTGTAGAGTGTCAGCCACAGGTTTGATGTTGTGGCTATGGTCAGAGGGTACTGGGCGAACAAACCTGTGATATACATGTTACTATTTTATCAGAATCCAACTCCAGCGTTTAGTCGGTAGCCTTGTACTTGGCGCGGTATTCCTCCGTCTTCTTGACGTCCTCAGGGGAAGCAAGACCCCTCATGCCCTCAATGATGTCGTCCAGAGTAAGGATGGCAAAGATGGGAATGCCGTACTCCTTGCGGAGCTCGCCCATAGCACTGGGGCCGGGCTTGCTATCGTCACCATCAGCGGCAGGGAGCTTCTCCATGCGATCAAGAGCAACGACGATGCCAGCAACAATGCCGCCCTCCTTCTCGATCTTGGCGATAGCCTCACGCTTAGCAGTGCCAGCAGTGATGACATCGTCAACGATGAGGATCCTCTTGCCCTTCAGAGGGGCGCCAACAATGTTGCCTCCCTCACCATGGTCCTTGGCCTCCTTGCGGTCAAAAGAGTAGCAGATCTTGCCGTAGGTCTCGGGGTCAAGCTGGGCAAGCTTGTCGGTGGCAGCGGTAGCGAGGGGAATGCCCTTATAGGCGGGGCCGAAAACAATGTCAAAGTCCAATTGGCCGCTCTTGTGAGCCTCGATAATGCACTTGGCGTAGGCCGTGGAGATGGCCTGGAGAAGGTCGGCCCGGTAGAAGTCGCCAGCGTTGAAGAAGTAGGGGGAAATGCGCTTGGACTTGAGCTCGAAGCTGCCGAACTTGAGGACGCCGCCGTCGATGGAGGCCTTGAGGAAGTCAGCCTTGTAAGGCGAGAGAGCGGCCATTGTGCTGGTACGTAGTATTTGTAGGATTGGAATTGAAGCTGGAAGAAGACGAGATTTCAGAAGAACAGCCTTGACGTCTGTCTGCCTGACAACTGAATAGCTGGAGGAACCTGGAGAAAATTGAGAAAATGGAGGGAGGGGCCGATGAAGGGTTCAGTACCTGGCGGCGTCACACGCGGCAGTCTTTCAACCGAGTCAATCAGATGGTGGGTTACGAGTGGGCCAATTCCAGGAGCCAGGCCCGCGAAAGCCCGGTCATCGGCCACTTGGGCGCGGTGGGGTCCCTGGGAAAATGTGGGGTTAGAGAATCCTAAATTCCACACTAGCCGAATCCTTGAGCACCCCTTGGCAGCATGTCTTGGCAGCGCACACTCCAATCCACTTTGGCACTCTGCTGTTTATCTTATCGATTGGAGCAAGCCGCTGGAAAAATATTTCGAAGTAGACTTTCCATTTGGCAAGCGCAGCGCCTCCCCGTCGCCCTCCAACACCGCCCCCCCCGCAGCCGGTCTCTATCCTTCAGACCGTCCGTCCGACCTCATTGTCCTGCACTTCCAGTCCGAGATTTTCTCTCTAGCAAGTGCTTGACATCTATACCCAAAATGACGTGGAAGGACATTGCCCCTGTGCCTACGTAAGGACATCTTGGTTGTTGTGTTGTTGTTTGGCATCGCTAACTCGCTTCTACAGGGCACAGGAATTCATCGACATCATCCTCTCGTAAGTCGACATCGACAGCCCCCGACCACGACGATGCGAAGTCTTCGAGTTCGAGTCCAATGGCTTGGTTACGGTGGTGAAGGATATTAACTGTTCAACAGGAGGACACAGCGTCGCTTGCCGACTCAGAGTATGTTGTACAATGTGGAAAATTACGTGAAGCATGGCATGATCGCTAACCTCTACTTTGAACAGTTCGTGCCGGTTTCAAGAGTATGTCGTCTCGATATCCGATACTTGGTATGAGAATTCGAATAGATCATTGACACGCGACATCGAACAGTCAGCAGAATTAGAGCCTTCTACACCCGTAAGGTCAAGTTCACACAGGAAACATGCAGCGAAAAGTTCGGCGCCATCGTCTCGAGCTTCCCCATTCTCGCCGACCAGCATCCTTTCCACCGCGACTTGATGAACATTCTCTACGGTACGAATCCCGCGCTTCCCTGCGACAGGCAGTTCCAGCAACAGCGGGTTGTGAACTGCGCCTGGTCTTGGTGGGAATAGTGGCTGACAAGGTGATGGATAGATGCCGACCACTTCAAGGTTGCCCTCGGTCAGGTCTCGACCGCCAAGCACTTGATCGAGACCATCTCTCGTGATTACGTCCGTCTCCTCAAGTACTCGCAAAGTTTGTACCAGTGCAAGCAGTTGAAGAGAGCCGCCCTCGGTCGTATGGCCACCCTCATCAAGCGTCTGAAAGACCCTCTCGCCTACCTCGACCAGGTCCGCCAGCATTTGGCCAGATTGCCCGATATCAACCCTACCACCCGTACCCTCCTCGTTGCCGGCTTCCCCAACGTCGGCAAGTCTTCGTTCGTGCGCTCCGTCACCCGCGCTGATACCCCCGTCGAGCCCTATGCTTTCACCACCAAGAGCTTGTTCGTCGGCCACCTCGACTACAAGTACCTCCGTTACCAGGTCATCGATACCCCTGGTATTCTCGACCACCCTCTCGAGGAGATGAACACCATTGAAATGCAGTCAGTCACTGCCCTCGCCCATCTCAGAGCCGCCGTCATGTTCTTCATCGATATCTCGGAGCAGTGCGGTTACTCGCTCAAGGCCCAGTGCAACTTGTTCAGGTCCATCAAGCCCCTTTTCGAGAACAAGATGGTCTACGTTGTCCTGAACAAGATGGATATCAAGACCGTTGAGGACCTCGACCCCGAATCCCAGGCCGATCTCATGGACCTTACCAAGTCCGGCAACATTCAGCTTTTGCGCGCCTCTTGCGCTACCCAGGACGGTGTCCAGGAAGTCAAGAACACCGTTTGCGAGGCTCTCCTCGTTGAGCGTGTCAATCAGAAGTACAAGGCCGGTACCAGCAGCAACGGCACCATGGGCTCCCGTCTCACCGAGGTCATGTCCCGTATCCACGTCGCCCAGCCCGCCGATGGTGTTCTCCGCGAGACCTTCGTTCCCGAGGCCGTCAAGGGTCTCAAGAAGTACGACAAGGCCGACCCCGAGAGGAAACTTCTCGCCAGGGATATCGAGGAGCAGAACGGTGGTGCTGGTGTCTTCAACGTCGATCTCAGGGAGAACTGGATCTTGGCCAACCCCGAGTGGAAGTACGACAAGATTCCCGAGGTCAGTAACTCTCGCATTCCGACTTCCCTAAATCAAACCCCGTTACTAACATGTCACGCTTTGATAAACAGATTGTCGACGGCAAGAACGTCTACGACTTTATCGATCCCGATATCGAGGCCAAGCTGGCCGCTCTCGAAGAGGAGGAGGAGCGTCTCGAGAAGGAGGGCTTCTACAAGTCGGACTCGGACCTCGGCGACGAGTCGGAGGAGGAGATCCTGCAAAAGGCCGAGTACATCCGCGAGAAGCACAAGCTGATCCGCAACGAGGCCAAGATGAAGAAGTCGCTCAAGAACCGCGCCATAATCCCCCGGAAAATGCAAAAGAAGTCGTTCGCCCAGCTCGAGGACCACATCGACCAGCTCGGCGTCGACACCGAGGAGATCAACCTGCGTGGCCGTGCCCAGGTGCGCGAGCCCACTCGCGGCCGCTCGCTGGCCCGCAGCCGCAACGCCACCGAGGACCCCGACGCTATGGAGGTGGACACGCCCAAGAGCGCCGCCGAGCGTCTTCGCTCTCAGAGCCGTCCGGCCCAGCGTGGCCAGGGCGCGACAAACAGGCGCGACGACGGTGTTACTGGTGGTGTGGGCATGGACGGGGAGACAGCCCGCTCCAAGGCCGAGAGGGTGGCCAAGCTCGGCCAGCGCAAGATGAACAGGATGGCCAGAGCCGGCGAGGCCGACAGGCATATTGGTGCTACCATGCCCAAGCATTTGGTACGTCTTTTTTCTTTTCTTTTCCCCTTCCTTCAATCCCCCTTTTCCCTTTTATCTTGACACGTAAACTAACCAACCTTTTTTTTTTCTATAGTTCTCTGGAAAGCGTACTGTCGGCAAGACACAACGTCGTTAATTTGGATCCATATGTTGGTTGGGTTGGGTGTGTCGTGTCGGGGCTCGTCTCATCTTTTGGCGATTGTGTTGCTTCTTTGCTATTGTTCCTTTTTGGGGAGAAATGATTCCATACTTATATCTCTGCGTCAACGGTCTTGTTTTTTCACACACACACACATCATGTTTATAACGTAGACTTACTACTACTTACCATCTCGAGGGCGTTCTTGGGCAAAATGGGAGAGAGAGAGAAAAAAAAAAAAGGATGTCAACAACTACAACAACAACATCGATAGTTCTGAACCTTGCTGTTAACAATTGTCTTGTATATCTCCACCTGTCGCCGAATGTTCGTACGTTGGAGAGTCTGATACGAGTTATGGTCATTCAAACACCATCACCACTACCACCACGGTGATTAGGAAATTCCCAACTCAGGGGCTCTGAAAGCATCATCTCCACATCTAATATCTCTACGGTGTCAACTTTCACTGTGCCAACACCAGGGGCACCACTTCCATTTGATTACTTTGTCGTCATGGTGAGATTAATGTGATTTATTACCCATCTCCTCTAATCGTCCCCATCCCATCCCAAATCTACAAGAAAATCGATACGTATCCATACGCTTTGGAAACTGGGTGAGTTGAAGGGGGGAGTGGCTGACAGGCTGACTGACTGACTGCCTGTAAAACCTTGCTAAACAGAGCAGAGCAGCAGCAGCAGCCTGTATGTACTAATGTGATATGTAGTACAGTTTATGCTTTCAAACGAGGAAACCATCAATTAAATGTTGTTAATGTTATGCCTTAATCCATATCCATATATCCCTTTATGTCACTGTCGTCCATTGTTTACTCCTGCGACATCTGGATACCCTCCCTCAAACCTTCAACAACAAGCTCCTCGCCCGCGCACCGGCGGTAGATGTCCTTGACGTCCTCTGTCGAGGTCTCAAAGTGGCTGGTGGCGTCGTAGCTCTTGGAGATGAAGATGTTGTCGTTGCGGCCGTCCTCGAGGGGCTCATAGAGGGGAATGGGGGGACCCTGTTTGTGGTGAAAATTGCGTTAGTTATCTTTCTAGAAGGTAGGTAGGCAAGAATGACGGGGGGAAACAAAAAGAAAACATACCATGAACTGCTCCTCGATCTTGCCGAGGCGCTCGATACCAGGGGCGAGCTCGAGGTGGTGGTTCGCAGAAGTCTCGGCAATGGTCGAGACAATGGCGATCCAGTAGCCCTTGGGGCAGACGTTGTGCGCCGAGGAGACGCAAGCAATGTAGATATCTGCACAGCCCTTTATTAGTGAATCTGTTTGGGTTATCATGCTTGTGACGCAAAACTTACCGTTCTTGCGGCCCACCTGCGACTGGGGAATGATCAACTGGCACGAATCGGCGTCGTTGGTGCTAGCAAGGGGGTGCTTGAGAATGCAGATGGCGCGGAGGACGTGGCCGACAACCTTGACCTTGTCGGGGAAGTAGCTGGGGTCGCCGAGGATCATCTTGGCGCGGGTCTCGAACTTCATCTCGGGCTCGACACCCGTCATGGTGGCCTTGATGCCGACGGCCTTGCCGTTCTCGTAGACGAGCTCGTCAACGTTGGTGTTGAGCATGTAGGTACCGCCGTAGATGGCGGACAGACGGGCGAAACCCTGGGGAAGCTCGCCGAGGCCGTAGAGAGGGTAGATGTATGGCGACTTGCCGTAGCGGGCGACGGACTGGCCGTAAAGGCGGATGCGCTCGATGGTCTCAGGGGCGGCGCCAGGGGTATCGAGGTAGTTGTCGTTGAGGTAGAGGGCCATGGCGTGGCCGACAAAGTCCTTGGTGCCGGCCTCGAGGCTGAACTTCTCAAAGACGTCCTTCATGGTGCAGGTGGCCATGTCGAGACCTGCAAGTGCCCCCTAGTTAGCGCTTATGAACAATACAACATGACGCAAGTGTGTTGTTGGCCAAACTTACCCTTGTGTGTGGCGGGGTCCTTGGGGTCGAACTCGCCAACCCACTCAATGAAGCTCTTCATGCGGCGCTTCTCAAAGATGCCCATGAGGGGCGAGCGCAACGCCTCGGCGGCATCTGAGGGGACCTTGGCGATGGTGGCCTTGGAACCAGCACCCTGCTGTACGTAGCTGCCGGCAACCTGCTTGAACTCGAGGTAACGGGTAACATCGGTGGAGACAAGAATGTTGGTGAGCTCGCCCGAGGACATGAGGAACTTGGGAACAAGGTCGATGTTCCAGTCGTTGGGGCGACCGTATTCCTTCCAGGGCTCGGTACCGGCGGCAAAGTTGCCATACTTCTTGAAGAGCGTCTCGAGGTTAACCGACGCCGCCTCACTGCGCAAAGAGTCGTGTTAGCTTCCGTTGTGTCCTCATCATGGTTCGATAGGGGGTTGAAGGGGGGGTTGAAGGGGAGAGGGGGGGAGTACGAACCCGCCGTAGTGGTCGTTGCGGTCGATGTGGAGGACCTTCTTTCCCTTGACACTGAGAACACCCGAGAGAATACACTCGGTCAAGCCAGTGCCCAGCACAATGACATCGTACTCCTTGGCGATCTCGTCGGCCATGGTTGTGGTTGTTGATAGTATTAGTTGTGGTTGTTGTGGTGAGTCGGCGGTCTTGCGGTCTGCAAGCTATACAAGCAACAAGCTACAGGTAGTAGGAAGCTTGTGTTTGGATTAGAGGGGGGTGGTGGGGGTGGTGGTGGTGGTGAGAGCAGGTAGTAGGCAGGTAGGTGGTATATAGCAAGCAGGCTAAACACACGACGACGGAGAATGGAAGAAGCAGAACAAGAAGAATGGGACGGGGAAGAAGGAACGAAGTTGAAGGCGGATCACTTGATACTAAATGGGGGTAAGTAGCCCGCCAGAGAGAGATGATGGACGACCAGGGACAGAGACAGCAGTGAGTGGACTGGCTGGTGGACTTTCGTCGTGGACTGGACTGGACAACTGACAGGAGGCGGCGTCCCGTCGGTCTGTCACGTTAGTGTCCATACCTGGGTGGTTACTAGGGGACAAAGGACGACGACGGACGGACTGGGGCCGCACTGCCGCCGCTGGGCTGCCACTGCCTGCACACGCTGCATTGCTGGCACCGCCCTGCGACTGACAGCAGCTTCCACCTGTTGCAAGTACGGTGTGCAGGTGCAGGAAGCTGTCAGCCATGGGTCCAGGTCAGGTCTCCGCCTGGCACTCCATCCATTGAGTTTGCTCTGATCATGTCCATCGTCGCCAGGCTGTCAATCTTCAACCACCATTCAAAACCATTGAGAGACAAACAGACACCTCTCTGATGAAAGTAGGGGGCATGTCCAATGCATGGTCGTGTCTCCTCGGGGCTCCTGTTTGGGTGGGCGGTCTCGTAGGCGGTCTCTCCTAGCCCAGCCCAGGCTCCCAGGCTTCTTGCTGCCGGCCAGCCAGTTGTGGTAGCAGATGGCCGGCCTCTGGTTCGTCACTGTCGTGGTAGGAAGTGGGGGAGTCTTACAATGAGGGGCGGGAACGGGACCCCGCTTTGAGCTTCTTTGAGCTAGACCGGAGCCAAGAAAGTAATGTCCCCCTAATGTCCCCCTTGGTGGGACTCGGGCTCGCTAATGATTTGATGTTCAAAGACATGAAGACCGTTCACTGATCTGATGAAAAGAACCCTGGCTTGCTTCATCTGGTCCCCGCAACGATAATTGATATGTATATATAGAGATCCATATATATATATATATATATATATCATTCTGATATATGTACACTACCACTCGCCATTTTGTATCTAAAAATTGGACTTGGAAACGAGCTTTGTCTCGTCTATCCCGCCGTGCCCTTCCTCCTCACCTCTCCATGGTCTCGCCTGTTCAGGTTGGCGCCGATGATGATCTCCCCAGCTACCATGGAAATCTAGACATGTCCTAAGCGAGATGTTGGTATACAGAGATTCACGCACCCCAGATCTCGGTTGTTCGGCCCATCACTATTCACCAGGGACCGCCTAATCCATATTGGACACCCATTCCCATGAACCCCATGGGGCTTTTTGTTTTTGCTTCGTTGGCTTCTTCATGAAAATCTCCCAGGCCCATGTCCTTCCCTCTTTAGAAACATGGCCTGTCCGGGTTGAATTTGGCTGTTGTACAGTGAACACATATGATGCTCGTTACACTATCGATACAGGTTGCAAATGTGTGGTGGTTTGTTTTTAGAAAACGGGTATTGTGACTGTTTTCCCCCCTCGTCCTCTTACCGCAAGGGTACCTTCACGACCGTTCGCCCGTCTGGTTCATTTGGGACCGCTTCCCTCTCTTCATACCCTGGGGGCTTCGGCTTGGGACTTGGATGATGGTATCGTTGTTGGGTCGATTTCTGTGGTGGATTGCGCCTCGCTGGCCTCGGCGCCCTCCGCCGTCTCTTCCGCCTCGAGGAATGTGCTAGGCGTGTAGGGGTTCTCGGGGTTGGACAGGTCGATTTCCGGGTCCTGCTCGGCCAACTTGACCGCATCCTCCCAAGCATAGAAGCGCTCGGTGAGCACATGCTTGATTCCGCGCATCGTTTGCTTGACCTAAAAAAATCAAAGAAGAACTAGTGTCAGCTCTCTGCTGCTGTAACCCATTGATCCTTCCTGTGTCATCCACCTACATTGCGGTCACGCTCATTGGCCTCAGCAAGACCGAAACCCAACTCGCTCTTTGTGCGCTCCCAGTTCGCCGTCGCAATGCGGTTGCGCTCCTTGACGCAGACCCACCATAGCCGGTGCAGGTCGTCCCACGACTTCTTGCGCAGCTCGGAAACGGTCCAGGCGCGGCCGTGCTTGGTGTGCTCGAGGGGGGCCATGGCGACGGTCTCGCGGTCGTAAAAGAAGTCCCAGAGGCCGTGGTTCTCGTCGACTTGGATCGGGGGCAGCTCCTCGCGCGGGACGGGCTCGGGAAGGGGTTCGTCGGAGACGGAGAGCTTCCAGCGCGTGCCGGACTTGCGCAGCGCAGACTCGCCACGCTGCTTGGAGTTATCGCGGGTCACGCGGGCGGTCGGGTATTTGTGGCGCTTGAGGAGGGCAGCCGAGGTCGAAAGTGCCCTGACCGGGACGGCGACGGCGACCTTGGGTGCTGTTGCGGCCGAGCGGCAGGTCTGCATAATGGCGCCCATGGAGGGCCGGAGGGCGGCTGGTGAGGCCATGGCGGACGGTTGTGGTATATGTGGTGGTGGTGGTGGTTGGTGAAAGTGCGCCGACCCAATGCCCGCTACTCCGTATGCACCGTCGTCTCCGAGTCGCAGTGGTCAATCGTAGGCGCGGCGGTGCGGACTGCGGTGCGGCTCCGGGGACGGCAGTAACTCTCGCTCTACGGCCTTTGGCACCGCAAAATTTAGGTGGGTCCGAGCTTGGTCCCCCGTTCGTGTCACCAACGAACCGCCATTGGTCCCATTTGCTCGGTCCGGACAGCGAATTGCCGGATGAATTGGCGGCAAGCACGGGTAGTAGCCGCTAGATATCCACGTCTAATACAAACAAGGTTAAACTTGACTATAACCTCAACGTCCAGTTGCTTTCTTGACCAATCATAGGGCAGTATGCTGTTTACTTAAAGTGAACTTGACGCTATTGCTACCAATGATAGCTTTCATCCAACGACAGAAGGTCAACACTCTCTCTTCACTCCGACACTGACTCTCTCATTCCATTCTCAAGTGATTGGTATTGTCATTCCTTCGCCCGAGATCATGGTCCTCCAGTGAGTGTTCTTCATCAACAGAACTCGTTGACCCATCACCACTTACACCACCCACATGTCATGTCATGTCATCAATGCGATCCTTTACCCTTCTCTTTGAGACTATAAATCCACCAATCCTAACCATGACCCAGAACCTACCGCAACCTCTCCCCACGCGCCCGCCTCGGCGTCGGCATCGCATTCACCCTCTGGGGCCTCATCGGCCTCAAGCTGTCTGACAAGGCCGAAGAAAAGCTCGGCTATACTCCCACCGAAGAGGATCGCAGGGCGCTGGAGAGGTACAAGCCTCGGATTATCGAGGTCGAGAAGGAGGTTGAGAAAGTTGTCAGGGCTGAGAAATGATTTCACACGCCTGGGAGTGAAGTTGGGGTGATGGGGATGGTGACGCTCATGTGAAGAGAGGACACATCGATTGATTGATGCCACCGCCGGAACCTAATGATGGATACTTTCTTCTTGAAGTCTTGGACTTTGAAAAAAGAAGAAAGGCTTAGCGAAAGTGGGAGAATGGATATCGAAGGAGCATGGATGGATGGATGGATGACAGGACTTCATCTTCCGCCGACACCGAAAGATCGATGAGTGGAACATCCAACAATGGACGGAACAGAAAGCGGGAGCCAGTTGAGCTACGGATGTCCATGGCAACAACAGCAGCAAAACAAAAGCAAAAACAGAGCAGCAGCACCTGTACCAGTCAGGAAGAGATATAAGCAAGCCACCTCACTAATGATTCGAAGCACAAACCACTTCTCTCTACTTGTTTATATGCGTATGACCAAGTTAGCGGTCGGGTTAAGGCAGCACTACCAGTCATGTATTTGCTTGTTCATAGGGAAGAATAACATACGAGTTAGCTTGAAGACTAACAAAGTTCGAGTTGAGTGGACTATCCCTTACGTCCTGGAAATATTCCACTTTCAGACTAGAACAACCAACTTGCCCAATCTCCAAGCCACTTATACTAACAATGAGCCAACTGTCTTCCACATGAGAGCTCCTTGAATTCACCTTTTACATGGCGATGATCAAACTTCCGTAATGATACAAACAAACTCCTTCAAATAGTTACCTCAGTTTCGAGACGATCGTGACTTGGTTCTCTCTCCTGTACCAGCTCCATAACACAGCAAAAACCTACTTTCCTTCTACAACAACCAAATTAAAGACACATACATACATACATACCTCAACAGTCTTGTACTCTCGCCACACCATTCCAAGCAAAACACGGACATTTTCATCCCAAACCAATCAACATCTATCTGGTGCTAATCCTCCATAGTTCTACCTCCCTAGGTAGATAGATACCTACTTCAGACCTTACTTACAAACCCGACGAAGCGGACGTTCCTTTGTTGATAGCTAGACTACCTACATGGACAACTACCTACCTGAACAGGACAACAAACCCTCCCTCCCTACTACAACACGCACCGGAAGGGAAGGGCCCGTCGTGCCATTTCCAGACACTAGACTACCTACTAGCATCAATAGACACTCCCGTCAAAACAGAAACTCCGTCGAGAGACTACCTACTCAACCTCGCAGTCGTTACTAAAGGGAAAGGTAGTACCTCGGTGTGCGTCCTGTCCTTCCATTGGTAGAGGTAGAGGTAGTCCCTTTCGTTCGTTCGTTCGTTCGTTCGTTCCTTCCCTTTGGTTGATTATGTACTGCTCTACAGTGATCACTCAGTGTCTGGGTGGTTACTAGGTTGTTTCGTCCGTTCCTTCCTTCCTTCCTTCCTTCCTTCCTTCCTTCCTTCCTTCCTTCCTTCCTTCCTTCCTTTCAGTTAACCTCCCACTCAGTCCCGTCTGCAGTACTCAATATCCGGGTACCTCTAGTCACTCCTTTCCTTCTCAGCGACCGGGGATTTTTAATCAACCCTGACCGGCCTTTTTTTTTCGAAACACACTACAACTCACTACCTATTTGATCGCCGGGTAGTAGTACGATTATCTCGAAATGTCTCCGCGTTTCAAAGATTTTTACGTTTAATGGGCAAAAGCATCCAGTGAAAGAAATGTAAGTTGAATAAGGAGAGTATGCTAGATAGGGAATGAATACCCATCGTCCCTTTGATTGAGGTATCTGAGGTAGATTCTGGATTGGACTCTTTGTCAGTGGAACTTGGTCGGTTCGGTTCAAGTTTGCTTAATGACTACATTACGTACCCTGCCAAAAGAGAATGTGTGCAACAACTTGACATAGGTGCTCAGACGGGATGGGGATGAGATGAATAAGAAGTGTGTTAATGGTCGAGTTGCTATCGGGTGCCTCTTATGATTATCTGGATTGTCTTGTCAGTTCACATTGCCATCTAGCCGTATGATTATCTAACCTGCGGGCATGATCAACTCATGTCTACGTAGTGTATGGAAATTTTCACCATGGGATTCGAAAAGGTTCGAGACACGAGAACGAGCTTACAATCACAGACAGCCACGTGCTTCATCCAAGTATAGGTAGATATGCTTGCATCAACACTCTCCACTGCCATTCTCATGTACCATCTAACTCTACTATCTATAGACACAACCTCCCTCGACCATGCCATCCATCAAACAACCTAGATGGTACATTCAAATCCCCATCCCTTCACCCTCTCTCCCCCGATATTCCTTTTCCCTTTCATGTATTCACCACATTTTCCCTTTCCCTTTCCCTTTCCTTTTCTTCCCTCCCCTCTCCTATGCCCCGCTGCCTACCTTCCCCCCCCTTTTCCCAGCCCCATTCCCTTTTTTTGTGTAACTCTTCCCTTGAACCAGCCCAAAAGACACCGGGTGACCATGAAGACCGAAGACCGTCATCATGCAATGCCATCTGTTCATCGTGTACTTAACAGAGGCTATTGCAAGATGAGTTTAATGCTGAGAAAGAAAAAAAAGACAATGGAACAACGCCGGAACCATGTTGATAGAGACACGAGGAGGTACCTGTATGCGAACCGTAACCGTACCCCCTCCAAATGCTGCCGCTTGTTGTTGCTCCGTGCTTTTCCTTCCCTGGGGAGAAGGTGGAAATCCCGTCCCTTCCCCCCTGCTTTACATTGCCTTTTTGCCTGCCTCCTGTTGTTCCGTTTTTTCTTTCCCTTTCTTCTTTCTGTCTCCTGTCCTGTGCCTGTCTATGCTCGCCATTTTGCCAATGTGGGTGGTCGGGAGAGCCTCTTCTCTTCTCTTCTAAAATGCAAAGCCGACAAAAAAATGTAAGAAATCTATCAGTTCGTTTCACCAAACGCAACACAACGCAACACGACACAATCGACCAACCTGACCCTGAAAATCCCCGAGCTCGGTGCTCATGGTTAAGGCAGCAAAGGCCAATAAACCCCAGGTAAAATAAAAATAAAACAAGATGAAAAGAAAACACAAGCCAACTGACCCATAGCAGCCACTCTTGTCACTGACAACACCTATGGGAGGCAGTCTGTGATAAGAGAAAAGCGTGCGAGTCCTGTAAAGGAAAACTGTAAAAATGAAAAACAACCCGAAAAGTCATGACGCCATTGATGCAAGACTGCTTGCTGTTGGATGTTGGAACGTATTTTTGGTGCATCCACCTTACTTGCCATCCCCCATCTGTTCTTTTTTTTTTTTTTCCCTTCCTTTGCAACCGACCGCATGATCGAAGCAGACCTAAAGTTGGGTAATATCTGACGGCTCAACTCGCCTTCCTCGTAAGCTTGTCGCTTGTCTGAAGAGTTGCATTGTACCCAGTGGTGAACCTAAATGAACCCGATGTTCCGCGGGATGTCTCGGGTGATGTTGCTGACCAATCACTGAAACCTCTCGTAAAAAGGTACACCTGTCGTGGCCGTATCCTCCATTGGCCGTAACCGCCACCATAATCTTGAATGTCATGTATCGATCGACTAGCTTTTTGCGTCGGTCGTTGAGGCCCTGTTTGGAAAATGGGAAACCGTTTGATGATGAATCAAAAATGATGCCGTCGTCTGATTGGTTTCCACGTTGCCCAAGTCAGCCCAAACAAGTCTGGACAGCAACCTAAAAGCTGCATCGACCGGTCCATCGAACCAAGAATTCGTGCCGTGCTGGACACATTCGCGGCTTTGGAGGGTTGCTGACTCTGTTTCGCTGCTCACCCAGGCGTGCCAGTACAGTCTCCAGCGGGTAGAGTCTCAAAGACGTTTGGTGACAACCTCGTAAGAGCGATTGGAATCCCATCTGTTTGGGAACCGCAGTGTTAGTCCTATGTCAAGATGAGAAAGCACCGCGGTATTGTCAGTTGCGTATTGTGTGAACCAGGGCAACTAAAATCCGGAACATCGAACTGAGGGTCAATGCCGGAACAGCGCCAGGAACCAAGGGACCGGAAATGTCAAACATGATGCGAAGTCGTCGGGTTGGCCGATCCAGTTCATCCAGAAAAAGCAGGTAATGATTTGGCCACACAATCGAGTCCATGGAATTGATGATGTACACAAAAGGCGGTCCTGGGATGCTTGGTATTCACTTCATTTTTTTGGGTCTTCTCTTCATGCCAGAGGCTTATACATATACCAGACAGGTATAGTGGATCGCGGTGCCTCTCAAACTCCAGTTAGGTGCTCCCAATCACAACACGCTTAGGTCCGCAAGGCCAGGTTCGTGAGTCTTCCGCGACTCAGCGAGACACTCGGAAAGACTCTAAGCCACGCCTCGGGTACCTTACCCATCAGGGCTCCAACCCACCATCGATCTCGAGACCTGACGAGTATTGGCTTGTAGGGCGACAGTGAACAGCACATGGCTGATCAGCACACGCCGTTACAACGCCAACGTATGACATCCAATACGCAAAACGTGAGGATTCATGGGGACTGGTTTGTGATGCGAGCAACGCTCGCGAATATTATCGAACCCGAAAACACTGCTATATAATGCTAGTTGATCGGATATCATGGCGGTGCCGGAGGTATCTGGCCAGGTTACTAAAGGGTTTTGTTTATTTTGTTGATGGGGGCTATTGGCTAGCCAGTTCACTCCGACGGGGGGAACGAGGGGCGGATCGAGTCGATTGTCGTCAAACATTCCTCCTGCTCGGCTTCTTCGCTTTTGACCGGCGTTTCCTAAGCACGGGTTTGATTGCGTTCGGGACCTGAACCACATTATTAGCTCAGAACACACATTATGTAGGTGGGATGTGGGGTTGCGCACCATTCTGGAACATTTGGGACCAATCGGTACCGCCCGATCCACCAAACATCTGCATGCCATTCTGCTGCTGGGGCATGCTGTAGTTGGCAAGTTGGGGGTTGATGTTGGCAGTCATGTTGTTGCTAACCTCCTGACCGTTGTAAGTCTGATCGAAGCTGCCTCCACGAGTGGTACCGCCCATAACGG